AAATGGTAATACTGATAATCATATTTTTAATTGATTTTAAAAACATTCCTCTAAAGTAAAATAGAATGCGTGTGATATTATCTAAGTTCTTTAAATCTATAGATAAGGGAACATCCCTAAAACTTACACACTTCTACAAAAATGATGTAGATATTTACTGTTCAAGGTTAAAAATGGCAAAAACTGGTTGCTTTAATCCAGGGGTTGACAGTAAACGTTGCGTACCGCGCGTTATACCATTTACTGTACATTAGGAGTTTCTGTAGGTTTAATGATGAAATTCACTGTCAAGTTCTCTATCTAAACATTTACATACAAAAATATCTAGAAACTAGACCAGATCTTTCTGAAAATATGAAAACATCAATTTTCTCAAATTTCATCCCTCTTGTGTCGTACCTTACCCCGCGTGTTTAACTGTCACGCTTAATACATTTGGTACACACCCTGTGTTAATACCCGTGTCACTTTTTGCAAAAGATGCACATCTATTCACCTCAGTAGAATTAAATATTTACATAATGACCTCAGCATCAGGTGCTAGATTTTAATAGGAGATATTTTGACAAATGAAGACCATGTTACTTGGTGTCCTGGTAACACGTTGATATCCAGTGATAATGTAAAACCTTGTAATTTAATTCTTCGAGACAGATTTGGTTGAATAATCATGAGCAGAGTGACATTTTTATCCTTCGAACTATAATCAGGATTACGAATGGAAATACGTGACTTTGGAGATAATATACTCTGAGTTGAGACTGTATATTACCCTTTCTAATAATTCTAGTTGGATATCATTTCTTTAAAAGAGAGCTTTATCTACATGTAATGTAACTAGAAAACAGCAACACCACGAAGTACCAAATCCCGCCGAACAAAACATATTTTATCAAATCGCTGGTCATTTTTAACATAACATGATAGGAATAACCAGGAAGAAGAAGAGTAGATTGTCTCATTTTGGCAAATATACACCCATTATGTGAGCTGCCAATAATCGATTTTGAAAATACTTTTTTTTATAAAAAATGGCCATTTTGAATTCAATAGTGATTTTGAAAATTCCTTCTTAAGCAGGTTTTTATGTCTTTAATAGCATATACAATTTGAATGAGGTCCGTCAACTGGTATTTGAGTTATTGAAGATTTAACAAACGATGGCGGCCATTTTGAAATGAGCGGCCATATTGAAAATGCCCAGGCCTTCTTGAGCAGAAGCCCTTTTTATGATAATAGGATTTTATAAGTACTGATGCCCTTTTAGGGCCAAACGTACATCCGATATACAATTTTCAATAACAGTAAATATAGCAATAAAGTAGAGAAAATTGCCCAAAAGTATTTAAGTTATCAAAAATTACATTTTACGAAAAGTGGCAGCCATTTTGAAATTTTTTGAGCAGCAAATTTGTCAACTGGCATGGTATAGTAATCATAGATTACATTTTTACAAAAAGCAAGCAAAGGTTCTTTACCAATAAATTTCAAATCTATAATTTGATGGTTTTTGCAAGTCAAATAAAGAAAATGCTTGGACGTCAGTACCTAGTTGCGGTATTCATTGCAAATTCCCTTTCTGAACAGATCGTCAATAAGTATATTACCTCATATATTATCTCATACATTTTTATTACAACTCGTCCGTCATGTCCAATATGGAGCACGTGTCGCTAGGGAATTGATTCGTGACAATTGCCAGAACATGGTAAATCGTTGGCTCTTCTGGGAGCAAAGTGCTAAAAATCTGTTATTATTTATCGTCAGTTCTATCGCAGGTCTATCAAATAACGATGTTCATCACTTGAAAACCAATATGAGATTTTAATTATCAAAGCAAAATAAAAGGATTGATCGAGTCCATATTTGCATACATTGCCTTGCCATATTCATATTTTCCAATCTATCTTCAAGGATATGCATTATTTGTTTGCAAAGGAGTTCCTTAAAGTGTGCGATAATATTATAATAGCATCGAGTTTCCACTAGCGGATAAGAATAGTTGAACTCTCATATGAAGCTAGAGGATAAGAATAGTTGAACTCTTATATGGGTATATAAGCTAGCGGATAAGAATAGTTGACTCTTATATGGGTATATAAGCTAGCGGATAAGAATAGTTGAACCCTTATATGGGTATATAAGCTAGCGGATAAGAATACTAGAGGATAAGAATAGTTGAACTCTCATATTAAGCTAGAGGATAAGAATAGTTGAACTCTTATATGGGTATATAAGCTAGCGGATAAGAATAGTTGAACCCTTATTTGGGTATATAAGCTAGCGGATAAGAATAGTTGAACTCTCATATGGGTATATAAGCTAGCGGATAGGAATAGTTGAACTCTTATATGGGTATATAAGCTAGCGGATAAGAATAGTTGAACTCTTATATGGGTATATAAGCTAGCGGATAGGAATAGTTGAACCCTTATATGGGTATATAAGCTAGAGGATAGGAATAGTTGAACTCTTATATGGGTATATAAGCTAGCGGATAAGAATAGTTGAACTCTCATATGGGTATATAAGCTAGCGGATAGGAATAGTTGAACTCTTATATGGGTATATAAGCTAGCGGATAAGAATAGTTGAACCCTTATATGGGTATATAAGCTAGCGGATAGGAATAGTTGAACCCTTATATGGGTATATAAGCTAGAGGATAGGAATAGTTGAACTCTTATATGGGTATATAAGCTAGCGGATAAGAATAGTTGAACCCTTATTTGGGTATATAAGCTAGCGGATAGGAATAGTTGAACTCTTATATGGGTATATAAGCTAGCGGATAAGAATAGTTGAACCCTTATATGGGTATATAAGCTAGCGGATAGGAATAGTTGAACACTTTTATGGGTACATAAGCTAGCGGATAAGAATAGTTGAACTCTCATATGAAGCTAGAGGATAAGAATAGTTGAACTCTTATATGGGTATATAAGCTAGCGGATAAGAATAGTTGAACCCTTATATGGGTATATAAGCTAGCGGATAAGAATAGTTGAACTCTCATATGGGTATATAAGCTAGCGGATAGGAATAGTTGAACTCTTATATGGGTATATAAGCTAGCGGATAAGAATAGTTGAACCCTTATATGGGTATATAAGCTAGCGGATAGGAATAGTTGAACCCTTATATGGGTATATAAGCTAGAGGATAGGAATAGTTGAACTCTTATATGGGTATATAAGCTAGCGGATAAGAATAGTTGAACCCTTATTTGGGTATATAAGCTAGCGGATAGGAATAGTTGAACTCTTATATGGGTATATAAGCTAGCGGATAAGAATAGTTGAACCCTTATATGGGTATATAAGCTAGCGGATAGGAATAGTTGAACTCTTATATGGGTACATAAGCTAGCGGATAAGAATAGTTGAACCCTTATATGGGTATATAAGCTAGCGGATAAGAATAGTTGAACTCTTATATGGGTATATAAGCTAGCGGATAAGAATAGTTGAACTATTATATGGGAATATAAGCTACCGGATAAGAATAGTTGAACCCTTATATGGGTATATAAGCTAGCGGATAAGAATAGTTGAACCCTTATATGGGAATATAAGCTACCGGATAAGAATAGTTGAACCCTTATATGGGTATATAAGCTAGCGGATAAGAATAGTTGAACTCGTATATGGGTATATAAGCTACCGGATAAGAATAGTTGAACTCGTATATGGGTATATAAGCTACCGGATAAGAATAGTTGAACTCGTATATGGGTATATAAGCTACCGGATAAGAATAGTTGAACCCTTATATGGGTATATAAGCTTAGTTTAAACCCCATTTAGGTAGCAACACAACAGAATGAAAGAATATACAGTTGTAACAAAGAAGAGAACAATCTTTTTTATTGTTTTTAAAGAATTGACACTTGGGAAGCTATATCAGTATTGCCCAAAAGACGTTTGACTGTCACATGCAGTGCACTAAAGCTGAACTAATTACACCCTATTCACTCATTCAATAAATTTCACCCACTCACTTTCAAAGTACTTACCTCATAGTCAATACAAAATTTCAAATTTTCCTAAAATCGAATTATGGGCCATTGGCCTTTCATAAGAGTAAGTGTAGGGTTTAAGTAAGATTACCCATTCGCACTGGGTCTTTTAGGAGAACTTATAACCTCTGACCAATGCCCTCGGCTATTATTTCTACCAAAACACAGTACATATCCTTTATCCATAACATAACAATTTTCGAGTTGTTTCATTTAGTGAAACAATGAGTGGGAAAGTATTCACTTGACATTCTCGGACTTAACGCACTCTAAATATGTTGACAGGGGAATTAGTATACCTCTATTATGAACATTAAGTTGAAACTTACCTGGTTACATCTAGGCTCAACGTTAACATGGGACGTAACGCTAGTCGATGGGGCGAGTGTTCTTTGTCGAAGACGTGTATGCGCAAAACTTATCACACACTTTAATGTGAGCGACATATTGGACAACAGGAAATCGTTATGAACTGGGCTTGCTTCGTTGACCCCAATTTCCAAGTTGCATTGGGCAGAATTATTACAAATATTCAATTCCCGATGTAAAAATAAAATAACCTGCAAATATTCTAATTTCCTTTTATTGAGATAATCATTAAGGATGGCTTCGATCAGAAATACAAAAATTTCATTACAGCTTGACTAACACTATAAAGTTGTGTTGGGACTTAATTATTTGCAATAAATGTCCTCTATTCCTTTAAAACCCAAGAGCTACTAAAATATATACATGGCGTTTAGAAAATTAATTAGTTGCTCGACTATTAACCTAATACACAAAGGACTACATCGCATTTTGTTGAATTTAGGCAGATAGAAACTTGAACGAAATTTTTTGAATAGCTACTTTCCCAATTGTGTGATTCATAGTTTCTAATGTCCCTTGACAGCTCAGGAGAGACTTTAATAAATCAGAATGCAGTTTCGACACTCATGTAAGATATTTATCCTTTGACATTTGTGTTTTATTACGATTCCAGACAGGATTCAGTCACGCATGCGCAAATGGGTTTCTTCCTGTTCTTGAACTGCTTGTGGACGTTGATGATCTTGAAGTGAATCTTCCTGATAAGGATGGAAACACGCCTCTTATATTCGCTGCACAGGCAGGTCTGTATGGGTTTTTTGGCGCATGATTTTGTGCCTTGTAAGGAAGTCCAGGACTCGATCGTTGATCATGTTCATTCGCTATGAACCTTAACTACTGAGTAAATATCTGGACCATTTCTGGCACTCTTCGTGCTCATTTTCATTTTGGCCTCCAGATAAAATTGTTGAACCAATTTTATTTTATATTGTATTTGAAAACTAAAATATTGTCCTGATACTAAAACATGTGGACTATATACGTCATATCTCATTAGAGTAACATGAGTAAGAATAGCTGAAATAATACCCTGCGCGCAGAGTCTACTTATAAACTACCTGAAGACGAAGCTCTCTTCTGAGAACGCGAAGGCGAACGAATGCAAACGGTATAGAAATAACAATAGTCTGCAACTCTAAACACTTAAGGTGCTAAAGAAGTTAACAGGAAATGACAAAACAGAGAGTGACAATTTTTTTTGCATTTTTATACATTTTTGAACAAAGATAACAGAGTTCTGTTTTGACCTCCAGTCAATTCAACTAGTTCCAAATACCATTTACAGATCCAGGATCACAATGTTTATGGTCAGAATGGCCCTAAACATTTGATGAAATAACCTTTTCAGCCCTATGAAAATGTGACTGAAAAATAGCTAAAAGTACGAGGTAGGAAAGGTCACTGAACAGAATCTTTTGAATTTTTCAGAAAATGTGCCCGATATATTGCTCTGAATGATACAATCTTTGAAAATTTGATATCATTCATAGAAAGAGAAAAAAATGAAAAAACTGATTTGAAAAGCGATCTTTTTTCCTTTTGATGACCACCATTTTTGTTCAAGACAATTTTCTAAAAATTTCAAAGATTGTATTAGTTAGAGCATGATATTGGGCACATTTTCTGAAAAATTCAAAAGATTCTGTTCAGTGACCTTCCCTAGCTCCTACTTTTAGCTTTTTTTCAGTCACACTTTCAAGGGGCTAAAAAGGTTATTTCATCATATGTTTAGGGTCGTTCTGACCATGCACATTGTGATCCTGGTCATGTAAATGATATGTGGAAATAGTTAAATTGACTGGAGGTCAAACCAGAACTCTGTTATCTTTGCTCAAAAAATGTATAAAAATGCAGAATTTTTTGTCACTTCCTGTTTTGTCATTTCCGATACTGTTAACTTCCATAGCACCTTAACTTAAAACTGGTGGGTTGAGGTTCAGTTATTCAATTAATACAATCATCATGCAGTGGGTTTCTAAACTACTTAGACCTAATGCAACACAGAATTATCATGACAGGGCTTTGACACCATTTAGCAATTGCATCCCAATCAATTGTATTAAAATGTCATCCGAGTCCATACTGGACACGGTTCAAAATGAACAGTTCAATCAAAGTGACAGCTAACCAATTTGAGAGAAATAATACAAAAATATGATCAGTTTTTAGTTTAGTATAAGACTGTAATTTGTAAGTTTTGTATTATTCTGTCCACGATTTGCGTTCTATATATGCACGTAAGGCAATCAGTGGGATAATTGAATAGGGATAATTGAATATATAGAGGGTAAGCCGTTGGACGAGCGTGACTCAATTTCTCATAAAAGACAATCGTGACCAAGTGCTATTTAAGAGCTCTGTCAATATAACAAATTGTTAGTTGAATATGACCAACAGTAACAACCTTGGGTAGGTATATGAATAAATCTGAGACTAACATAAAATAAATGAAACATGCTTAAGCTCTGAGATTGAGATGATATACAATTTTGCAAATGATAATAGCCCCCCTTGAGATGTCTTAACTTGCTAAGCTTTTTAAGTTTACACCACAAAAACTAATAAAATTATGCTGAAACTATTTATGGTGCATATTTGTGCCAATATCACACTGAGACTCAACGTATTACACAGCAACTATATCTTTGCGACAAGATGGCCTACCTTGTGGAAACAGATTTCCGTAAGATATTTTGTTTTTTCCATTAAACTAATTTCTTGGACGACTTTCTCCATAATCGTATGCGTGCAGTTTGCGCATAATCTCTAGTTTAACAATGTATACTTTTAGTTGCTCACTTTCGTAACCGCACTGAAGATCTAAAGAATTCAGGGCGATGTCTGTGTAACGAAAGTGAAAGACTAAAACTGCTGACGCTTCGTGATGATGCAAGGTGAATACTAATTCCATATCTTAGGCTTACTGAATGCATACGATAATGAAGAAAATTGTTCGAAAAATGGTTTTTAATAGAGAAAACAAAATATCTTACAAAAATCTGCGACCGGAAGGCGGGCCATCCTGTTGCACAGACACAGTGGCTGTGTAATACTTTGAGTACCTGTAATATCAGCTACATCGCATCAAATACCCTCAGGCATTCGTTTGACTTAACCTCTTAAAAGATAGCTTCCATCCTGATAAACCATGGCATCTTATTTCTTCTCAGTCCTGATCATATTGAGTGAAACAAAAATATGTGATGAGTATCAGAATAGATAGCTTCTACCAACATCTCGCTCTCTGCAAAGTGAATTTGGTACGTTCGTTCATTGACTGCCTATGAATCCTGTCAACGTCAACACGGTACCAATGTCGGTTTGAACATTTGGACAAATCTACGTCCATTTTCGTTCACTCGACTCCTCACTATCTAAACTTAGAGTACTGCAGTTTGAGAGTCATCCTCCCCCGGGCATCCTCCGCACGCCGGCCTCCAGAACTCGTATCACCTTTATCAAAGAAGGCAGAAGGAAGAAACATAGTGGATGATGTCTGGAACCTGCGTTCGGTGGATGATACAGGGTGAGAATATGATCTATAAAACGAAGTGTTCGTTCTTAAAGAGTCTTTTCAGTACACATACATGACATACGATGCATGTCGACTTGTCCTGTAAAATCTGAGTAAAACATTATTCTGCTACTGCACCATTTCTCATGAAATATCTACGAACAGGTGACGATAAGTATTAAAGCAATAATACTCGAACACCATTTTAAGCGATACTTATGGGAAGGATACGGTCATGCCTGGGCATGCAAATTACAGAAAACACCTACTAAACCGAAGTCATTGTTCCCGAACAATTGTATTTTGCCACATGATTGTCAGATCTCATCAAGATGATTACAACGTTTATTTCATCAACGTGACTTGAAAAAGCAATCAAACCCACGTCTACAATAAAATCATATCATATAATAATACTAGAATAGAAACACAACAAAGAATGTCACATTTTGTTAGCATATTTGTCGTCTACAACAACAGTATTATGGTTTCTAAAAATGATGAGCTGTCACATGAACGTATTCACGTTATCATACAAATGTCGAATAACATTTTTGGTTTCCCCATTGGCGGATTAATGAAGTTTTGCATTTCGAACGAACGAACGTCATCAAATCAAATTGGTGTATGTTATCTCTGGGTTATCTATGTCACAAAACGCACATAAGCCAAGGAACAACTATGGTTACGTCAGTCATTGATTTGTACGCCATGTAACGCCATATAATGGCGCCATATAACGCCATTTTATCAACGAATTAATATGCATATCACCACTAATGAGCGATGAGTTGATGACACTGTGTGATGAGATAACATCAAGAAAACTCATTTGGTATCGGATTTATTTCATGATTAATTCAAAAGCTATACACGTCACTGGTACTGCGCTCTTCGAACTAATTACCTAAAATATTGCAACCCCACCTCGAAGGTACGACGTCTTCTAGATCACAAACCGTGTACAATTCGTACGATGCATTAAAAACTACACGTTTGCGAACAGATCTTAACCATTTTTGAAGTTTTATTTATGTAACAAAAGTGAAGTATTGTGTATCGATGATTCTATCGTCTTCTGAACTGTTTGTTCGCAACCGATTAACCATATGATACTGACACACGTTTGTGATAAAAATGTCGTGGAGACTCTGCCTACTTGTACAAATACAACTAGTACAAATACATCTTGTGAAATAAGGAAGAAAGAAAAATCGTAACTTCGAGGTTCCGACATTTTGTAACCGAAACGGATCCATTTCGGTTACTAGATATAGTTTGAACTGTGCAGTACCAGTGTACATATGTGCAGTATATTGAAGTTCTTTCACGAGTTTTTTCATGCGTATAGGTTTGATCAGTAACTGGTTCATCAACATGTATTTTGATATCAGTTGATTGGTTTTTGAAAATAATAGAAATGTTATTACTTCAACACTAATATTGGCACATTCAGCATATCGATAAGTTGTATTTGGTTAAATGAGTCAGCGAACATTACTGGTGTAATTGTCACTCTATTATCACCATCTTTTATTATTTTCATCCCTTCGGGCTGCGGTGAGTACACCTTCAGAAATATATTCAGATATTCAACTCCTCAGAATTCAATATTTGTATAATATTTTGATCAATACGTGATCAATAACTGACGGTCCATGATGCAACAAGCATTATCTTCAAGTTCAATGGTCCACAGCAGGGTGATACTAACCGGAGTTAATATCATCCAAGATGGTGGACAAAATTCCATCGATTTCGATTTTAGCCAAACCAAGTAAAATTTAGTTTCCAAATATTTCCTCAAGTAAACTTATAAAGTTCCGATTGTAAAAATTTAAAGAGAAATCCTCAAATATCTCCGAAATGAAGAAAAGAGGACGTAGGTTATCGCAAACAATTCCAAACGATTCTAACTTGAATTATGAATATTTTCTGATCATGAACATGTGTGTATCTTTTAGATCCATTCATTATCTTCAAGAAAAGTACATATAATTATAATCAAGTTAGTCAGACCTAAGTGATATTGAAGGGGCAATGGACCAATCAACATACTTTTTCAAAAATGTTGACCTAATTTTAACCAAAAATGCAACCTTTTATTATATTGTTGAATGCATAATTAGAATGTGCTTTGAGACATGTTCGATTTCCTAAAAGGAAAAGTTGATTGCTCCAGGGACTTTGAAGATACTGAATTTGGATGACCAAAATGAACTGAAACTAATGGATAGCATGGGATTTTTCAATGGAGAAATAACATGGGGAAACACTTATCTTAAAGCAATTAAGTTTTTCTTTCAAGAACTATTTGATACATCAAAATAAAGAATAGTAATGCATTAAACATTGTAAAAAAAGATTGCATTTTTGGTGAAAACGGGGTCAACATCTTTGAAAAAGTGGGTTGATGGGTTGATTGCTAGTTAAATATCTCGGAGTTTGTTTGACTTTTTTATTACTGTGCATAATTTTCTTTGAGATAATGAATTGATCTAAAAGAGAAACTTGTCTTCATTGTCAGAAAATAGTCATAATCCAAGATATAACCTTCTGAAATTGTTTGCGATAACCCACGTGCTCCTTTAAAGACATGGCTTGGCAGTGATGCAGTGATGGATGAACTAACTCAAACTAGGGACGAACTGTCTAACTAGTGACTCACTGAATTGGAAGAATTGAATGAATCTCCATTTGTGCATTTCCCAATGCTCAACCTGCAATATTTGGAATCCAGATTTTGTTTGTTTTAGTCGAAATTGAATGAATTTTGTCCGCCATCTTGGATGGTACTAACTCCAGTTAGTATTATGAACGTACGATGAACTAAGTGAACTTATGTTGCAACGACAAGGTATTCATCTTAAACACGAATCATCGGTCGATAACTTCAGTTGAATGAAACATTGATCTGTCAAGAATTCACTTGACATTGCCTAACATTGGCCTCAAACTTACAGAATTCGTTGAGATAATCCACGATCCCTCATTTCGTCCATTACTACATGTATTACTGCATGTACAGGGCATATTTCCATGGTGATAGAGACTTACCCCAAGAGTAACGTTCACTCCCTTGCCCAAACCATAAGCTAAAGGCTATGAACCTCGTACTGTTCCGGGGCTTCAAACATTTTGAATGGCCCCAGGTCTTATTTGGATATTTGTGGCATTGGTACTATATTTGGACATTTGGTATGGCTTTTCGGGGAGTTATTTTTGTTTGCATGGGAACTCATTGAAATTTGACAGATTGATCACTGGGGGTTAATTTTGTATAGTGAACCCCCTGGGCTTACAATATCGTATAGATAATGGACGATTTTCTCAAAATCTGTCTTATAGTATAGATAATGTCTCCACGAACTTTGAATATTACTTTGACGTTCTGAAATTGACTATATTGCTTCACCTAGAAATGATTTTATTCTTTATCATGCTATGAACGCACACGTTTTACGTATTTTTGAAACGTTTACTTCTTGTTACTTGTTTGTTAGTGAATATTAATCAAAGTACTTGCATTTAATAGGCCATTATTATGATACGATCATGACATTTCCCTTTGCATTCTTAAGTCTCAGCTTTTTAAAACTTAACGCTGCGCTCAAGGTACACAATCATTTGAACCATGTATAACCGCCTAGCCTGGGAAGGAATATTTTCTTCATCATAGAGGCTGACTTAATCACGGTTCTTCCAACTGGATGCGTCCATTGTATCATTAGGTGTTCTCGCACCATTATCAAAGCTAATGTAATTGAATTTCTTTGTATTTAGCATTCGTGCGTTCACTATATAGATCAGGATTAAACAATGACTTATGAAGATGGACATTTATCTAACAGCCTATCTGAAACTCTATGATGGCTTCAATCATACTTGGCTGCGTAAATCAAATGTGTTTATTCTTTGATCCCCACGACCGTAATGAGAAAATAGTATTATACCGGTACATGTTATAAATAAATTCTTCTGGATGCGTACATCTGGAATTTTATGCTTTTAGTCAATCCAACGTCGTTAGTACGTTGACTGTTGTTGTTTCACTGGTTATCCACTCGATTACGCTGGTTACCGAATAACCGTAACGGCTCGTTTCGGTAACAAAATGTCGGAACGTCGAAGATACGATTTTTCTTTTTTCCTTCGAGTCACATGTTGTAGGCAGAATTCCCACGACATTTTTAACACAAATGTGTAGCACTGTCTTATGTTTAAGAAAATGTACCTATTTGCGAACAAATAGTTCAGAAGACAACAGAATCGTCGATTTAATTCCTCACTTAAGTTACAGAAACGGTTTTTCGAAAAACAGTTAAGATCTGCACTTTTAACCCAAACCGTTTATGTAACTTAAGTGAGGAATTGAATCGACGATTCTGTAGTCTTCTGAGCTTTTTTTCGCAAACATGTACATTTTCTAAAACATATGATACTGATATACGCTTGTGAGAAAAAACGTCGTGAAGATTCTTCCTACAACGCGTGAAATAAGGAAAAAAGAAAAATCTTATCTTCGACGTTCCGACATTTTGTTACCGAAACGAACCGTTTCGGTAACCAGGATTCAAACTACATTCAAGGATTCAAGACTTCATGCATGGATGGTGATAGCAAAATACCATGTAAAGTTACATGTAAATGTGTGCTTTATCTTTCCTACTATATTCAATTATCTCCCTTTGCAGGTCATGCAGACATCGTATCCTACCTCCTTCACAACTACCGCAGAGTGCGGATAGACCAGGTGAACAGGACAGGCTTTACTGCCTTAATGAAGGCGGCGATTCAGGGGCGAACACGATGTGCACAGTTATTACTATGGGCTGGTGAGTAGTCTTGCTCACACACATCGTTTCTTGAAGACATTATAAATTATGGCTTTTTTGGAATCATCACCTTCAAGGAATGGTCATTCCACATTGTCGCACTAAGAAATTTTGACAATGATCTAATCTTCTTGGACTTTACTTTAAATAAATTGGGGTGATATAGCAAAGTGAAGAGTATTGTGGCTCCTGATTGTTTGATGAAAATGTTTTTGGGCTTTGAGGAGAGGGGCAAATATTTCCTTCTGTTTTTTTTTTATAAAATCTGCTGGTCGAGAATTTAAACCTCTTATGATAATAATTCGTTCCCTCGAATTTCAGGTGCATCTGCCAAACTTAGAGATCAAGGACGTGGTCTCTGTGCTGTGGAGTGGGCAAAGTTTTGTGGACGTAAGGTTTGTTCCGACGCCATAATGGACTATGTTGCAAGCAAGCGTTCATTTCTTCGCCGAAAGGCTAAGCAGAAAGAGAAAGAAAAGACAGGTTCAATGAAAAAATCACTGAGTGAGCCCGATCTTAAAACGCCAAGCCAATCTATTGATGTCCCAATGAACAAGCGGCGTGTTCATAGCTTTAAACGAAAGGTTAAGAAGGCGTTCCATATAGGTTATGTCCGAGGAAAGGAACATAATTACAGCCTCACTGCCCATGATAAGAGTCCACTGATAAACATAATGCGATGTGTATCTACTCCTTTACTACCTTTTCTGACAAATGGTAGTGATGCTCTAATGCCAAGTGTTATGTTTCCTCGCACTGTTAGCGTAGGGGAGGGACTGAATTCCTACACAAATGTGCCTACCTTACAGATCTCAAGACCAGACTCCGAGACAAGTATACTGGATGTAAATGACCAGGATCGTGCTCCGGGTCTGGTGAAACGTAGAATTAGGAACGCTTTCTCCCTGAAGAATCTGACAAGGAATACAACTGCCAACAGCGATACGTAGTTCCAATCAAATACTTCAGTCCGAAGAACTATTAATCAAAATTGGTTAAAATGATATTTAGTTTTAATTGTATATACTACATGTATTTTTTAAAATATACTCGAGATACATAATTGTTTGAAACATATACTGTGCATGCTGTACAATAAAGATTTAAGAAATTAGAGCCACTCGATGGTACCTTGGATAGGGAAATAGATCTTGGGAGAAGCTGCGTCAACTATAGTATCCAAACCCGTTCTTGTTCGATCCTTACGTACGGCTAGCATAGAGCTTAAATAACACCGTACGTCTCAACCAAGGCTGTACGTCCATGCCCAAGTCTACTTTAAAAGACCCCATACAAAGTGTCAAAGTACTCTGAATCACCTACATATGATTTATCTGGGACATTTTTTCTCAAAATTGAACTTCCTTGGCTTGCATGTATACATTTGGAAGCATTATTCAAAATTCAACAGTTTATTCTCTAACATGTTTTCGAAAAAGGAAGTATCGGTTTTGCGTTTGCACAGTTTGCTGTTCACGTTTAACCAATGCAACAGTGCTACTGTGAACCATAATTTTGAACAATGAATTTTCACCCATGAATGGAAACAAATAAGTACTTATAAACAGAAGAGCTTAATTTTTTTTAAATTGGACTTAAATGTGGAAACAAGAGTGAAAATACGACTGCAATGACATAATCTACAGTCACAATGATGAACTGTTAAACATATCATACTGTCTAAAAATCAGAAATTAATAACGCCTGTGTTCAAATTGTACCTCACTTTTTAACATTCATTGACATATAAGCTGCTTTGAAGATAGGGAAATGGGGAATATTCATACTTGACAGTTTTCCGGAGCAGGAGGCAAAGAAAAAATAAGGCATCAAAGCCGATTAACTCGTTAAGAACAGTAAATTAGTAGAACACGAGGCGTTCCTAATCATTCTAGCGCATTCTTAAGGCAACCTAATGCAGACTAAGTAAAATTTATGTCTCTTGGGTAGTAATATTCCTTTGATTTGTTGCTTTTTAAAATCGTGATTAGGTACAAAACATGAAGAGATTGTATCGTACACATTCACTTCTTTTACGACTCTAAAAACGGCCAGTTACAATAATGTAGATTAAAAAGTGACTCACCAATACCCGGGCACCAATGACGTTAATGATTTAAACCATTTTAACCATTTTGTCTATAATTAATATAGCATAGTTATAATTACAGTAATTAATATAATTCTCACATCTATAAATGATCTAATACGTGATGTCTCATCTGATATGGATTGTTTACCCTACTATAACACCAAACTAGTTCTCACTACGTTCTCGAAAACGGGCTAAAACTGTGTACGAACTGGGTAGGTTCTCGTGGTCGTCACGTTAGAGAGTGACAACGTACTAACGACGAGCTGGACGTACTACGAACGGAACCGTCGTACTTCAATCCGTCGAACTTCATAAACGTTCTCAGACGGGAAGGTGATTTTAAAATTTTGAAATGATTCAAAATTCGATGGCGACCATACCGTTCTGTATTCAGATCGTGTGACAACGTACTTCAAACAAGATGACCTCTAAACCAGGAACGTAATTGCCGTACTTCAACCCTACGTTGTGCCATAGGAAATCAATTGCAGTACGTGTGCACACCGATATGGTGCGATCTGAACGAACTGAGGATGAGATGGACGTATTGAAGACTGTTTATGAACGAAGTAGCTAATCATTTTAGACATATATCCCGACCACAGCCAGATTTAACCCGTTTTACGACTTTTTCGTAGGACTGGAAAGAACGGTTGAGAACTAGTTTGGTTCGTTCATAAACGGTCGTCAATACGTCCATCTCATTCGCAGTTCGTTCAGGTCGCACCACGCCGGTGTGCAACGTCGTATAATGCGTCCATTAGTCTAGAAGGTCATCATGACCTGATTACAGAACGGTATGGTGGTCGCCATCGAATTTTGAATCGATTCAAAATTCTAAATCACATTCCCCGTGCGGGAAAGTCCATGAAGTTCGTAAACAGACCGTAGAACATTGTAGCTACGTTCATTCCGTTCGCACACAGTTTAAAACCAGTTTTGAAGAACGTAGTGGCAACTTGCATGGTGCCAATCTAGAGGACCTACCCGTTCGAGTACGTTCTATGAAGTTTGTAAATAGACCCCCGGCGGTTCTAAGTACGTCCAGTCCGTTCGTACACAGTTGAAGCCCGTTTTCGAGAACGTAGTGAACTAGTTTGGTGTGATAGTAGGGTAAATAGCAGAAAAACAATGAAATCTAGTGCCGCCTTCTTTTATTCAGCTTTTAATTTAGGCAAGACTGCCATTCACATACATGTTAAAATCTTGGAATAGTGGCTTAATTTCATGATTTATCAAAAGGTGTTAGTCGAATCTGTGTACAACTTGAATGATTTACCATAATGATGACCCTGTAAATGTACATTTTGTGATTAAACATGCAAATGTTGGTTGACATATAAATAATCCAAGGTTTTAAAGAATTTTAGTATTGCACCAATGGAGATTGGCCCAAGTTCTTTTTAAATGCCATGGAAAATGATTCAAATGACATAACTGTGTAAATCAAAGCTATTATAATTATAGGAGAAAAATTTCCCTGAATTCAAATATGTCATTTAAAAGAAGGAAATGTTATTAGAGTCCTAATATGCAAATCTATTTAATATTATATAAATACAATTGAAGAAAATCATCGATCTAACGGCTTTCAATTTGTAATATCACTCACACCGTTGGTACAAACGTTGGGAGTAAAAAAGCTCCAAAAAGTGTTGATTTTTAAGGTTATCTGGCACTTCTTTTGAAGAAAGGACTAATGTCTACATCTTCTATCTTCAATAACTTTATATTTCATAAAACACACCCTTCATAAGTTTGACAACCAGAATTTCCGTTTAATAGTATGTTATTTAAGCCTTTTAATGACTGTCTTTATGTTGCACCTTTATTACAATAGACATTTTCTATATCAATGGAAAACTAGATGGCATCACGGCTGTTGGTAGGGCCAGAATACATGGAAACATATAGCTGGAGTCACTTTAATTTCTTGACGTAACAAGTAATTCCATTTGGATCAACTTAAAACACCATTGAAACATTAAAATTGTGATCCTTATTAGAGTAAATAAACTTTTAAAGATTTTTCAACATTGTGGGATTTAGCCGGACCTTTTTCAGAAACCATAAGCTAAATAACTGTGCAAATCAAAGTTGTTTTAGTAGAAAATTACACACAGAACTCAAATATGCCATCAAATAGAAGAAACTGTCTTAAGAAGTTAAAAATGCAGATTTTCTAAAATCTTATTTAAAATGAGACTTTAACCAGATTTCAGCTTTAACTCATCTATTGATTTATGACAAATTTGATGATTTTTTGAAAATATTGCTAACATTTGACACTGTGGTCCTTTTAATTCCTTTAACTTATTAGATTTGTGTTTAAATCACCTCTTTAACAGTACACCCTGTAGCTCGGTTGTGAAAAGCAACACTACGAAATATCTAACCTCGCATGACATCTATATGACTGTAGGCTAACAAATAAAGGTTTCAGTTGTTCCTACCCAGTGGAAAGTGACGATGAAACTAAGTTGTGCCTTCACAAATTTTATTCAGTATTTCACATCAGCCAGAGGGTTGTTGGAAACAAGCTTACGTATGGGGAGACCGACATCGCTTGCAGGGATAGATCATTGCAAAAGGAGTATAAATTCTCTTTCCTGTGCTAATTATGACCGCGTTCAAATTAACACTTGATGGAGTTCAAAATATTTCTGACAGCGTTAACAGTAATGCTTCACGGTGTTAAAAGTGATTTTTCACGGCGTAGAAATTACTTTAAACTTGAAATTGACGTCTAACATGTCAAAGATTATTTTTAACGCCGTCAAACTATTCATTGTTCTAAACGCCATGAAAGAAGGTTGCATACAGTATAGTATGGTATAATGGGAATGTAGGAGGGTCACATTTATTCAATAAAAACATCCCTAACTCCCGACCCCGACCAACCCTCCCAATACAGCCAACTATTAGCTTACAAGACCTAAAGAACGGCTCGTGTATGGAGTAACAAGGTTGTATCCACCAAACTTAACATGATCGAGGTACGACATTTTTAAAAATGATATATATGTGAACTGAGTACTTACCGTATGCAGTTCTTGCCCGTAGCCAGCCTTTATCAAGAGGGAAGCTTTTTGACAGTTTTGGCTAAAAATCATGCGAAAAGTGCTCAGAATACTCTCAACTTCGAAGTATAAACCGAAACGTAAATCAACCCTGGCCTTTTATTTGTTCTTGAAACGACTGTGTCATATGCATGACCATGGATTTTTAAGAAAACTGACCTTGAGCCGAACCTTGAATTATGATTGATATGAAGGTGTTGTCATCATAAACATACTTGTATACAGGGTCGACCAAAAATACGTTCATATCTTTTTTTATTTTGCTGTAGCTTTAATGACAATATTTTAATATTTGCTCCTTAAATGCAGCAGTCAAAATGACATCAGCAATAAGCATGTCTTCAGTAATGTGTAACATTAATGGCAATCAATTGCTTGTATATTATTGTTAAATAGGAATAAATGTATGTATAAAAAAATTAACAGTGTCCCCTTATTTCGGAATAAGGTAGGCACCCTATCTCTAATATCCAATGCATTATAATAAAGAAATTCCCGAATTACATGGACGTTTTTTGACCTCACCTGTATATAATGATCTAAATCGGAAGATCATGTAATACAGATAATTTCAATTAATCATGCATTATATAACGAATATCCTATACATCCGATCATTAGCAAGCTGCCATCATACAGGAAATGAACGTCACGCCATTCATAAAATATATACCATATTTGACCTTCTCCCGTTTCCATTTAATAATATATATTTTGTAATCATTTAATTATTGATTAATTAGGACGATTAAATTATTGAAACGGATTTAATGTGACAATCAAAGATTTAAACATTTCCATCATTTCCACTAGTTAATAAAACATAATTATTGTGAAAAAATGTGTAGTAGGTCAAGAAGACAAAAAATGATTAATTTAAAGAAAAGGTCAATCCAAAATATTTTTATTCTCTTAAATTCATGATGTGTTATTATTTTTCAAGAGATTCCAGAAAATTTGAAGCATTTGTACCAAAACATATATATTCTATCATATGTCTTGATATGTTTAGTCAATGATATAATAGCCTCGCCCATTGTAGGATTCACTGTCTCTACTACCAAAGAGAAACTCGGACTAAATCAGAATGCCCCCACGACCAACATTACATGACGCACTCATCCTTCATTCAAACTAGGGCTTCCTTCATTCATCAATTATGGAAAGAAGTGAACTCCCCTTGGACCAAGGCCGAGTCATTGTCATTATTTGCCATAATGTAATTTATCGCGATTTTTCTGAGATTGCTCAATGATGGAAATTATAAAAAATTGTGGAAATTATGTGAAATAACATTTTACAAGTAAATTCTTTCAGACAGAAAATTGCAGATTTGATCATTAAAAATCAACAAAATCAATCAATGCATTGTGAAAAAAATGCGTGAACAGTGCAACTGGGTATTCACTTCTGAATATCATAATTATACAAATATCCTGCAAACGGCGTTCTTGAAGTTCTACATCTATGATAAATTGTACGTATAATTAAAATAGCAAATGGTAATAGTTGATGAGAGCAAATGAGGTACACGTTTGAAATTCCACAAGAGTTGTCCTATACTTTTATGTTGGCGAAATGCCTGAACGGAGACGCAGCATATGTTACTACGGATCTCATTACTACATCTGAACGGTGCCAAGTTCAGGAGAAATTCTCAGGTGAACCATTTAAATGTATTTAAAGAAAACGTCTTTCCTCATTCACCTTAGTATTGCACTTGTCTACTGGCACTTATTTTCATAGAGATGAAGTAAAAACTCACTGCTAAAAATCAGTATACTAAACTATACTTGATAATTTCAAATTTCTCAATAATGATTTCTTATAACAAAAGTTTTCCAAAATTTGTTCTACTTTAAAGGCAGAATCTGATCTATAGGGGGTGACAAAATTACAAGCAACATGTATAATTGACCTACCAATCTATTCCTTACAATATCAATACAATATCTCCCAAAAGATTCACAATTATGTTATAAATTGGTGAAGTTATTAATGATCCAAAGTGCAAAAATTAGTGAAAATGTTTAAATTCTCCCAAATAATAAGAATGGTAACCATTCTTATAGAAAAATAATACATTATTGTAAAAAAACTTTAGTTTTCTTGGAATAAAGTATGCACTTTTGTGATTTTTAGAAAAAAGACATGACAAGGAATGACATGAGCCAAAAATATTCTAAAATTGAAACAATTTTTTGTTTAGCCTGCTCGCTATATCTGATTCTCTCTTTAACTTTATTGGGATGTTTACATTTTTCCTAAATAGAAAGTTCTTATATTCAACGTTTTTTCCGTATACTTTTTGTAAGACGAAATGATTTCTTCCTTTTGGCGCCATTATAGGTAATTTCCTGTATCAATTATTACAAAATTATTAAGGGAACTGTTAATTGCGTATTTTTGTGAGTTCCATTGTGAGGAATAACATTTCAAAACATCTGTGAATCATTCCAGATCTAGAAATCCACAAAATAAATGCTTTTGTTGCATAATTATATACATTCGGGGACTGTAAAAAAGATCCTCGGAGTTTCGCGATATATGAATTCCGTGGCCAGTTTGGAAATTTATCATTTGATTCATTTCTCAGTTTCATGTTTTATTTTTCGATGAGATGGAAGAAAAATTAAACGATACGTCTAAAAAACAAAAGCAGAATTGATGGACAAATGCAATGGCCCTAGTAATGACCTTCAAACTAAATGAATGGCTTGACAAAATGACAAATTACTTCAACTTATTTTTGGAACCGGAGCAATGAGTCATGTCATTGTTTACAAACAAACAAAAGTTACAAAACGTACGAATTCCTGTATTTATCAAGTTGTCATTTATCTCCGCATATTTCAAGTTCAAAGTTGGTTGTACTTTAATATAAACAAAAACATGTCATCAATGCTGGCTACTTTGAAACCTGGCAACATTTTCGGCAGAACCCTTCCCCGAAATTCGGAGTAACATTCGTTTTTGCCCATGCTCCGAGTATTTGAAAAGTTGATCACTGTTAATTTTTTAAGTACAGTAAAATATTTCTTTTTGAAAAATCCTTAAGTTGACCACTATATTCAGTGGGGGAATGCGTTTACAGACCTCGCTTATCATTCCTTCATTTGACAAGGACTGCATCTGCATCACCTTCTATTTACCTAAGACATCAAATCATTTTTACCTCCCCTTACACCACACATATGTTATGTTTCTAAAATTAAATTGGATAGGCTACTTTTATTTCTCCTATCAGTACCTTACTATTGGAAATCCCTACCACTGAAGATAGTATTTTTCTTGACGGCTACACGTACCCTACATTTGCCATGAAATAAGGGATATGTTATTCCAATAAAATTCCATTTTGATGCAAGTTCATCGATCATATCTTTCTTTTTCATCAGTAACACACCTTCCCCCAAGACTGGAGAATATGACATGGTTTATCACAGTGAGGATATTCAAACTACCGGGACATTTGGTGCAATGGGTCAACGTAACTTAACAAAAAATGATTTATGATTCTTTGACACTAAATGGACAAGTGCAAACCATTTAGGTGCCGACCTTCATTCTCGGTCCAAATGTCGCCAATTAAATTCGGGCCATATGGAGCTATTCTTAGGTTTCATCAAATGATCATTTATCAATATTTATATAATTCTTGGCAATGACCCTATTTCTCCCCTATAAAACCTAAACTGGCAACGGAAAAGGACAGATCACTGAAGACCCCGAACAACCAAGCACAACCAAGCATCATCGAGCGGGCAACATCGTCATGTTGAAGTATTTCTATATCTGTATGCTGGTAGCTTCTGCGACTGCCCAATATGGAGGTGGTGGTGGTATGCCTGAAAATAACACACCAGAGCAGACGACACCACCTGATAATACTGGAAACGCAATTCCACAAGAAGGGAACGATGGAAACTACGATGCTGATACATTCGAAGAGAAATTGCGAGCATACGCACCATTATTGGCAGAGTACTCACGATACACCAAAGGGTATTCCGAACGATCACCCAAATGTAAGTCAAATAAAATCAAAAATAGTTAAAAATTATTAAGCTACATTTGCAAAATTAATTTGTATCTTTATTCAGCTAATTCATTCTGATAAAATCACGATTATCAATAGGCTCTTTTGAGACGATTTAACACGATGGTGGACTCTATGCAAGGTTAGGAACTTGACACCTTTCTCTTTTAATTCAGTTATTCGCTCGCCGTTCTGCTACGGTAAATACAGTGGTCACTACGCCAACCCAGGTCTTACCCTGGATGCCGATCCTCGCTGCACCTTCATAAGATGCTATAGAGGCCATACGCTACTTTACAACTGCCCTATGGGATTTTGGAACGGGAAGGATTACGGCCATCACGACCCAATGGAGCAGTCCAGTAGAAGTGCATATTATGGCTTCTATAGCGCATACCGACATTATTACCATAACTATCATAGGTTGGTAGGAATATCCCTTTAATGTTGCCATCATTGTATTTTAAATCCAGTAGTAATTCCCCAAAACCTAGTTTATTCTTTAATTGAATTCTGGATAGATTACAATTGCAAACGTTTCATCAGTTGAATTCAATTGTTGTAGATCCCATAAAATTAACATACCATGTAGCTGACATTCCAACTTTCTAACGATGCATCACAACCCGAGGGCAATAGCTGTTCTTTCTTGACCCAGGTTTCTAGACTTTATATTTGATGGATGATTATCGTTGACCAAGACAAAATTACGTGATTCAGTCACATGCCAAATATCGACCAATACCAGAAGAGGTTGTAATTTCAACCAGCCACTCTGTTACTGGTTGATAATTGTCACGTGATACATAAACCAATCACAACTGAGATCAATAAAGTAAATCATCTTCATTGGTTGTATTTCCAGATATTCCCCTAAAGAATACTGCCAGGAAACAGGAGGTTACTTCTCAGAAATGTGCCTCCATCGCACAAAACATAACACATTCAGAGAGAGACAACAAGAGACCGGCCTCTACAATCCTTACGCCACCCAAGAGGAAGCAGAGCAGGACCTCAACATTGCCGATCTGCCTTACGACCCATATGCGTAGATGATCAGATGAACACTGATAGACAACATAGATGGCCAGATGAACATCGATGACCAAATGAACATAGATGACCAAATGAACATAGATGATCATATGAACACAGACGATCAATTAATGCACAAATTAACAATGGCTGAACCAGTAGTGTATCCTACCATAAAAGACAAGTCTCGGTTTGGAAAACGAAGTTCATCAGCCTACTGCACGTAACGCCTGCTTTGGACAATTTTTGATATTTCTACATATTGTAGATTGAAATGTTCTCTTGAATATCCATAATTTAATTAATTATAAGCGCAGTAGACTGATGAACTTCGTTCTCCAAACCAATTTTGATATTTTTACATATTGTAGATTTAAATGTCCTCTTTTGAATATTCATAATTTAATTTTGGTGTTGTTTCTATATTTTTCACAAAAAAGTTATTAGCCCAGACTGATGAACTTCGTTCCCCCAACCGAGACTTGCCTTTTTAAATGTATTCATTTTCATATGAAATGATTATATCTTCATCCGCAGAGGCGTAGCCAGAATCCCAAATTTTTGGAAGCAGCTCAAACTAAAAATTCATAAGAATTATACTAGTAAACTATCATTATTTTTCAGTTTCAGTTAAAATGATACAATAATCAGTAAAATTCTAGCACAACTGCCTCATATTCTGGTTACGCCAATGACAAAGCATAAAACGATGACCTCTTGTACATGAGAATCATTTCCATTTATATTACTCTGTGAAATAATTCATATTAATTTATTGACTGTAAATAAATAAATGCATGCAGCAAAACTCAAGCATACTAGTCTTGTTTTAGATCACGTGATAAGCTAGTATTGTTTCACTTGTATTTTTCATCCAGCAGTAACCTTGTCAATCACAAACCCGGTATAGACCATTTTAAAAGAATAGTTTGGATTTCAATCGTTGTTTGCAATAAATGATTCTACGTTGATTCTGATGAAAATATTGAAACATGAAAATTAACACTTTCCGCCCTCTCTCCTCTATTCTTATTAATTCATTTTTTCCTAAACGTACAAAGACTGACTTCTGCTGACTTCGGAACATTTCTACATGGTTACTTCAACATTTTGCACTAAAATAACATGTTTTCTTTGAGGCTATCAGGATGATAAAAATATCATTCCAACTCTCCAAAAACATTGTTTCATGTGTTTAGGACCCCCAATACATTTTTAAAATCTCAGACATGTTCTCTAAAAAGATAACATCCCTTTTCACTTTTACTAGTCTTGCCATGTCGGTCTCTTTTATTTATTTTGATTTCTATTATGACCGCCGGTAATAATTCAAGATCAGATAAGTAAAAAGTACCGACTTGGGCGAGCCCCCGGGGGCAAGCCTACACTTTTACATCAAAACTGACGTCAGTTAACTTCCGAAATGGGAAACGGCATTGACATGCGATAAAGTGGAAAACAACTATATGTTGCCCTCTGATTGGTCAATTCCTGTGTTGTGCCAATCTGTATTGCTACTGATATTGTCCCTATTGATCATCTCCGGAGGGGACAATCTCAGTAGCAATAGAGAGAATACAGAATATTTTAGATTATCTCCCAAGTAAAATGTATGAAGATCTTACACCTTAGATCACATGATAAAAACATTATTGAATGATTTGAAATGCAACACGGGATATATTGTGCTCTCGATATTCTATATCTGCACACCACTCGTCTCATGCCAATACAGAATTTCTCGAGCACAATATATCTTGTATTACACTCCAAATCATTCAATAACTTATATTATGATGAGAAAATAATTATGACTGTCTTATATAATTTGCCAAACCTGGTCCTTTTCAAATTTATTTGAATATCATTCTTTTCAAAGTTAATAGTGGTAACTGAAGAAAAATCTTAGCAACAAAGTATAATAATATCCTAGATTTTAATATGCTGGTAATAATCTTACTAAACAAATGGGGTGAGAATATCACTATCATATTGGGTAAAATGACTTCTACATTGCTTTTCATGGTTTTTAAGGAGATAATAAATGTTCTTCGAGTATACTACTCAATCAGATATTCAATTTGAAACAACTCCATCTATACTACACCACCCGAAATAATTAACATTTGCTCAAGTGGGTAGCCTTCCAAACAGAAGTCAACTTCAAACCTGAATGCCCCCATACATCATTGGATAAAATTCAAGCTGGATAGGGTAAGTGGATTTGTTTTAAAAAGATTACCAACCAAATAAACCCATTCCGTGAATAAGCAAATCTTATCTTGGACAGCTTTGACAATGAAGCAGCATCTACTGATGTAAGATAAAATATTCAAATTACATTTTGTTTGTTGTTTATTTCTAAATGAAGCTTACATCTATGCTTTAAAATGTGTACGTCACTATTTCACTGCTTTGGATTGAGAATTTCCAATAATAAAACCTATGTGTAACAAAAACTGAATTTAAAATAAACCTACTTTCTCTTGTTTCTGTAAAATTAAAAATTGAGGACAAGAGCTGAAACTAATATTGCTGATAATTGTTAGTTAGATAAAGCAGAGCTGTAGATGCCTCATTTGCTGGTATAAACTGTGCCTGGGAGACAACCTGTTGCTGGCCATCAGTCTCCTCAACAGTCACAGGAACTTGTCTGACAGTCTGGTTATCATCCTGAATGACAGCATCCTCCTCACTGCCAACCTGAACACTTTCCTGGCTACCTATTTGAACTGTCTTTTGGCTACCTACATGAGATCCATCCTCCACTTGTATATTACTGAGCTGTACTAGTTGACCAAGCTGTTGAGAGCCAAGATGGACAATTTGCTGAGAGCCCATTTGGACAGGCTGATTGCCTTCCTGAACTTGTTGTTCATCCACCTGGACTTGTTGACTACCTAACTGGATTGTTTGCTGTTGAGAGTCTATAGGGTAGGCTTGACCCCCAAACTGGTAGGTCTGTAGGGTCTGCACCTCATAGTTACCACCAGGTCCAGTCTGCAGATAGATGTCGTGATCAGAGGGGACCACTTCTATAACCTGAATCTAAAAATTCATAAAATATTCATTAAGTTAACCCAAGTCTATTGCTTAAAGCCATCATCAGATACATAACTGGACTTGAATGTATGTTTCTGAGAATGCTAACAATGGTTGTTGTACCACAAAACAAAGAAATTAGCTATACTATTTTAAGGAAAAATAAACTGTTCTTTATATGACAATATTTACTTGTTTATTACATGAGTACCAGGCCCGTAGCCAGGATTTGCCAAGGGGGGTTCATTTTTCAAAAATTTCCAGGGGGGGTTCACATTTGACAATTTTGGCCCAAATATGGCTAAAATGGTGAAAAACTGCATGATTTTGAAAGAATTTTTGGCCAGGGGGGGGGGGAACCCTGCGAACCCCCCCCCCCCCTGGCTACGGGCCTGAGTACAATATCTGTTCATTTACAATATGACTTGTAGTCATATTTACAAGTTTAACATATCTTTTCATTATAATTTATGCATCTGCTTAATGTTCATAAAAGAAGTACATTTTAATCCATTCATAAAATAAAGTACAAATACCTGTTGCGTATCTTGAGAATCCTGCTGTTGAAACTTGGTCTCCACAGCATCAAGCAACTCCGCATTCTGAATCTGTGGTTTCCTGTCGAAATCAAGTCCAGTGTTCAATTTCTGCATTCCAGGAGTATCGTGGGTTCTAAGATGTCGAATCAAAGAGAATTTTCTATTGAATTTTTTCGAACAAAATGCACATGGGAAGGCACGTGGATTTTTGTGGATTGTATTGATGTGTTTTTGTTGAACTGATTTTGTCTTAAATGCAGCCCCACAAACCTCGCAAAGGAATGCCTTTAGTGGTGAGTGAATTGACATATGCTCTTTCAGATGTGCCTGAAATACAAGAATAATACAATACAGAAACTATCATCACCCCCCCAGAGATTAAACTGTTTAAATAGTGTCCCAAAGAGACGAGTGGAGAAATAGGTCTATAATGGTATTAATCAATGTTAGTCTGAAGAAAACATAAATCTAATCTAAACTTAATAGAAGCTGATATTCATCAAATTCAATCAATATGATGTCATTCCTAATTGTCAATTACTATCAATATCAAGTGTAGATATATTCTTCTATATTTACAAAAATTTGAAATAAAATTACTACATTGATTTATAGTACTATATTATTACTAAATTTTTCACTAACAGCATTTCCATGAAAAATAATAAGATACATGTATGGGTGGTAAGAGAGGGGCACTCTAGATTTGATGCAAAAATATGTAACCTACTTGGGCTCTGAATCCTTTGCGACACACTTTGCAATTGAATTGGTAGTGACGTTCTTCAGGGTTCAAATGTATAAACCTATGCTGTTGTAGAGCATCCTTCCTCTTAAATCCCCGGCCACACATATCACAAAGATGCGGCCGATCCTCACTATGAACATGTTTAGTATGGCGTAAAAAGTGTTCTCGGCGTACTGTTTTATAATCACACTCTTTGCACTCAAAGGGAATGACATTTCCTTCTTCATCTACACCAACTCCCGACTCATGCCTAGAATTATGCCTCTCAAGTAGAATCTTATTTGATGTTGAATACGTACAATCGCCAAATTCACACTGATACTTTTGCATTGATTTCATATGTTCAGCAGGGTGTCTTTTCTTAACATGTCGGTCCATGCATGATAATAAGTTGGTCACATAACTGCATAATTTACACTTTATAATATCCTCACTGTGGCGAATTAGATGTCTTTTATAGTGGCCCTGCCTGATAGCTGTAAAGTCACACTGCGAACATTTGTAGAGTTTAGGGTTCTTCTGTTCATGAACCATTCTGTGTTTTATCAAGTGTTTTTCTCTTTTAGTTTTGTAAGAGCATATTTTACAGAAAAATTTGTATGGCGTATCTTTTTCATAGTCTTTTGTTGACTTTGATCTAAATCCTGCAATGAAGAGAGTAAAGGTGAAGTGTTATGTAACAAATACAAGAAGTTCCATGAAATATAATTGTAACAGATTTCAAAAGTGATTGACGAAAGGTTAAAGATGTCAAGGTATTTTCATCCAGAGTTGTTTGAAAACAAAAACATCTGAAAACAAATGGCTGGCACAATCAATTGAAGCTGTATCATACTTATAAATGCAAGCTTTTAAAGATGGGGCCATCAAAATATAATCCTAAATGTCAAAAAGTCACATTGGATAAACACATTTCTCTCAGTATTCCTCTGGTAAAAAGTCAATATTCAGAATTAATTTTTTTTTAAATATCTGGGTGAATTGTTTGGTAACCGGACAACTGATCCCCGAGATGACTCATCCCTGGACAACTGATCCCCGAGACAACTCATCCCCTGGACAATTCATTCCCTAGACAGCTCATCCCCTGGACAACTCATCCCCTAGACAACTCATCCCTTGGACAACTCATCCCCTGGACAACTCATCCTTTGGCATGTTTAATCTAATTCTAAACTAATTCAAATGATTTTTAGATGTTTTGGTTATCATGATCAGTTTTAAGTTTCAAAAACATATATTACATCATACATGAACACTGGTACGGGTACGATTTTTCTTTTTTCCTTATTTCACCAGTTATTGGCAGAATTCCAACCACATTTTTATCACAAACGTGTGTCAGTATCATAATGTCTAAGAAAATGTACATGTTGCGAACAAATATGTTATTTTCTGGTACAAAATTAAGTATGAAGGCATGTGTGCATGTCCTTGCTTTTTTCAGGAAAGTATCATTACACTGTCTCTTTATAGTAAACCTGGAAAGTGGAAACAGGCCAATGGTAGCTCGTGTGTTATCTGGAAACTTTGAAAGAAAATTTGGAAAAATAGAAAGTGTGAAATATCAGAATTTCCTGGAGTTCCCATTGAACTCCTTCCAGATATTCTGAAAAAGACAATGTAATGATACTTTCCTGAAAAAAGCAAGTAAATTGACACATGCCTTCATACTTTATTTTGTACGAGAAAATAACATGTGCAATTTTTTACCAAAATGTTATTTTCCAGCTATACTTAATCAACGATTTAAGGTTCAGCTGGAAAGTAACATTTTGGTAAAATATTGCTATACCTGCACATGTTATTTTCTGGTACAAAATTAAGTATGAAGGCATGTGTGTATGTCCTTGCTTTTTTCAGGAAAGTATCATTACACTGTCTACTTATAGTAAACCTGGAAAGTGGAAACAGGCCAATGGTAGCTCCTGTGTTATCTGGAAACTTTGAAAGAAAATTTGGAAAAATAGAAAGTGTGCTTCGCAAACATGTACATTTTCTTCAAAATATGATACTGTCACACGTTTGTGATAAAAATGTAGTGGGAATTCTGCCTACAATGCATGAAATAAGGAAAAGAAAAAATCGTACCTTCAAGGACATTTTGTTACCGAAGCGATCTGATTTGGTAAAACAGTAAAAAGCATAATTCAGTGGAGTACAAGTGATGAACAAAGACTTTCTGGGGGTGAAATTGTTTAAAAAACTATTATATTGTCAGAGATAATCAACCATTTAATATGTGATTTGTTTTTTAAATATTTACCTTTAATTTCACTTTTAATATATACAATTTCAATATTATATTAAAATTGATGTCATAAGTTCCTTTGATGTCATAATATTTTTCTAGTTCAAATATTCTTTAATCCAAAGATAATTTTTCCACAGCATTCACAGATGAACTTACTGACGTTCATGTTTCAAAGTCATAAAATATTGAGTCATGTAATATAAGGACAAGAGATGAAAGTTTTAATGGCACCATTTAACTGTTTGACTGTTTTATTTGTGTCAATAAAGTGAAAAAAATATTTTGAATGATCAAAGGTGTATTTATCAAATATTTATTTTCCAGAAACACTTTACAATTTGGCTTTATGTGATAAAGGATGAGTTCTCCAGGGTATGAGTTGTCTAGGGTATGATATTCCAGGGGATGAGTTGTCCAGGGGATGAGCTGTCTAGGGGATGAGTTGTCTAGGGGATGACTTGTCTGTAAGCCAATTATTTTTGGGACTTACCTAAACCTCTTTTTCGTCTTTTCCTTCTTTTATTTTCTTTTTCACTCTTGGAGCCTTCATCTTCATCATCTTTGGTAGGATCATAGTCAACATCCATATCACTATCATCCAAGTCTTCCTTATCAGGATTATCACCATCATCATCTTTAGAATCCTCATTATCATCATCAATCTTCTGATTGTCTCTTATCCTTTCTTTGGCACACTGTTCATCATTTGTTTGATCCTTATTATTGCTTTCATCTATTTTTACACGTATACGTAAAGAACTACCTGTCGTCTTGGCAGGTTTTGATTCCACTGGACTATCCCTTGAAATAGGTTTAACAAGTCGCCCATGTCTTGAATAGACTGGCTTCAGAAGAGTGCATTCAATGCTTTTATCACATTTTGTTTTCGGGAATTCAAATAACTCATTCAGCTCGTGTTCGATGCTAGATAAAGTTGGGATATCTCCTTCCAGTGACACATCGTTGTTTTCTGCAATGTTGATTTTCAGATCAGATCTGTTTGGATTTTTTGGAATATGGCTCAGAAATAAAAGTTTTGCATCAATTGCACCTGGAATTCTGTTTAAGACATCTTGTGTTAAAGTAGCTGTGATGGTTCCAAACACCTGAAATATGTATAAAACATATCAATATTATATCATTCTTATCAAAATACATCCTCAGATTACAGGGCTTCAAAATCCAGAATATATTCTTTCTTTTTACCCCTGCTATAAGCAGTTAGCATTTCCCCGATTAAGAACTCGCAATCTGATTGGCTACAGAAATCATGTATAAGTCATTGCGCATAATTAGATCACGTGATTGAGTTTAATCGGGCGCTTCCAAATTGGTTATACCAGGGGGAAGAACGAGGTACGGATTCTTGATACCTGCTTAGAGTCCATTTCACTGCTTCAGTTCGTCAGTAGAACGGCAAAAATAAGAAATTGGGAGACTATTGTGCAATAATATATGGAAAAGTATATTCATAATGTACATGAATGACATTTGTATATTTCAGATTTTTTAGTTTTTTGTGCAATAAGCCTGTGCCGTCTTGTAATTTGAAGAATTTCAGCCATGTTAATCTTATTGAAAATAACATGGCAGAGAAACATCCAAATATAAGAGGCCACACACTTTATAAGCCAAACTAGAAGCAATCCAAGATATACAAATGTCATTCATGTACATTATGAATATACTTTTCCATATATTATTGCACAATGGTCTCCCAATTTCTTATTTTTGCCGTTCTACTGACGAACTGAAGCAGTGAAATGGACTCTAGGAGGATGATCAAAATAGAATAGGGTCATTCTGTTGAGTTTTAAATCTTCCCTAGGAAAGAACAACTAAGCAGATGTGAATTTCCCTAAATATCGGCAAATAAAATTTGAACTCAATAACTCAATACATCTACAAGATCAGAACAAAGTTAAATGGGATAATTATTTTCTTACCTTCAACATAGCACTCTTATCATGGGATTCAACATTGGCGTTTTCATATTCCAGAAGAGAATCTTGGTTGAGTGCCTTGGGTACCACCTCCATTGTGTGATGTTCTCCCTCATTAAGACTTGTCGCTTGCATCTTGATATCTGGATTTTTTAGTATGCCATGGAGGACTGGATAGGGTGCCTGTTCCATTGAGTGATGCTCTACTGGGACTTGAAGTAGCTCATGCTGAATGGAATCTTCATCCTGTTTGGCTGGATGCTGTGCTTGTTCAGTTGGTAAGTGAGTGGCATACTCCAACTCATTCAGGGTTGAATCTAAGTTGTTCTTTATATCCCTAGGGTACAAACTTTCTGGTTCTGTATTAGATACAGAGTCAGGTAATCCATCCAATACTGCTTTTACATTGTTGGAGCTCTCATCCATTATTGTTTCTTTAATTGAATTATTAAGTTGTTCAGAATGATCATTAATCCATGGTTCTGTGAGCACTGAAGTGTACAAACAACAGGCCCGTAGCCAGGGGGGGTTCGCAGGGTTCGGGCGAACCCCCCCTGGCCAAAATTTCTTTCAAAATCATGCAGTTTTTCACCATTTTGAGCACTTTTCAAGTGATTTTAGCCATATTTGGGGCAAAATTGTCAAATGTGAACCCCCCCTGGAAATTTTTGAAAATTGAACCCCCCCTTGGCAAATCCTGGCTACGGGCCTGAACAAAATGTTCAGCATTTGAAATAATAGTTGTATAATGGATGAATAATATTGGTAGTGGTAATGTTTCTAATCAAACTAGAAAAACTGCAAATCCATGGAGTAGCAAATCCCACCAAAACATATTTTCGTTATTAGTGGCCATCTAGAAAATTTTTGAGCAGAGCTTGTTTGTCCCTAGGCCCCGCCCTAGTATGTATCCAACAGACTGACTAGAAGTCAGAAAATTATTATGGTAAGTATTGGTTACCCCTGGGCTGTCAAATAGCTCAAATAGAAAATTGTTATGATGTACTACTTTCCTGTGGAAATTGCAGTGAAATTTTTTGCACAAAATTATCAATTAGAGGAAGCATTTCTTCGATAAAATAAACATTACAAAATTTCAATTAAGTAGTAAGGTACAATTAAATGCAATAATAAAAAGTAACACAGCATATTGTCAAGTGGAAGTAAAGCTAGTTGAAGTAACAAATGTGCAAATTAATTTTACCCAATCGGCCATTTGAATAGCACTTACTATGTAAACAAATATTTAATATTACCAAACTTTAACATAGGTGCCTTATAGTCCGAATATAATTCAGACTAGATAGGATATAGTCTAGGCCCCGCCCTAGGCAGTAACATATAAAATGTGAACCATATTCATCAATAAGCATTTGAGTTATCAAAGATTACGTTCCTTTTTTACAAAAAAATCACAGCCATTTTGAAATCCGGCCACCACCTTGAAAACACTTTATCGGACAGAGCTAGATCTACTGCGTCCCTTGGTAGACTATATCCTATTTAGTCTGAATTATATTCAGACTATAAGGCACCTATGTTAAAGTTTGGTAATTTGAAATATTTGTCTACATAGGAAGTGCTATTCAAAATGGCCGATTGGTAAAATTAATTTGCACATTTGTTACTTCAACTAGCTTTATTTCCACTTGACAATATGCTGTGTTACTTTTTATTGCATTTAATTGTACCTTACTATTTAATTGGAATTTTGTAATGTTTATTTTATTGAAGAAATGGTTCCTCTAATTGATAATTTTGTGCAAAAAATTTCACTGCAATTTCCACAGGAAAGTAGTACATCATAACAGACTGACTTCTAGTCAGTCTGTTGGATACATACTACGTCCCTTGGTATCATAATATAAAATTTATCAAATTATCAATTTATCTTATGAAAAATGAACACCATTTTGAAATTAAGCAGCCATTTTGAAAATTTCTTCTTCAGCGAAACTCCTAAAGTCCCTGGGCATAAAAGATTAAATTTTTTACGAAAATTTTTTTAAATCGGTCAACCGGTAAAGGAGGTACAGACTGCACTGAACGAAAAGCTCGGGGATTGCCGGTCCCTAGTTCATTCCATCTTGCTTCATCAAGCTTCGGTCCTATCCTAGAACGTAGTGATTGAGCGTGGGAACCGACGATTAGATCTAGCCTAGTTTCTTCTTGAAAAAATCTTTTTTGAAAAAAAAACAGATCTACATTTTCATTGCCTCGCACTATTTGACCGTAAGAGTAAAGTCGAATGCTAGCTTACCTCAATAACACGGTGTATATCTATGTAAATATTATGGTGAGATGAATAATATATTCTAATACTGCTAATAAGTGTCAATATTATCATAAAGCGATAAACAAAATTTTTTAGATTTTTTGTGGAAGGAAGAGAATCAACACTGTAATTTGATTGGCTCGATTTAATACAGCTTTCGAGACGGTGCTCCAGTTAGTCACGAAATTATTGAATCACGAATTCGAAGTACCTATGTGAAGTAGACGGGTAATCTTTTCTTCATTCGAGAAATAATGTGAAACTTCCTGATTCAAAATGGGAATTGCGTTTTGAAATGCAATAAACAAAAGTTTATCATTAAATGCAATAATTAATGGAAGGTGACACTGGCGGATCTGGGCGGGGGGGGGGGGGGCAGAAAGAAAAATTGGGCCAAAAAGGCCTTCAGGCCCCGATAAGTGGTCCGTTCTGGGTATTACTGGGCATTTTAAGGCCTTTTTTTTTAATATTAGGTCAAGTTTTGAAGAAAATGGGCCTTAGATTTTCAAAATTTAGGCCCACCTTTAGGTTTTAGGGCCAAAAGTTGTTTATCACACTTGAAATTTTGCCCCCCCCTCCGGCCAGGTTTGCATAATAATGGGAGAGTGGGAGAGTAAGCCATACATGTACATGTAGTATGCATAGTGCAGAGTATTGCTGGTTGATTCCAATGCATGGTCTGATCACCTTATCTTTGGGGTGACATTGATATCTGTAAGAGATCGAAGCGAACGCATGCAGAAATCAATTAAATATCACCGAGTAGATTAAAGTGATATTCTGAAAAAATCATATGACGTTCTTACTATCGATCCAATTATGCTAGTGTAGCTTACTAAATCTATGATCATGTCAGACCGCTAAAATTATATTGAACAAAATCCCAGCAGTCAAAAATCAAATAGTCGTCCGTATTTTATTCTTTAATTTAAAAAGACATACTTATTTTAGTACCAATTTAATGTTTATTCATTATCAATAAAAGTTTTGTGGAAATATCATGTTGGTCCGGTAAAAAAAACATATATTCAATAATCCTTCAAATAACCTTATGGTTCATGTCGCGGCCTGCACAAGCTTTTTGAAGGGGCAGGGCCCATTTTCCTTTCCGTAGTTGGGTGGGAAATTGCCCCTTTGTGAAAATTTAGGTCATTGCTTAAGAAAATTAAAAGGATTAGTAATGATATGGTGAACTGAATTCAACAATGTTTTTCTCTTAAACCAATTATTGAAAACATTCTATAAAAAACACGGTCCTTTATGTAATTTTGACTGATTGACAACAATTTAATGCAAACATTATTTTTTTATATTTTATATAACTGTTTTTGTTAACATTTTTTGTTTTTTAGTGCAATTGTTTTTTGTTCCTTTTTCCAATTTTTGAGAATGAAATAAAATATCTTTTCGAAGCTTGTTGGAACAAAATAGCATATACAACATCTTCTTAAACCTCTCAATATTAGAGTTATACAAAGGAAATTTTGGTTGATTTCACTGCACAAAAAGTATTAAAAACAAAAACCTTCAAAATAGATATCATTTTATTTCATTAACAAGATACTTTTTCTAAATCAACCAAACTTTCCTTTGTACAATTACAATATTGAGAGACCTAAACACGTTGTTTTTATGTCAATTTGTTCCAATGAGGTTCGGATAGATGTTTCATCTCATTCCGAACATATGATACCAAGAACAAAAGAAGTGTCTGATGTGTTTTCCAAAAAATATAGAGAAAAGTATACATATTTATTTCAAAGTATATTGTTACCATTCAAAAGATGACCATTAATAAATTGACGATGTGTAAAATTTTCAGAATTCTTTGATGACCGCTTTAAGAGAAACGAGTGTTCAAAATGTTCACAGTATCGATTCCCATCCTGTGTGACCCATTATCATAAATGAGATCCAAAAATATCCATAGTTTGGTTTGCGGTCAAAGACGGAGGTTATTTTTGTCAATTATTTTTTGAACACTAGGTAGGGGTCGATTTTTAACAAAAAATCCGTGGTTAGGGGGACAACGGGGTAAGAAGGGTCGTGGGACAAGACGACCACCAAGTTTAGTTTATTGTTTTAAAGTATATATCGCCTGATATTATTCTGACATGGGATAATCGTGGCACCGGCCTCACTCGCCGTTCATTTTGTTTGTTTCAGGCGCCAGATTCAATCGGCGGCACTTTCCCGAAAAAGTGGCCTTTTTGCCCAACTTCTGTAAGACGTTGGTAAAACCTACAATTCAATGAACGTTTCTGATAGAACGGCCCTTCTTACCTCACGGGGCCCTTCTTGCCTCATGACCACACAAAAACATTTTTTTCAAAAGAGAGGTACATATTAGCAATTCAAAAAATTATTTCAAATATCAATGTTCCTTGTTTCAATAAAGGTGGGTTCAGCAGGCAGAAACCCTTGCAAAATATCTTTACAAGTTGTTAAAATTGCTCTTAGGGTGTCCGTCTTACCCCGCTGTCCCCTAACCCAACATAATGAAAAACTAGAGTTTGTGGATGTCAATAAGCGTGAATTGAATGTTTCCTCGATGTTTTGGGAATGTGATGAGGCTATTATTGGCAGTTTAGGAAGTACGTTCACAGATGACAAAACAAAACTACAACCGGGACTACAACCACCTAATTTTGAACAGAGATGCCGTAATGTAATGTTTTTCCTGTGTAACTCCACGAAAATACTCCACCGTTTCAATGCGTTTCCGCCCATACCTTGGAGAATTTTGGTATGAGTTGGACCGCATTCATTTTTATATTTAAAGGTGCAACAATTAGTGCAGGGGGGCCATTCAATGATCATTGACCAGTGTCAAAAGCTTTTAGAAGCTTTGAACTTAATTTACACTTCTTAATGCTGAAATTGATATAGTTTATCCGTAAATTTTAAGAAAATAGGCATGTCAAAGAACTAAGAAGATCATAAGCCAAACATTGACCGATAGCTCGGAAAAAATAAAATATTTGAATATTCTCTCTACAGTCCTTGTTGCCCCTTTAATTTTAATTTTTATCATTACACATGCATGTTTTCAAGTGTGATAAGTTATGTCATAATGTCAATGGATATGATCCACTGGCGGACCTAGGGGCCTGCCCCCCCCCCCCCGGAAAACGGCAGTAAAAGTGAAGCACTCGCGAATATACCTGAATAACAAAATACTTTGATGATGATATATATATTCTGAGATTAGACATACTGTACTGTATCTCTTTTTATTTATCGAAAGTAAACACCATTTACTATTTCCATGTTTCATCGTTTAAGTTATGCCTAGCCTCATTCACATGGTCACATTTGATCTATGGCAACCATACGTTGGCCGTAGCTTCCAAAAATCAGGCATAATCAGTACGATGTACAATGTAGATTATCGCCGTATGACCAGCGTAGAGCAATTTGTGACCAAGGCTTTACTGAAGCATCACTCTCCACCTATATAGGTCGTATTTTTATTTACTTCATTACACGTGAACTTGAACAAATCGGTGCATACTTCGAGTTCAAACAGATTGATCGCATCTTTGGAGAAGTCTGACAAAAGGAGCCAGTAGGATCACAGATTATTTCTAGTCGTCGACGTATTTATAATTAATTTCACTGTGATTATATTACTTCCTACAATGGACTTCTGACTTCTCCAAAATACTTACTACAAACAATATCCTAGTTTCTTCATAACATATATATTCATTAAATAAGTTTATACATGTAGCTGTATACAAAGAAAAAGTATATGTAATTGTTACTTTTTATATACAGTACTGTATATCATACTTATTATAATTGCACTTTGTTCTATTAAAGACTTATTTCAACACCATATAAGGTAAAAACTTGTAGAAATCACATTAGGCATGGATACAAGAGATATTTACTGCTTTTTAAGGGCAATTGACCTTTCCAATAAACCATGCCACCTTTTGGTAGAGTAATAAAGGTATAATATATCAGCCAGATTGATGATGTCATTGGTTGTACTTTTTCAAAATTAGCAATAAGTTAAGCCTACTTTTCCTTGGCAAGATTGCCACCTACAATCCATCATAGCTTCTTTGATGTACCAAAAGGTAGCAGGGGTAATCAGAAAGGTCTATCCTCTCATCATAGATTACCCCAAAATGTTAATGATCTGATGATATGTACATGTAGCTTCCATTATTATTAGATGTCTATGGTGAAGTATCTGAGAAAAGTTATGTTAGTCTCAGCATGGGTTTTCAACTCAACAACTTCAACTCTTATTGAAAGCCCATGGTCTCAGCAGAGACGTATGTTTTATAGGTCTCTGGTCTCAGGTATTATATAATTTGGGATGTATCATGCTACTAGCTAGGTGAGCAGCTTTTTCAATAACATTATACAAGCTTTATTTTTTGATTGAGCAAATAACAAAATTATTTAAAATATAATGAAAGCCAGACTTTTAAAATCAGAAGTACTAACACTACCCTTTTAATGGGAGCAATTGCCCATTATTGCATAGCATATATTGACCTTATTTTTGTTCAATTACAAGTACATATCACCATATTTCAGGTTTATCACCAATACATTCATATATCATATGACAATATATGCACAAAACATACTTCTGTCTACAAACCATTTAGATTTGTAGCCCCAATCACAAAATGAAAGCTGACTATTGACTTGTAATACATGAACAGTAGAACTATAACAAATTCTTGTCTTAAAAACAAAGTCTCAGTTTTCCTATGAACAATTCAATTGAATAATTAAAAACAGTTTTTCCATATATAGACATGATATACACTGGCAGATCCAGAAGCTAACACATTCCATATCCCCAAAATAATTTTCTTTGCTTATGCGTAAAAACATTTTGGGCCCCTAAATCCAAAATTTGGGCACAAATTTTGAAAATTTAAGGCCCATTTTTGAAAATTTGGCCTGAAAAGGTCAAGTAATGCCCAAAAAGGCCCATAAACCGAGGCCCTTCAAAATTTTGTGTTCTATTTCTTATGATAATATTTATAGTTTTTCACTCAATTTCCAGTTAATGAAATAAAATTATGAAATTGATGAGGGTATCAATATCACTGAATTTAGACTTAAATTTAACTCTGTTGTAAAAATATAGAATGCATATTATTTCAAATACATGTACATACTGTAATCAGAGTGTCTGGATTTGACATATCATACCTAGATATATCTAAATACATTTTAAAACTTGACTTGTGAGAAAATGTTCATTGATTTTCACCATATGTTGATGAATTTCAATATGCTTATAGTATGAAATCTGACACCTAATTGAGTGAAAATAAATAAAGCACATGGAATAAAGTAGACACATGCATATAAGACACTCTAAACTGTTAGGAAATGCAGAAATGGAAAACTTCAGTTAATTATGAGAGAACAATTTGGATGGCTGAAAATTGTAATATTCTATTGAATGTCTCTTTCTTTACACATCTTTATGAGTGTCACCATCTGGCTTTGCGATACTGGCGGGCGGAACAACCATTAGTGTTTTCTGTAATGTGTGGGTCAATTTTCCTGAAAAGAAAGAATCTTTCTCATCAAACAGAAAACTTGAATACAATTTGTGGAATCCTTTGCATTAAAAGTTTATTATACTTGTATATAATACTTAACACAGCACAGACAAATTGTCTTTATTTTTGATTTATGGAGGTCTGTTGAAAAATATGAAAAATATAGTAAACATGCATGGACATTCTAAATTGTATTGATATGCCAGATAATCATCTTCTTAATTCAGATATGAGAGAGAAATGGTGTCAAATTATTATGAGCAGATTGTAACATTTTATGTTTGAGTAACCAGGACAACCATCACAAAACAGTATTTACATGCATCATTTGACAAGTTTCTCATTTGAAATGTATATGATTGATTTACTTGTATATCAACTGATTGCACATATACACAAAATAAAGATTCAATAGAAACCAATCTGAAGGAAGAAAAATGCCAAAGGTAAAGTATGTACAGTATAATTTATTTGTGTCTCAATAACTCAGATGCGAGTAGGTAATTACCAGTTTCACCACCAGGTGGATAATTAGGGTCAGATAACATGGCAGGTATCTAGAAAGTTCCCTTGAATGCTCATCAGTTCTTAGGGATCAATTTTCATACGACCCCTATGCATCTGATAGTTATACAATTGAAAACATGTTCAGTAAAATATATTATCTGTCAAATAAAAGAAAAGATATTTTTCTTTTTGTGATTTTATAACATGGGGTCTATGGGAATCTTCCCGAACTAGATATCACATTTTCAAAGTTGATAAACAATGTTTGAAACCACATTTCGAGATGTAATTTTACATGTAGATTTCAAATATGATATCACTTTGACAGTATTATGAATAATGAATATTCAATGATGTAAATCAAGATTACTTCGACTCGCATCTAGTCCATAATACAGTTACATGGACTGATAGGAGTAAGGTTACCAAACTTTTAGGGGGGGGGGGATTTTTAGCACTTTTAGACCAACTCACTCATGAATTCCAGAAATGGTTTTGGTTTTGACTTCCAGCGCACCCCAATGAGGTAAACAGGCACACCAGAGAGTACTAACAAAATGGCAATACCATTTTTGGTCGGTTGTTTATAGAGTGCTAGGAACGTCATGGCAACATCACTCAGTATTGTGCACATCGCTAAAACAATATTAACCTGAAAATACACATTACAATCATAGAATGAGGCATTAACATGCAAAATGTCACAACCTGCCATTTGTTACAGACTCTGAAATCCAATTGCCGAACCTCTTATGGTGGTGACATAAAAACAGCAACTCACTAGTGCAGTATTTATATTGGAATAAATCAGTCCTCATTTTGACATTCCTTTCTTGATATTACCAGGCAGTAGTAATGCATACAACCAAGTCAATATGAACAAAAGTCTGTCAAATGATATTAGGGAGCGTTCGATAAAAGTGGTTTTGAAAACATACACGTAAACTTGTACTTTAAAGGGTCTTGTCACACTTAAATCAATCTGAAATTTATTTTGATGATTTGTACCCAGTTGACATAAATAGTTTCTGAATTGTTCGCTTCATTCATTGATCAGTGACTGCGAATGTAATATCTGTTGCATCGTTGTAATCTGTACATTAACAACTCAATACCGAACTCTTGTGAGGCGGTGTTCTCCAAACAAGACCCTTTAACGTGGTTCATCACACAAACGAGTGGATTATTTCACAGTTCTTGAACGTTATAATGACCCAAGAAAAATGCTTGGCATAGGTAAAATAATGTGGATACATAAAAACAATGGATTAAAACTCATAAACGCAATAACAAAATGAACAAATATATCATGAACATTTATCTCGCTATTTTGAATTTGAATTGCACACTTACCATGATCCTTTATCTATATTTACTTATTTATCTAGACAGCTGTACATAAAAAGCAACCAATGATGTACCTATCAATGCTCAACACATTCCATCAATATATCATTATAAAAATTGAACAAAAATGAAAAGAATGTCATTTTTAATATGCGAAAAGTAAATTGAAATGGAAATAGATTATGACATGTTTCACTTATATCTTGCATTTTCCTCTCTGTTCTATTCTATTCCACTCTTAATGTACCACTTAAAACATGAAAATTGTGCAACACTTACTTTGACTGGTCGTTCATCATTTGGTTTCTTCCACCGTAGATACAGCAAGGATAGTTTGACTATGAGGAATTCTATCAGGGCCACAAAGGACATGTATTCAATCAGAGATATTATACCATCTTCGCAGATGTAGATAAATCCGATTATGCTCTGAAATATATGATATATTAAATTAATACAATATAAAACTTAGTAAATTTTTAATCGAGGCTGGGCAAAATAATGTACATTTATAATGTTATCTTAATGTTTGTTACTGTATTAGTTAAGTTTATCTTTTGTACTCTTATATCCTATAAAGGGTGAATTGAGAAATCAATAAATAAAAAAATAAAAATAAAGTATGTCACCGTAGTGATAGAGACAAAGTGTTTGTAATAGCAAATGCTCACATTTAGATTTTTTAACTAGGGAGTCAAGGGGCGATTACAAAAACTGGAACCATGAGTGTTCATATTGAAAGGTGTTCAAATTACAAAGGTGTTCAGATATACAGGTTTCACTGTGCATATTCCTCTTGAATAAATGAATTAAAGTACATAAATATTATTCAATTATGCAAAGTGTTTTTGTTTTTAAGAGATACAAAAAGAGCTACTAGACACAAGAAGTTTCTTTGTCCTACACTGCTCTATTAATATAGTAGTAAAATAGTTTATTAAATATCAGTATTTCTTTAGCAGTGACTAAAGTGGTTTTTGTTCTATATCCAAAAACACAATATATTTTTCTTATTTTCTTTTTCCTTAGGATCTTATGCTCCACCTGTGATAAATCATGTTTCCTTATGTGCAATAATATTATATTTACATGTATTTGAGAATCACATGTTTGATCAAATTAAAAAGATGGCATGTTAATCAACGTTCATAATAATCTACGTTTACACATATGTGCAATATTGATGGAAAGACATGTAACCAAACTTACCTGTTAAACTTTATCAAAATAAGTTGAGTTTTTCAAATTGTACATATGTTTTAAACCAATAAATCTTATAACAGAACTGTTCTTTACTCTGCAATAAATTACACATTCACTATATATTTCAAAATCATCATACTTACACCTATCATGAGGGCAGGCCAAGGAGTGAAGTATTTGACACTAATCATTGAGAGGAACTCTGGAAGGTGACCCTCTCTTCCTGCTGCAAATGTCACCCTGGAAATAATAGATTAGGTTAAATATCACTAAGGAAATAATAGATTAGGTTAAATATCACTATGGGAATAATAGATTAGGTTAAATATCACTATGGAAATAACAGATTATGTTAGCATATCGTCATGGAAATAATAGCTAGGTTAAATATCACTATGGGAATAATAGATTAGGTTAAATATCACTATGGAAATAACAGATTATGTTAGAATATCGTCATGGAAATAACAGCTAGGTTAAATATCACTATGGGAATAATAGATTAGGTTAAATATCACTATGGAAATAACAGATTATGTTAGCATATCGTCATGGAAATAACAGCTAGGTTAAATATCAATATGGGAATAATAGATTAGGTTAAATATCACTATGGAAATAACAGATTAGGTTAAAAATCACTATGGAAATAATAGATTAGGCTAAATATCACTATGGAAATAACAGATTACTAGGTTAAATATCACTATGGATATAACAGATTAGGTTAGAATATCGTCATGGAAATAACAGCTAGGTTAAATATCAATATGGGAATAATAGATTAGGTAAAATATCACTATGGAAATAACAGATTAGGTTAAATATTACTATGGAAATAACTACATGTAATTAGGTTAAAGATTACTATGGAAATAACAGAATAGGTTAATATCATCATGTAAATAAAATATTGGGTTAGAATATCACTATGGATACAACAGATTAGGTTAGAATATCATCATCGATAAAACAGGTTACGCTAAAATATCACCCTGGAAGCAGACCATAGATAAACAGAGATAATATATATTTGTAAGCACCTATGAATGCTCTTTTATGTGTCTATTATGTCCTACTACATTTGAATGAACTTAAGCCCAATATATGCTTACCTTGAACCCCCTAACATTGCACCATTGAGAGCCCCTGCACATGAACACGCCACAAAAATTGGAATTATCACAGCAGCTGGTCCTATTGTTCTTTCTGCAAAGGTCTGAAACAGTATATATATAATATGAATGATATGAATAGGGGTAGCGGAGCAGTACATGGATAAGTATGGAGAAATAAAACAATGCAGAAACATGGTCACGTGTCATCACCAAGTTGCAATAAAAAGTGTAACTATTTGATACGGATACTGGATGTAAACACCAGCACTAACACAGAAGATTTGTCACAAAAATGGTGGCTATAACAAAACATGTACTGTATGTATGTCACCAATTCTTTGTGTAATGGCAAGTACAAACAATTAATATTCACTACAAATGTAGTAAGGATGCTATAAAATCAGAAATTACTAACCAGTAATTTAGAAATTCTAAATATATTTTAAAATTAGTTAATGAATTAAATTAATATGATAAGATTTGGGCATGAGTAGTTACCACAGCAACAGCATTAGAGTTGAGGACCTCTTCGGGTGTCATGACAGAGAAGTAGGCAATGTTTGTGAGAATATACAGGGCTATCACACTGATAAAAGAAGTATGGACTGCTCTTGGGACATTTCTAAAATTACAGAATATTGGATGAAATACAGAGATAGAACATTAGAAAAATTTATAAACAAACTACAAGGACACACATTTCATATCAACCAAATATGCAGTCAGATTAAAATAGATGATGTCAATTGAAGGAACTTGTCATTTTAGTAAATCCAATTTGTGTTGTTTTATATTTTAAGTGTATATCAATTTAATGAAAATGTATTAAAACTAAACCTCACTTGTTAGGATCTCTCACTTCTTCCAAGAGCATGAACAGAAACTCCCTGAAAGCAGAAACAGTACTTTAATTATAAAAAGTGTTACATGAATATGGCCAAAGAGAAGATTTCCACAAGGCTTAGACAACTGATTAACCACCCCATGAAGTTAACATTACGAGTTTCATACCAGTATATATAAGGCAATGGACTTACCACCCTGAGTATGTGAACATTCCAGAGTATAAGGCTAATGCAATGTTGCCAACATCTGTTGTGGTCCCTTCAAATACTTTTGATGGCTGCAGGTTTTCAGTCTTTCCTGCAATAGGAAAAAACAACAATCAGATAGAGGTGTAGAGTTTAGCAAAATTGTTCAGTTGACACCTCACCTAGGGTATAGGGCTAGCAAGGAGTGGCACAATTGTCTAATCAATTTGAAAAGTTTGACGAAGTGTGATCATTATAATAGTACTGAAATCTTGTTGCAACAGCCCATATACATGTACATATTTAACACTAAAATTATATGTGAATTAACATGGAGTTTGCTGGATAAAATATTGTGTGTGCAAGAAATATTATTTCAGGATACACAAAGCATAATCAAATGGACGAATCCAATACCTTGAGACAATGCGACTATTCCTCCAATTATAACAATTAGGAGGGCACAGACTTTGGCACCAGTTAGGACTGTCTGAACCCTTGTAACATTGCGTATGAATCCACAATTTAGGAGTGTCACCAGCACTGAAATAAATTTTTGGTATTAATGAATGGGAAGTGCTCAAAGTCAAAGGCATAACTAACAGTCACAGATAATCTGTGAATTGTAAAAGAACAGAATATGCTAGTACAAGAGCCAAAAGGCAAAAGACCAAAAGCTATATTACAAAACAGAGCAACATGAAAAAGAAACATTTAAAAGCACAATTAGTCAGTCATGAAGAAAACAAAACTTGAATAGCTGGTCTTACTCCTATAGCTCTTACATGAAACGTTTTAGAGTTAGACATCTTAAGATTGTAATGTAAATCCACAGCTTCTCAAGATGTCTCGACTAAGACGTCTCAGACAAAATATTTTAGGATCTTATTCATAGCAAGACGTAATTGTTTACGTTTGCATTCAATAATAAGTCCAATGTTTATGATATCATATAATCATATGTTACAATGTACTTGAATGTCAATAAGAAAACAAACACCCATTCACTCACATCATGACATTGTAGGGCTGAACCATATTTTCGAGAACAACTGCACACATATTTTTCTCATCCGAATCGAATCGAAAATATACTTTTCTAACCAATGATATATTCAAAATAGCAGGACTTATCTACAAATGTCTTCATGTCTATATTTGTAGTGTGCATTGTTTCCTTAAATGTTAGATCTTAGCTTGGGATATTTGGGGTTTGTTTTCCTTGTGACTGATTGTACTCTTAGATGTTTCATTTTCATGCTCTGTTTTTAATACTTTTTAGTCTTTTCCTTTGGATCTTATTTATACATATTTTAGTTAAAAATAGTTGTACTTATTGAGACATGAGCATTAGTTTAGTGGATCAATAAAGTTTAGAAATAGTAATTTGTATTTCGGACCTAAATTTTGAAATCAAATATGTAAGCACTAGTGGCCAAAAAGGGAAAATCATTTAAGAGCATTACAGATCAACCAAAAAGAACAGCAAAAACAGTTATTTAAAGTTAGGGAACAACAAAAAAGCTCTGCTTCTAGTACGTAGTTGGTGTGTACTGGTTGGTAAGAAAACTGATTTGGGTATTGGGAAATTCTGAGTCAGTGTTTCAAAATCAATAATCTGATCGAAGTAAAACAATTTTAATCATCAAGCAAAATCTAATGTTTGGTCCCCTTTTTTATTATGCTCCTAACATGACGTCAAAATAATAAATTTTTACTCACAGGACATGAATAAGGAGAATCAAAAAAACATTGTATAAATACTCTCTGTGGTAAATACCAACTAGGTCAAGTAGCGCTTGCTCATTTAGAATTAGCACATCTATGTCTTAAAAAGATGTCATAATCTAACATGTAGGTCCAAATCTAAATGGTTAGAACTCAGAAACCCAACTCATTGGGTGAGATCCATTTGTTCTTTTCAAATACATATAGTATCTTTTCTTATCCATAAAGGTAGCATTTGATTCAATTAATATAATTATGGTTTTTTCAATCATGAGTTGAATGATTGTGTGTTCTCACTATTTTCTGCAGAATACTAAATGAACTAGAAAAACAAAATGTGTTTTCTCAAATCATTTCGCATTTTTAACTTGAATCAGTGGATGATAAAAAAGTATAATACAAAAACTCGAAAAAACAAGGTTTTGCTCAACTAGATTTAATTTTGGACAATTGGAAATCAAAAATGATTTTGAAGCAATTGGTATCAATGAGAGAATGAATCTGATGTAACTTAAAGATACATGTAGACCACCTTACTTTGTGTAACTGTATGTGAAAGTTACTTACCTACAATGACCATTGCAATAAGCTTGATGGCATTCGATGGCGGATCACAAGTTCGATAAAAAGGCTGAATAATATAGGTTGCTGAAGTAAGCGCAAGGACTGCATAAAAACAAGTTTTCTTGATCAAAAAGTCTGACCATACACTTAAGAATGCTGGTAAGGGCCCGAGTACTTCTAATATAAATGCGTAGATACCCCCAGCTCGTGGGTACATTCCGCCTAACTCTGCAATACACATACATGAGATCTGGGAAAGGATTCCAGATAAAATCCAGATTATTAATGACATCCCTATGGAACCGGAGTTCTGTAAAATTGCCTTTGGTGAGACAAAAATTCCTGAGCCAATTACGATTCCCATGATGACCGTGGTGGCATGAATCACACCGATGTCCCGTTTTAACGTCACTTTATCAGAGCTGCTACTAGCCGTTGAGATGGAAGGCGTGTCATCCGCCTGTTTTACACCTTTGTATTTCGTCATGGTTATAGTCTGTGTAAGATACTATTATAGGGTATTGCTGTATCAAATACTGACTCTTTATCCAATGCTTTTCAAAGATTTTCAAAATTTCTTATTTTGAGATTCCAAAATTGCTACTGATGTTTTAAAAAGAAATGCAAATCGTCAAGGTGTATTAAGTAGGATGCATTTTCAAAGTATCTTCATCAGGTAAATGTATCTCCATTTTGTAATTTTAATTGTCACAATGTTCTCAGTAGTTCCAATATCAATGCTTACGATTTGTGTACTTCTGCAATAGTGATAATTCATACTAGATCACATAGATTTGATGGTTATAAGTGAATGATAAAATGTCACGATGGTCATGTTTTAAATTTTAAAACAGAGTGGAAAAGAGTGGAAATGACACAAAAAATTGAACAGGCGTGTTGTTGACATTGCACTGTACAGAAATGCCAGAAAATCTAACGCTTCTTTGAGAATGTGGAGAGAAATGAAGTGAAATAAGCATGATGCTGTGAAGTTTCAAACAAGGGTTAACACTTTACAACTAGGGGTCCTATCATTATGAATTACTAACTTCAGTTTAGTTCTTGAATCTTAATCTTTCTTTCTGTTCGATCATTCTCTTCCCTATAGCATTTGAAGCTCTATTGGAATATTTACTGAAAGGAATCATCGTTATAATTCTTGCATAATCAAATATTTCTATCATAATTTCAGAAAAAAATGTTTCAAAATTATAAATTCAGCAGTATATCTTTTTATCTGCCACATGTGAGTCCTGAGCCTTTAACATTTTCTCTGGAAGTATACTTTCTCTCTTGAATGAACTGCATTGTTTCTTGCATTTCCATGTAATTTAAAGTGTTAAGTTCACATCTTTGCCAAATCATAAATTTTCCATTTCAAAACACAATCACCACATATTTGTCTTTGAAAAAACGTGAAAGCCTTAATCATATTAACATTAATAATGTCATACTGTAGCATGAATGTAATCAGATGAAAATTGAAAAATAAAATGCAAGTTGACATTATATTTACACATATGTAAATAGATCATACATACAAGTCTATAAGAGATAATATGAGAATCCTGGTCCAGATTTTCAAGTTTTTGAAACAATCCCCCACGAGGGCAGAGTGTACTTCAATCAGCTGTTTTGCTGATGTCCTTTAATAAAGAGGTTATCTTATGTTTGGTGTTTTTGTTACATTGCCTGAGATGTTTCACCATTATTATGACATCTGCACATAGAATATATATTAAAAATTCAATAAATTGATTTAATAAAATTAATTTATCTGGTTATATTTATGTCATTGAATGACCTCTAAACTATACATGTACACAGTAAAAACAAAGAGTAACATTCAAAATAAATAAAATAATTCTCTAATGACATATTATCAAGAGAGCTTGCCTGAACTCTTAGGAGGCTCATCCGTGAGGAGACAATGGATATGCTGTAGTGGCTACATCTTTTGGAAAATCCAAAACACTATGGGCCAAGGCACAAGCATGGAATGCATAATGCATAATTTCAAGACCCAGGAGAGCAGTCAAAAAATGGGTTGGGACCTGATGTCATAATATTACCTTCACCTTGCATTCACACACCTCCGAATTCTTAAAATATTAAATAAAATGATAAAACAGCAACATTGTAGCTTTTTGTTAATTTTTACATGCCTTACACAATGGTATCACATGGTACAATATCAAATGATAATTTTGTTTGTACATATCACAAATCTTAATTTTTCAAAGTTACTGGTTCACATTGTAGCATATTCTAAATTGTCAGACCAAAGGTTCACCTTATTGTAATATAATAAAGGACTTTGAATTATTGATTACTCAATTAATGATTTTAAAAATATTGCTAATTAATTCTTAATTTTAATTGTGACTATTACTAATTTTCAAAATTCTTGTCACATTATTTTCCTTCACATAGCAACACAGAATCATTCTAAAAAACTTCATTTTGTCTCATATATAACACATGTATTTGGTCTTATCTATAATTTTGTCTTATATATTTACATGCCATTAACCTGAAATAACATTGAACTTGAAAGCAAACAAATCATACAATGTCTGATATTCTTCAGGTCAGGGGGATGCAACTGGTCTAATAGATATCCAATTGTTTTTCAGATGTACTTTTCAGTGCAAAATGTTGAGAATAGATTGCATGGGAGCTTAAGATTTTTGCATCTTTTTTAATAAATCTGTAATTGTGTCTGTTTATGACCCTGTACATGCTAATTTGTTCAACTTAAAAAATTCAAGCAGCACATAGACAAGGTACTCGATAAAGATAGTGATGACTGTCATGAGCCAAATGCATGGTTCTACCTGTGTAGAAATTTCACATGTTTTAAAACTCATAATATTGCAAAATGGAGTGAAATTAGGAAGAAATAAAATAAATAGATATGAAGTCAACACTCTAAATTGTATAGAAATACTAGAAAATCAGAGAGTTCATTCAAATTTTGGAGAGAAATGGAGTGGAATAAGCATGAAGAGAGTAAATTGTAAGACATGGGGTGTCTGATATCAGGATTACTTTCAAGATACCAGTATGTTAACAAAGCAATACACCTTTGTATCTCAAGATGATTCAAGCAAAATCTGCTCATTACATACTATCAATCTGCTCATCTGACAATGTTTTTCTGCTCATTTAGGAATGTCGATTTGTTCATCTAACCTAAATGTGTTGTCTGTCTATCATGCTTATTCCATGCTATTTCAACTTACAATTTGAAGTGCTGAATGTTTTTTGAATCTCCATTCAAATCTAAATGTACATATCACCATACTAATGTTGAATGAACCAAAGGTAATAACCAATTAATATTCTGGTCTTGGTGTTTTCACCATGTTTGCATTTTTTTTTGTCACTATCTATCCCGCTGATTTGTGACATTCATACAAATTACATGACACTAAATGCAAGTGAATTTTCAGTAAAATTTATTAATTAAACTCAACAAACCGAAACATTCATTTTTTAATATAAGACAACTTTTTATCCAAATTGCATTGTATTTTTACACACTAATGAAGCTTGAGGTAAATAAAATATTTCAATATAATATAGCAGCATATAACTAATAAATTATTTTATATATATAATAATGCACTCTCATATTTATAAAAATACAATGGACAGAACTCAGGAATATAACTTAAAAAATAAACAATCTTTAAATTCTTATCATATTTACAAAATAATTGTTAACAAAAATATTTACATAACAAGATTACTTAGATTAAAAAAATAATGTAAACGTATTTCATCACATAAAAGTTCATTAACCCTGAGAGAAAAGTCAAAATGGTCATGGATATTCCATGCTTTTCCCCTCTTGAACTGTTTGATTTTCTAAAATTTGAACACAATTAAGAGTCCAGGGGGTTCCACTTTTTAATGGGGGGGGGGGGGGGTTGCTTGTATCCCCTGAACCATTTTCCCAATTGTTTTTGTTTTAAATGTTGTTTTAAATCATGAGTACCATGGCAACATTCTCAAAGGGTGATATTACACAAAATCAAGTATTGTCCAATACAAACAGGAACTTTCGCAACAGCAGTGTCGTGAAAAACATCCTGACCAGAGTATGCCAAAATATAATGTAAATTATCCTTCTTAAATTGGATGGAATGTATTTATACATGGTTTTGGATATTTATCAGTATATCCAGAGGAAGATACATTATGACTAACCAAGGAATGAGAGTAACAAGTAAATGACCCAGATAAATTCCAGTATTTTTGCTCTGGTTGGGCCTTCATAAATATAAGTACAATTATAAATTAACAAAAAGATCACTTCCTTATCACTATAATAATCACTCCATATTCTTTTTCATGCACTAAAATGAGCAGAGAGGTGTGAAATCAAAATGCACCTTTTCTTTTTGTATGTAAATTATGTTCTCGAAAGTATTTAATCTTTTCCTCACAAAATGAAATTGAGGACAACATGAGTTAATGAATTTGACACTAGTTATGATAGAGATGTTATGGGGTCAGGTTTAAAGTTGAAAAATAATAGCAAACATTGGACTTAGTAACAAATAAAGTAAATAGACATAAAGTAAACACTCTTAATTGTAAAACAGTGCCAGAAAATCAAGAAGCTAATTTAGGAGAAATCCATAGAATGGAGAGAACTTACATGCACTTCGTTTTAAACTTGGAACAAATTAAGAGATAAGAAATACTTGCTACTTGTAAACAAAGACATAAGAGGTGTAAACTCCAAATATGGTACAAACTCCAAATCTTTTGAACCATGGACTAAACTTCGATACAAAGTATCAACACATTTTGACCCCAGTATGTTGAGGGTATTTGCTCAAAGGCTGACTTACATGTATAGCTAACCTTTTAGTCTGGCACAAAGTATTTGAAGTACTGTGGATCTTTTTATTTTTTCACACACCTCACTTCAAAACACACCTCAGGAAATGCTTTATTAGAAAGACAAAGGATGAACAATATTGCACCCTTGAATAAAATATCAATAAAGATGACATCCTTAAGTTTGGCAATAAAGTAATAATGATGAGGTCCCTGTATACAAACACTGTATTCAACTTCAACATTTTTGGCCAGCAAAACTGATTTCCATTGAAAGCACAATGAACATGAAAAAGCTAAAATAGTAAATCCTACTACAGGGCAAAGACCTTCTTCTATCAAAAAGTATCAAAAAACATGGACGGTTTGCTTCCCATTGCCCAACAAAGGGCATGGGTTGGAATTAATACCTTATTAGGTAATGCAGAAATATCATGTACAAAACTGTGACAATGAAACTAATAGTTGCATTTTAAAAACCTACATTCAGTACACTGTATCTTACATGATTAATAAATTGTATCTTACATCATTAATACATTGTAATTAATGCGTATCATGCATGTCAGTGATCTCACCATGTAGCACCCATATACAGGGCGCTACATCCTTATTTGGTCAAAATATCTCAATTTTTCATAACGGGTGAAAACAGACTTTCAACAGGTTGGCATTTCATGAGACACATTTTTATGATCTCTTTCTATATGGCTCATGGATTTATGGATTTAAATTAAGTGCCATGTTTTTTTTGCTCTGAAGAACACAAACAAGTCATTAACATGCAAAATGTCACCACATGCCATTTGTTACAGATACTGATTGCCAACTGCTGAACTCCAAACTCCAATCACCATCCAAAAAAAATTTGGAGATCATAACAATATGTCACCAAAAAGTTGGAGATTATAACGAGACAACAGCAACACCAGGGCGTGGCAAATCCCATCAAACGGTCATGGCTGTCCTCTTTACAAAACTACTTCACTACAATTTTAGTAACAGCAAACTTTATTAAACAACACCCTGTATTTTCAAAATAGCCGCTTTCAACAAAATTGTCATAGAACTGTGTTCATGCTTATAAGTAGTCGAATGTGAAATATGAACAAAATTGCTCTATTACTTTATGAGTTATAGTAGAAAATGTTAAATAAAATATGTAAAAATTGTGGCCATGTTTAAAATGGTGGCCATTTTCAAAATCAAAATGGTGGCCATTTTCAAAATGGCCATGTATTAGCCAAAGTGTCCTAAAACAGTGTGACATGCTTATAAATGAACACAATTGCTCTATCGCATTTCGTGTAAAGTAAATAAAAATTAGTACCGTGGGTACTGGGCTCACATGGTGTTGCTCAAAAGTGAAGTGAATGATGGCTAAAATAACAGAAATAAAAAAAAACGGATATAATTTTTTGCTGATTTTTTGTAACAAAATTATTTCAAGCCACTTGCCACTATTTTGGACTGACTGAGAGACAGATGGACAAATCGATGTAAAAATGGCTGAAAAAAAAACGGATAAAATTTTTTGCTAATTATTTGTAACAAAATTATTTCATACAACTACTCTTTACAGTGACATGGCTTTTTTCAATGCAGGACACCTGAAATTATTTGTGAAGCTAGAAAATGGGCCAAAACTGAATTTTGCGAGACAAAAATGGCGACCATTTTGAAAATAGGCAAGCTTTTGAACCAGGAGTCATAGGGGAGTTTTTTGTATTGATGTTGAACAAAAATAACTTGAAACTGGAATCTTATCGACAGAGGTTTTAAGCAAATGGTCCAATAGAGGATTTCACGAGACAGATGGACAAATCAATGTTAACTAAAATGGCTGAAAATAAAAAAACGGATATAATATTTTGCTTATTTTTTGTAACAAAATTATTTCATACAACTACTCTTTACAGTGATATGGCTTTCTACAATGCAGGACAGCTGAAATTATTTGTAAAGCTAGGAAATGGGCCAAAAGTGAATTTCGCGAGACAAGAATGGCGGCCATCTTGAAAATAGGCGAGCTTTTGAACCAAGAGTCATAGGAGATTTTTTTATATTGATGTTGAACAAAATTAACTTAAAACGGGAATCCTATCGACAGAGGGTTTAAGGCAAATGGTCCAAAAGTGGATTTTGCAAGACAGAAGGACAAATCAATGTTAACAAAAAGGCTGAAAATAAAAAAATGGATATAATATTTTGCTGATTTTTTATAACAAAATTATTTCATACATCTGCTTTTTACATTGATATGGAGTTTTACAATGTAGGACACTTGAAATTATTTGTAAAGCTAGGAAATGGGTCAAAAGTGAATTTCGCGAGACAAAAATGGCGGCCATTTTGAAAATAGGCGAGCTTTTGAACCAGGAGTCATAGGGGAGTTTTCTGTATTCATGTTGAACAGAAACAACTTAAAACAGGAATCCTATCGACAGAGGTTTTAAAACATGCCACTGTTGTTGATGGAAAAGTGGATTTCGCGAGTCAGATGGACAAATCAATGTTAACTAAAATGGCTGAAAATAAAAAATGGATATAATTTTTCACTGATTTTTTGTAACAAAATTATTTCATATATCCACTCTTTACATTGACATGGATTTTTACAATGTAGGACACCTGAAATTATTTGTAAAGCTAGGAAATGGGTCAAAAGTGAATTTCGCGAGACAAAAATGGCGGCCATTTTGAAAATAGGCGAGCTTTTGAACCAGGAGTCATAGGGGAGTTTTCTGTATGGATGTTGAACAGAAATAACTTAAAACAGGAATCCTATCTACAGAGGTTTTAAAACGTGCCACTATTGTTGACGGACGGACGGACGGACAGACGGACGAGTGAGTGATTGCAAAAGCTCACCATGTGAGCTAAAAACATAAATGACGTGTAAAATATTGGCCATTCTTAAAATTCTTAAAATGTCAAATGACAGTGTGCAATGCTTATAAGTCTTCACATATTAAATATGAACAAAATCACTCCACTACTTTTCAAGTTGTAGCAAAAATCACAAAATACTGTGTAAAGCCTGCCATTTTCCAAGATGGCTGCCATGTGTTTCTTAAATATCTACATTTCTACCTTTATTATCAAACTTTTTTACCTTGAAAACGTGTAAATATTACAGTTTTACATATGTACCTAAATTACTGTAAAATCGGCACAAAAAATCGCCATTTCAAAACGGGCGGCCATTTTAAAAATCGACTTTCAAGCAGAACTTCTACTGACATAGGGCACATGTGTATAAAATATGAACAAAAACTGGGGCAGCAGTATCACCGAGTTATCACTCAAACAGATGGACGGGGGAAGTATGGACAGACAGAAGCGTTCTTTATATCCCTCCAAACTTTGTTTAATGGGACAAGAATATGTCGACACTGGTGGTGATATAATAATATTGCATTCTGTAAGAATTATATGTACATATGTATCACAGGTCAAATACAGATCTTTTGGTAAAAGCAACCCTTACGTACTATGTCAACAGGCTAAGCTGTCAATTTCTACTATTCAGTCTTTATATTCAGGTAGAGTAGAATGAACTTTGACCTTAAACATGGTGTTTAACATACAGATCACCTGTATAAACAGTCCAGATCATACTACTCTAACTGTTTTAAGCTAGACCATAAATAGTATAGTACATAATGTAGTTGTGCATATAATCTTCAGGTTGCATCACTCAGTTGGTTCTTGGGTCTTGTAAGCTTATGTTGTTTTATAAAATCACAGAGATCATTTAACCCGAGTTCATACGCAAACTCCTCAGCATTCAGCAATTTGGAAGCACTCTTTTTATCATTTGCAGTTTTACAGTTAATATCACACATTTCCTTCCTATCACAATCAGCCCCTATATGCACAAGTTTTTTCACAATGTCACCCTTGTTGTGCAGCACAGCTACGAAAATCAAATCAGAGAAATTACTGACGAGAGCTGTATCATTTGGGAGTAACACCTTGGGGGCATCTGTTATTGGATGATGAAAACTTCTCAATGCGTTAGAGAAATCATTTTCTGTAGAGTCAGCAGTTTCGATGATTGTTTTCAACTCACTGTACTTCAGCAGATATGTCAGCTCTTTCTCCAAACCAAATTCCTTGAGTTTTTCAGCTTTAATGAAAGACTGCTCCTTTCTTGTTTCAATCAGATGCTTCAACTGAGCAGCTGTCTTCAGCCTAAAGTCCATCAAGTTTGAAACCGCCCCACTGTCCAATAGCATTTTCTCAAATTCTGCTCCTTCCTTTTCTAAGGCACTTGCATAGTGGAGTGGGTATCGCCCTCTATTATCATGGTCTGACACTAATTTTGCTTCCAGCTCAAGCAGATACTCAGCGATGTCAGCTCGTTCATACATGATAGCTTTCATTAAAGGAGTACGTCCTGCTTTGTCCTTGACATTTACGACCATATGAGCACGTGTGCACGTCTCGATCAAAGCCCGAATCTTTTTCATGCTTCCTTTATTTGCTATTGATTCATGTAGAAGATTTGAACAGCGTGTAAACTCATTCAGATACTCAACAAACTGTAGAGCTAGCTCTGTAGAGTTACCACTAGCATACAACCATGTATCACGATGGTTGTAAGTTAGAAAAAAATGATCATACCCGTCACTGGCAAGCTGCTCCAGTCTAGGAATATTGGACGACTTCACCAAGTCTATCACATACTAGAAAAAATATGAAAAATGTTTCAATCAAAAATCAATGGAATAAAAGAGGGCTCACAGGGGAATACCATAAAAGAGGAGATATGATAACAAGAACAAATTCAATACTGACGTGGGAAAATGTCAAGATATGTTCATCCTTATTGGATTTCTCTATGTCTGTATGATATACAGTCACTTTAAAATGCATAAGAGTCAAAGTATCATGAAATCCAGACATGTAATGTAGTATCTTTATTTAAACAAATTAATGATATAAATGATACATGTATTTGGAAATAGATGCAAATGTTGTATAAAATACATCTAGTGACATCTATTATTGAATCTTTTAAACATAACAGATTAATTCTTTACCATGGAAATCATGAAAATCAGAGAAATATGATAATGTAATATAATATAAAGAGAATATGATAATGATCAACATCAGAATACTGAACTATATGAAAGCTTCTGGGAATCGAAACCTAGACTTCAGACAGATATAATATATATATTATTTATTATAGATATAATGCAAGTGGCAAGACAAGGAGACAAGAAAATCAAATATGAGAAACCCAACTTTGAACATAACAGCCCCAAGTTCAAATAAAAATATCAGATCCCACCTACCATATCTATACATCTGATGATATCCGGCCTGTCACAGAACAAGGCCACATCTCTCACTGTCACCCCTGTAATGTCACGCTGTGCTATATCGAGGCCTTGTTTCATAAAGTGCTCCACTAACGGCATTGGAGTCTGACCAAGAGATCTATCTGCAAATATATATTACAATATGTGTAATAGAGCTCATGATCGTTACGTTTTAAAATGTGGTTTTCTGAATTGTAAGCCCAGCATAGAGTCTTAGTGATAATCATTATATCAGAAATTATAATTAACTGTTAATTGTTGAACAACAAACTAATAAAATCAATGAATCAAACAATTTGTACAAATTGGTCAAAAAATATCTTGGAATTATGACGCCATGATTCAGTGGACCAAAACATGTACCTTGGGCCTGGGGGACAGTTAAAAGTCATGTGGGACCAAAATACATCACAAAACATTTAAATATTGCTTGTTAAACCACTACCACATTAAATAAAGAGGAAAAGATTGGAATTGACAAGGAATACATTAAATTAACATAGTTGTGTTGACACCACTTTAGATTGTATAGAAATGTAGTAGAATTGCTTGAAAAAGCATGAACTTGAAGATCTATTTTCCAATTTTCAAGAAATAAAGCAAATTCTCTATCTGAAGTATTTTGTATTGATAAGATACCATCAAAATATTTAATTTTTGCAGTGGTGGTGCCATACCATGTTGATGTGTAAAATACATTATTAAAAATTTAAAACTGCAAATTCTGCAATCCTTGTTATCTTACCTAAAGAATACATCAGTACATTTCTGCCATTTTCATCCCGAAGAGTGAAGTCACAATTAGAATGTATGACATCATCAACAATCTTCGGGTCTATTCCATGTGGCTTTTTCAATACTTCAAAGTATAGAGGTGCCTGTGAAATCAGAAGACACAATGATCTTTAATTGAAAATGAAAATTGAAATATTGAAATTGAAAGTCAAACTTCAAACTCAAAATGTGAAACCTATATAAGTTTAAGTTAAATCTTACAGCTGTTTTTTTTCTAAATGAGCATATGTTCTACTTTTATTTATTATGGTTTGCATGGAAAAACAATGAACTGAAAAAAGGTCTAAAATATTTTGAATTAATTAAGTACTTGGATTATCCAGATTCGTTTAGTATGACTTATTGCAAACACTTGTTTATGTATTGAATATTTATATGGAATACTTAGGTTCAAGTTCTGGAGCAAAAAATTAATATTGCTGAGTTGACTGAATGACATAATCTATACATGTATAAAACAATCATTCATTTTGAAATAATATGATTAGCTTACCTTAACATAATCCTTGATGTCCACAATAGTATTGACATCAGCATTATGATCCAACAGGCGCTTCACCATAGCATGATTGTTGAGTTCAATAGCATATTGAAGTATATGACTCCTTGTAGAATCCTGGCAAAGATAAGCAAGAAAAACTAAAGTTATCTCAATACTGACGCCCCCCCCCCCCCCCCACCAACTTGATGATAAACTGATAAACAAGAAAGTATGTAAGCATTCATGGGTAAATAACAGAAATATAACAAGGCATTAACATGCAAATGTCACCACCTGCCATTTGTTAAAGAGGCCAAACGCTGAACACCAACCATCAAACACAGTCCAGAAAAAGTTGACGACTATAATTAAATAATATGTCACCACTTATGGTTAAAAAATGTTTTACGCTTTTCAGATTTACACGGAAGTTGCATTGTGCAGTGATTTTCATCCTTGTTCCCCCTCCAAGATTTCACCTCACCAAGTGTACTAATGTATAATACCCATTTGATCCTTTAATTTACTCCTTTCCATGCCTTTTTAAAACATGACTAACCCAACAAGTTATACCTGCTTGAGAAAGTTGACATCACATCCTGGTCTCTCGAGCCCCCAGTCCATCTTGGAAATATTGCCTTCAAGGACTCCATATATGACACTCTGTAATGAAAACGGTAGTATAGTATACCAGGGGATGGAGGTCATTAGAATATTTGACAACAGGAAAAATGAAAGAAAATGAGGCACCAAAATTATTGGAAAAGTAACAACTTAACAGAAACAAATTGAACTGACTTCCTACTTTATTATTTATAACATAAATTCCAAGACATATCCATGAGATTTCTGAAAAATTATTAAAATTGAAAAAAAACATAATATGATTAAAATTAGGGAATGATATCTTAATTTGTTTCATACTACGAAGTATTCCAATATGATTTTGTTTAGTTTAATATTGGAGGGGTATTTTTTCAAATGGAGAATTTATGCCACACTTTGATAGACACATCAACAATATCACAAAGTTACCTGTAGGAAAAAAAATTTCACCTCAATGCCACCCCTGCCATTTACCTCTCATATCCCCTTACCTACATGTAGATATGGTCACCTACTCCCTCCCTTTCATTCTCATTCTTTGATCACATAAATGGTGTTTGGTTTCAGACTACAGAAAAAGAATTTCACTTCAATGCCACCCCCTGCTATTCACCTAGTCTCTCCTATCCCCTTACCTTTATATGGCCCCTCCCTCCATATACACCAGCGGATCTAGACGGGGGCGTCATGCCCCCCCTAAAAAGTCGGAAAATTTGTGTTTTGCCTCATCGCTTTTTACAAAATTTGACTTTTTGCACACAGTTATTATCACACGCCCCCCCCCCCCCCAACACAAAATCCTGGATCCGCCCCTGATATATATATATAGCTGCTCCTTCCTTTACATCATTATATTTTCCCCATCCCCTCAATGTAATTTCAAATGTGGCCATCATTGCATTTGTTACTAAATTACATACCATTGTTGGCTTATGCTGCTCTATTAACGTGAAGATGTCACTGTGACCTTCATGTACTGCAGACTGTGATGGAGTTCTCCCTTCCTAAAAATGATTTATAAAAATATGAATAAGAATAAATTACAAAATTGTCATAAGTGAAAATCTTTAACAGTCCCAAAATCAAAGGTAAAACAAGGACTGACCTTGATAATATCCAGTTTAGGCCAGAGTTGTAATATCTCCCGCACTCTGTCAATGTCGTTGCGTCCAATGGCCTGATACAGGCCAGGCTCATACTTCATGTACAGCTCACGCCAGAATTTATTCTCAGACCCTGTCTGTTCAGCTGTCTTGTGCATCTGGAAATACATGGAGAAAAATTGTTGTTTATTTGTTTTTTTATTTGTTTCTTCATATGACAATCACCCCCATCACCCATCTTCATCTTATAGTATGGCGCTTAGGGGTTTATGGAAGACTTGGGACATATTTAGTGACGTTATACTTTTTAGATAAATAAAATAAGTTAAGGTAGTTGTTTACTGGCAATAGTAACTCCATGCTATAGCATAAGAGCAATGAGTTGACAAGTGTTCAGATTTATAGGGCATACAAATAACATATAAATTGCATGATATTACACCTTTGAAAAATTAGTTTTTTATTTTACATGGATTCATAATTAATATGCATGGAGACATGCATTTTTAGGTAGGTTGCATTTTTCATGAAAAAATAAACAAAAACAAACAAAACAAAAAAAGAAAAATTATATAGTTTTAATACGATTATAAACAAGGCACAGGGTATCATACCTAAAATATAGCAATGTGGGCTCGTTGACCCAGAAAGCAGATGCCTGAATTGTAAAATCCTGACACATACACCAAATTGCCATTGTTTCCAGGTCTATGGTCACCTCAATTGATACAATGTCGCAATTTGAGACACTGACTGACAAATATCAGATGACAATCAACATAACTTTGGACAATCTTTCCAATTGTATATGGTTTACCATTTGGTACCATATATCTTGGTTTTGGCTGTAGAGGGGAGGGGATAGGATTTATTTGACACCCAATACAATGAGTGAGTGACACAGATTTGCGCTCTCAAAAATGGAGTGGATAATACAAAGTATACAAAGCATGTTGAAGTGCAGTTACGGGAGTCTACGATTGCATGTCCTCAACAAAAGAAATACAATTTTGAGTACCATTTAATTGCCCCTAAAAAGAATCAAAGTTGCAATAAATATTTTTTAGTCTGTTTCTTCATGATTAAGATATTTTTGATGGAAGATCAGGTCTTTCTTTCACATTTAATTGTATCCTTGATATAAAAACCAACATCATCCCCTCTAGTTGATTTTGATTTCAAATAAATTCATTAGTTTAGAATATTGTGACTCTTCATTCTCATAAAGCCATATCCCTGAAAGGCCTACAATCGATACTCCTTTATCAAGTAATGACAAAAGATCGAGCAAGTTAGTTCTATTGATATGATGGCATGTAAAATACATACAATATTATATCATATATCTTCCTTTGTAATATGAACCTATTTCATAAATATTTTCATTTGTTTTATTTCATCTTGTCTCTCAAAAGCAAAATGCCGACTGTGTCCTGTATGATTAAATCCAATAGTTTTATGTATTTATACATGCAAGATATATTGCATGAGAATCAATAAACAGCAAACAAAAGCTTTTTCCAGGCAAAATGAGTCGTTCAGTGTAAATCTATTGATCTTTTTACTGTGCCTTTCTACGATCCTCAATGCAACTGTGAATATTGAAAAGCTGCTATTACAGTACTAAAAAATGAATTATGTGAATAAGGATATGTGACGACGATGGGGAGACATGAGGCTGAGAAAACAGGTGAATATGTATATGAATAAATAATGATCAAATTATACTATAAGGAAATGTATTTTTATAAGGAAATGTATTTTTATTTTCAAATATTTCAAATTATATAGGATTTAACAACAAAGCAATTCAGTTCATTTATATCAAACAGGGAAAGGATTCTCAGGAATAACCTCTGTAAAACATCAACCTATCAGAATAATAATGTCCCAAGTGCCATTTTTGGATGCACATCAAGGTTAAGTGGAATCCATCAAGCCAAATATTTGACCTTTGAATTCTATTGTCACACTTATTAAAGGAAATCACATTGCGATTGAGGTCTTTGGTCTTTGGGAATGGTCTTTGGTCTTTGGGTATGGCCAGAATAAAATCTGAGATCATTAATTTGCCATAAATCATAGAATCTAAATCTTTGTCATGATTCTAATGTGATAAACGAACCAAAAAACAGCTTTTTAAATGAGTGGTCATACTGTCATGTATATACCCCTATATATAATAGATCAATAAATCAATTGTTCTAGATATTGTGACGTCATATATCATGAATTATTTAATTAGATTTACTGCTCATATAGCATCGTTTTATTTCACTCTAATGTAGAATACCATCTCAAGCAAGTATAATGGCTAATATGGAATGATTCCAATGAGTGATTTCTTAGACATAACAGTCCAAAGTATAGGCATTCTAAAACTATACATTTTCACATACAACCACCCTCCCACCCTCATATAAGGAAAGAAGCCAAGTCTCGCAATTGATCAGAGAGTGACACAAATACATTCTTTATGCAGTTAGTGCACATTCTCCTGTTTTAAATGACTCTCTCAGCTTTCTAACGGTATTAGAACCTTAGTGCAGAAAGTCAATGGAAAGTCAGTAATCAAAGGACAGATATGAATTGCTTGTAGTTTGAAGATGAAAAAATTGGTGATGATCATTCCAATGCTATATTACACTAGATGCCATTTATTACAATTTTAGCTGTACAGGGGGACAGGACTTGACCCCCTGCTGTACATAATGTGTTGCTTCCTGGTATTGTGTTTGGAAGTAAGTGTATACTTTATTGTATATTAGTATTCCCTTAACTTCCAAGGGCTGGTTCATCTCTGTGAAGTGGAGACTAGAGACATTTAATATTCTGTCCTTTAATACCTGTGAACCCTTGAGTATTATTCTGGGATCGGGCCTTTTATACTAAATGGTGAGCAACACCAGAAATGATTTGCTAAACGATATGCGTCACCCTTTAATAGTCTGTCCTCTAATACCTACATGTAAATGGATCAAACTGTAAATTATGAAAATCAAAATCTCGGATCAAGTCAATTGAAATCTGGTTTCAAAAGTGGTATCTTGGCCATGATTCAATGGCTTTAACAATTCAACTGAAAATAAACATTGCTTTCCAGACATTGGCAATTGGAGGTGCAGTCTGCATAGTATGCCTCATCCTACATATCAGCTCTCCATTATTCTCAGTGGTCAAAGCTGCATACAGAAAGCATATTTATCAAAGATTGTTTGAATCTGACCTACGCCTTGAGGAAATGAGACGGATTCTATCAGAACAAAAGAGACACAAAGAAAGACTTGAATGGCATAGATTTAGACCAATGTCAGGTGAATCACAACTAGCTAAAGAACTATTTGATATGATTAACTCTACCATGAACCCTGGGAATTGTACATCAGCGAAGTAAGTTACACTATTCTAATTTTTTGCTATAATCAGATGTGTAATATTTCACAAAACAATAATACTCAATCATCAAGAGCCAAATGCGAAAGTGTCAATGGAAAAGTACCAAAAAAATGATTAGAGAACACAGCAATAGAAAACATTTAAGAGTACACAATTCATAAGGAAAACAAACCCCAAATATCCCAAATGAAAAAGTGTGAAAAGACACAGTGTCAAATACCCCCACAATACAAGCAAAATATTAATAAGGTTTTTAAAAATATAATATCTTAATATCAGAATGTAAGAGAAACACCAAAGAGTATGGCAAAACACAGAATGAAAAATAAACATATAAATGTCCAGAGCCCAACAATTCATAATGATAATTACTAACATCCAGCTCCTTTCCATCCAATTATGATCTTTAATCTTATGGGATTGAACTTCTATTCAAATACCTGCATGTAATTCATTTCCAGGTATCTATTATGTGAATGGAGCAAGGATGCATCTTGGGGTCTGGGGAGTGTTATCCATCAGTTTATACCGTGTTTATCAGCAGCAGTGGCCACACGTAGAGTGCTCCACATAAATGCAGTGACCTTTTTACCAAATTCATGGGGGACATATTTACTACCTCCAAGCGATACATGTGATGATCACCCCTTGATAGATATCCAAGACTGGAAGATGGTGAAAACTCCAGAGAAGAGTGTGGCAAATACTCTACGATTAACACTACCTAATAAAGGTCTAGATGGTCCAAAGGATATATTCCATCCATTTCGTATTCCTGCTAAGTTTGCAAATATAGTAGGAAACCACCAGGTACCAGAACTTTGGATGGTTGGACAATATGTAAGATATCTGGTACAGCCAACAAACAAACTTAAAAAGTATATCTCTGATACAGTAACAAACATTGGTTTCAAAACACCAATTGTTGGTTTACATATAAGACGAGGAGATAAAGTATTTGGTACATTGAAGGAAGCTGATATTATCCCTCTAAGCAAATACATAGCAGAAATAGACAAGCATTTTGAAGTTCTCAAAATACCAACTAAAACAAAAAAACGAGTATTTTTAGCAACAGATGACACAAATGTTTTCAATGAAGCTAGTATTACCTATAAACAGTATACATTTATACAGTTAGAATCTGATAAGACAAACCGTAGTAACTTCATGGAGACTTTAACTGACATGTTCCTATTGGCAGAAACTGACTATTTTATCGGAACATTTTCATCAAATTTAGGTCGTTTGGTTCATGAATTACGACAGCAACGTTATATTGATGGAAGCTGTATGACATCCTCATTAGATGATGCTACTTATTCCTACATTTCATGTTGTTACCTTGGCTCTATTGTGGAAACTAAACCACTTAAATGCAATGAGGCCATTGACAAACAAAAAGAAACATCATATTCCATTTTGTAATATTCCTTTCTTAATTAAAGCTACTTCAGTGGGGCCTACCTGGGAAAACATAAAGTTGCTTCATTTAACGAAAATCAAATCAACAATTCCTGGGTCATTGGTTCCATAGGATTTTACCCAACAAAAGTGCTGGCCATTTTAAGTTTTTTCAAGAATTTTTGTGAGACTTTAAAACCATATTTATACTAAACCAATGTTGAAGAACTCAATAAGCGAGTTATTGACCATTAAATGTCAACATTCAAGTGGGATTTTTTTCTACAAAAATTTTTATTTTTCATGATCGCAGAGGAGAAATCCGGAGACCCCCTCTAGCAATTCCCAAAACATTTTTACTCAATTAATCAAATAACTAAACAGTGTACAAAAATCATGGAATACCAATTTCATATTGTTAAATGTCTTGGATGGATGAGTGGCATTTCTGGCAAGATATCACAATACATGTTCAAAACAACAAGACACATGGTGAATAATATTGCACCCTTAAAACATGTATTCAGCTTCCACAAACAAGATTTTAGAATAAAAAACAGAAATGGCCACCTTAACATTTACCTAGAATACCAAAAAATTAATAATCAGTTCTAAACTTTCAGACATAGAAACATCCCCTTAATTTCAGATGAATTCCTTATATGGTTTGGCTGTAAACCTGTAGACAAGCCTTGACAGACAAGATTTTAGGACAGAAAATCCAATATGACTGCCTTAGCGTTTACTGAACTCCCATGCAGTGTCTCGGTATAGACACTGCGGCGGGCAGATGAAGAAAATCCCCAAAATTTGGTGGAAATAGTTCCTCTTTTCATCGTATATGTGGTCAATTTTCACACAACTTATAAAATATGTATTCATGAATGTTCCCCAATCATTATTTTGTCAAAATATCTCAAAATTATTGAAATATGAGAAGAAATCCCCGCGGAAGGAATTCTGAGTAAAAGTTGTGTTGATAATAGTTTACCGCACATTTTGTTTATTAGTTAATACGCGCAATTCAACCAATGAAATTGTCTAAATTTTACAATCTACCGACCTGAGCATGGGACTAGAACCAATCACGTCAGCTGTTTATTACAGTGCTTACAGTGAGATACCCACGGCTGTCAACTTGGGACCATCTAACATGAGTGACTTCCAAATGTTGAACACCTTCCTTCAAACTTTGGACAGCTTCAGTGAACACTGGCAGATTTTGGACACCTAAAATTTTTCCAGCTCGCTAACGCTCCCTGTTCGAATACGTCAACGGGGAGGGGGGTGGTAGGTGTGACATAAACGGCAATCGCGTGCAAAGACCGAACGGAATGCGTTAGCTTTTTTTCGCCGTTCGCTTTTTTACTGATCGGCATTTCACAAAAAAGATTTTTAAAATTATCAACAAAATGCGTGATATTTGATCCTACACGCTAAATTGATGCGTGATTTCTGTTTTTCCAGGGCTGACAGGGCCGCTGCAGTGATATATCACTGCACGGGAGTTTGAGCGTTTACCCAGAATGCCAAAAACCTAATCAGTTTTTAAGGTTCACAAGTAGAAACATCTCTAAAGATTTGAGATGAATTCCTTAAACAGTTTGAAGAGTGCTATAAAATGTTAAAATCTTTCTAAAATGAAGAGCCAGAATTATGAATTACTATTGTGAATGCACCATATGCAGAATAATGTTCGAACAGAAACTATGAACGTTTGGAACAGAAAAAGTTAAACATTTCAACTAGACAACAGCAATGCCATAGTGTAGCAAATCCCATCGAACAGCAATGGCTGTCATTTTCACAAACAAAATAGCAAAAATGGCAGCCATTTTTCAAAATGACCACCTTCTACCACAAGTGTCATTAGACAGTGTTCCATGCTTATACTATTCACATACCAAATATGAACAGAATCGCTCCACTACTTTTCGAGTTATAGTAAAATAGGATAAAATGGTGGCCATTTTGAAAAATATTGTACGGACGGAGGCATTCCCTATATCCCTCCGAACTTCGTTCGATGGGATAATTATTGATTTTTTATGTTTGATATTTCGGACATAATTGAACATTGGCTTTTTAGAACTTGAAGCTTGTGGTTTTAACTTTTGCAACCTAACTTACAAGTATTGTTATGCACCTGTTATTTTAGAATATACCTATATTTTCACAATATGTGCCCTAGCATACTTTACACAATTCCATGTTCAATACACATTATCATAAATCATTGTAAATACCATGTAGCATCTAATACTCCCTATTGGGGGTCATATCCACTATAACCTGTTATATTGATTTTAATAAAAAAGAAAAAAAGAAATTAACATGGAGTATCAAGTGTTGGATTTGACATACTATTTTCTATATTTGATATATTATTTTCATATTGAATATATTATTTACTTATTCAAAGTTTTTAACATTTCACTTGATATTCTACTCTTATTGTTTGTTGTATTTGAAATTTTGCTTTGATATTCTTTATTTTTTATTAGATGATTGTACAATTTGCTCCAATATATTTTCTCATGTTTGATATAATATGTCTGAACAATATTTTGAATATTTATCTGTTCATTTTAATATGTTGTTAATATGTTGTTTTAAGTGCAATAAATATACAACTTTAAAAAAAACATAGTTAAGTGATTACATTGAAAAGAATAATATCAACTGATCCACTGACAATGACATGGTTGATGGTGATCCATCTTGCATAAAGGTGACCGAAAACATGCCACCGATATCATCTCAACTTTAGCCGCCATATTGTAACCAAAGATAGATGGTAGAATATGTCCCTATTCTGACAAACTCAATAATTGACCAACTGGCTTTATTTAAATAATAATAATATTGAATTTTTCCAGACAAAATGAGGTGTAAACAGCCATACTTTTTTTAAAATCAATAAGAAAATTTAATTTCCAAATCTGCTCAGTTACATTTCCCAACTTTCGGTCAGTGTTTTTGTGAATTTTTAATCAGTTTTCATTCTCTTAACTTGAATTGAGCGATATTACCTGTCAAAATTAATAACCTTAAGTGTATATTATGAATTCTCAAAAAATAAACCCACAAGAATAGTTGTTTTAATTCACAATTTCATGTCATGGTTTCTAACAAATTGCCTCATTATCTCTTTTCATGTTTTTTTGTCAATCAGTCAAAATCGGAGTTTAAAACCTGGTCTCTTTACAACATAAATGCTAATGTAAGTTTAAAATGGCATGAAACAAAGTTAAACCTTACATCCTACTTTGACAGTCTACTTGATGTGAAAAGCAATCATTGACATTATTTTCGTGATGTTGGATAACGGTATTAATTTTATTTTGCCAGTTTCCTTTTATCTCAAAGTCAAACTTCCATCGATGTGACGTCACTCATCAAGTATGCATGCACACGCAGTACAATAAAGAAGGCAAGGAACTTGGCAAAGAACTTTGTTCGATGGGATAATGAAAATGCTAATCTAATCTAATATTTACAAAACTAGATAACGGCAACTCCGCGGAGTAGCAAATCCCAACGAACAAAATATCAATTACCGAATTCCAATCAATTATACTCATTACTTTGGTTGAAAATGAAAAAATTAGATTTTAGAATTGCGAATTTCTGCAAAGCAACCATTTTGAATTTTCTGAGGTACAAATCTGAAAAATAATACCATAATTGTGATCTACTCCAAAATTCCTTCAATTTGAGTATAATATAGCCATACTTTGAAGGGATCGAAAAATTATTGCGAAATCGTACATTAGACGGCCATTTTGAATTTTACAAGGCTCGAATCAGAAAAAAGATACAATATTTGCAATCTACTCTTAATTGCCTTTCATTTGAGTATAATAAAGCTATACTTCAGAAATATCTAAAAATTAGCGAAAATTTCTGTTTTCCTGTCCCCCCATACATGGCCCCTGGGGGTCAGGATGAAAAACACGGAATATATGTGAAATAGATAAATGTTGTGGATACACTACCAAAATTTCAAACAATAATATTAATTACTTTGGTTTAGAATGAAAAATTTATGATTTTTGCGAAAAAGTCCCGTCATTTTTAAAGCGGCGGCCATCTTGAAAAAATTTTTTTTTGCGTAATATTATTCACCAATATACATCTTTTCACTAAATATGAAGAAAATCTGTCAACTAGTATTTGAGTTATCTTCCGGACAGACGGACGGACTGACTGACTGACGGACAGACGGACGGACGGACGGAGGGCTTCACTATATCCCTAACGAACTTCGTTCGTTGGGATAATAAACATCTATGAATGATATCTCCCTATTAAGACAATATTGCTTTTTAAAATCTAAATCTAGTTCAATATCTATAAACAAAAAAACATACCATATTTTGAATGGTAGGATCAGCCCCACATGCCAGTAAGTCTGTGACGTGACAAGCCTCATTTTGGATAGCGGTGATGTGGAGAGGTGTATTGCCATTCTGAAAAAATATTTTAAATTGATTAAGAAATTCTGTTAGCTTTCTTAGCTACATGGCCGTTTTTCAGGTACATGTAGTGAATTACTACTGATGGAAAGTTAAGGTAGTTATTTGCTTCATTCACTCATGTTGATATTCAACTTTTCACTGATCACTGATCCCCCGCCATCACTGATATCATATCGTACTACACATATGCACACCTGATTTATAATAGTACATGGACTTACCCTGTTCTGTGCATCTAAATTGACACCCAAGGCAATCAGCTTGTAGAAGGCATGGGGTTTATACATGCTGCATACAAAATGAAGGTATGTCATACCTTTCTGAAAATACAGAGTACAGATTTTTTTAATTTACAAATTCTCTGTTTGAGTGTGTATGTCAATGATTGATGTGTATAAAGTGTTGATTCACATGATTTGACAAACCACAAACAGACATAATGTCATTGTATTACTAAACATTGTATGAATAATCAAAATGTCAACTGCATGACTGACAACAAACATTGTATGACTGAAGATCTTTGTTCCGTACCATCCAAACCACAAGCATTGAATGACTAACCACTGGGTAAAATGCAAAATTGATGACATCAAACAAATCAATTGTATTGGACATCTCATTTGACTATACCAACATTTACATGATTACCAGACTTACTCTGTCTTTAAAGTGAATATCTTCTCCATTGGCGACAAGCTTGTCAATTTCAGCATAGTCGTCTCTCAGTATAGCCTGTCCTATAGGCATCTGAAAGGAGAAGGAAGAATTAGCACATCACTTCATTTTACTCAAAAAATCTACAGTTCCTGATAAACATTGCACTCAGAGCTGTCAAGTGTCCCCCGAATGGCGGGATTATCCCGCGAATTTGGTAAAAATTGGGCTAATTCGCGTGTCCCGCAATGTCCCGCGAAGTCCCGCAAATGTGGCTTTGACCTCCGCGAATTTCCGAAATTGTTGCAATCCCCTACATGTATATTGTGATTATCTTATCTTATATAAGAAGCTAAGTTTTTGCACTCTTGAGGAGTAAAGTTTACCTAATTTTAAGTACCTAGCATGCTGTTGTTTGGTATCAAAATAAAGAGGAAGGGTTCAACTTTCATTTTAATTACGAAAATAGGGATGTAGGTCACAAATAGTTCCAACGTTGGCCTTTTTACTACCCGTGTGGCCTTCATCTCCGAACTGAGCAAATGTTAGCAAACGCGAGTTACAATAAATGGACGCTGATATCTAGAAAGGGTTTGTAGAAAAAACCAGGTACCGGGTAGTAAATCCTGGGTTCAAACTTGGTACCCAGTACCCGTTCAAAAAAACGGGTACCCAAAAAACGAAAAATACGAATATATAACAAAATTAGATTATGAGAAAACGTGAAAGATTTGTTTTGAATTAACAAAAATGAATGTAACATCCTTCAAAATTGAGCTAGAAGCTTCAAATAAAAAGCAAATTTTAAGGCTCTTTTCTTCTTCTATCGTCATGGCCATATTTTCATTGGTTATGGGGGGGTGCGATCGCACCATCGCACCCTCTCCTGGCTACGCCTATGACATTGTAACTTAACACACGTCACCTCTCTGCTAAAGCAACGATAGCTATTTACAGATTTAAATCATAATCAAAACAATTCACGTAATAACATACGAACTATTGAAAATAGGGTAAGATTGATTTGTCTTGTTATTCAAATCGTCTTACAATGTCATTGGCGTAGCCAGGAGGGGGTGCAATCGCACCTCCCCCCCTTCATTACCAATGGAAATATGACCATGATGATAGAGGAAGAAAAGAGCCTTAAAATGCTTTCATTTGAAGCTTCTAGCTCAATTGTGAAGGAAGTTACTTAAATTTTTGTAAATTCAAAACAAATCTTACACGTTTTCTAATGATCTAATTATGTTGCATATTCGTATATTTCGTTCTTTGGGTACCCGGTTTTTTCGACCGGGTAACAAGTTTGAACCCAGCATGGAGGATTTACTAACCGGTACCCGTTTTTTTTTACAAACCCTATCTAGAAAAGTAACCTCATTCCCTATAATTTGATGTAGATTAATTGAACCCCTTTATCATGGGCTTTCAATTGAAAGCCCATGCCTACAGTATATGAATAGGTACATTTTAATATATAACATTATGGGGGTAAGCGTTTCATAGTTGGTCACGACGCAAGAAGTGCAAAGTATTGTTCCCAATTTTTGAATTTCGTGTTAGATTACGGTACTCACACCTGAAGCATGGTTTTTGTTTTTGATAAATTACAATAAAGTTTAACAATATTCCTATGTGTATTTTGTGAAATTGTGTTGACGTTTATTTAAGTTACAATGTAACGGTGCATTACATTTGATTAATCAGTATCTGAAAGTTTGATTTAAGTACTTTTACACGCTTTTACATTATTAGTCCCAATCACGCAAATCCCTTGAATGTCCGGGGACATCCTGCAAATTTAGGTGGATGTCCCGCGAAATCCCGCAAATTTAGGGCACTTTGTCTAAAAAATATGTCCCTCTATGAAGTTTTTGGTGGTAAACCAGTTAACTGTCCCGCAATTAGGGTGTTTGTCCCTCGAATGGTCCCGCGAAATCCCGCGAATTTGATAAAAAAAATTTGGCCTATAAGCGCAATCACGCATATCCCTTAAATGTCCCGCGAAATCCCGTGAATTTAGTAGATGTCCCGCAAAATCCCGCGAATTTTGGGCACTGGGTCTAAAAAATCTGTCCCGCGAGAAAATCTTTGGGGGTTGACAGTACTGTTGCACTTAACCTCAAAACATCAATATTTTGCTCATACGAGAGTGTTTCATGGCCATATAAAATGAAGTGTAATTTCACCTGCCTATTTTTACATAAATTTCTATACCCAAGATCAAGACCACTTTCATCCAAGTCAATTTCACCTTCATAACATAGTAATAAGTAACAACAAACATCGGGATATTACTATTTTACTCATTTATTCCAATTATAGTTACTCATATACATATGTGTAGACACATGAGATAACCCCAAATAACCATCCTGGCATAGCCATTTTAATCCCTCATTGTTCAGTCATTCATGAAAGAAAAGGTGGCACAAAACCAATTCTGGCATGGTCACTTAAATCCGTTAGAACTCAGTCATCTGTGAAGGAAAATAGACAACCCTGGTATCATAAGAAAGAGGACATCATAACCTATCGGATAGTAGCTGTGAATTTTCCTATTATTATTCATATTTGAAAAATAAGCAATTAAATCCTGGTTTCCTTTTTTGAGACACCCTGTAGATAAATGGCAATCCACATGTTCATAGGTGGAATGGAAATATGTAGTGACTAATATGTCATTGCATTGACATCAGAGAGTCAATAAAAGATATATATATAAATACTTACTTTTTCAACATCCCACATTTGTCCAGCCATGGTGTATGCTGTATTCTCCCAACCTTTATTCACAGGTACATATAATCTATGTGTATCTTCAACTGCTGGTATCTATAATCAAAAACAGAAATTATGCTATGCATGGTCTACATAAAAGATGTTATTTATGTTAAGTTACATGTGGCTTGTTGAGGCTGGCATGCAGTTTATCAGAATCAAAAGTCGCCAAAATTTTATTTTCTAGGTTCTACTAAGTTTAGTTGGCCACTATTATACACTCTCATTTATGTACCTGGGAATTTTGGGACTTTAAATTTATTAATTTTTCTCAGTTTTCTGCATATTCATACTGCTTCAAACTCAGACAAAAACAAAACTCTGTCAATCTCATTAGGGCCATCTAGACTGGGTTTACAGTCAGCAACATATATCCAATGTATTGTACTGAATAGCATACATACAATGTTGAGGATAGAATTATCAATAGATGGTGCTTACTGTGTCTAAGTATAGTCAGAAGTCTAGTCTGCATGTAGTTCAACAAATTAAACCCAAAATCTGGATTGATTTTGGTTTAACTTCCTTGCGATACATTCATTCTAGGAAACTTTGGATTGGTTGAAACCTGAGTTACCCTCTGTATTCTGTAAAATACGACAGCTACTTGATAGTAATACAGAAACACCTACCATCAATAGATTCCACTAACATTTTAGCATTAAATGTTCATTTTTAGAGTAAATATGGCTATTCTGATCGGTTTCTAAAGTGTATTTTCCCAAGGATTAATACAAGACCCTGACTGATGCCTATAATCTTATAATGTACGCAGAAAACACATATTAATGTATTTATTATATCCAAATTGCAAAGTATACCAGGTTGTTTACATTGCTCCAGTTTTGTTGAGTGAAGTGACAGCAGCTTTATTTTGATGTACATGCGGACATTTAGATTACGGAGCCATTTCTGATTATGCAAGAGTAGAGTCATATCCATCATTCATTTTGGAATTTAGATATGAATTGTCCATGTCTCTGTGCACAGTTAAGGAAGTCTTTTTCATAGGCGCATGCTCAAAAATCCAAACTCAAAAAAATCTCACTCAGAGTGCAATGTGCGCATACATGCTCAAAATCAAAACTTCGGGAATTTATAAGAAGTAAGTCAGTTTTACATTTCATTTTATATCTCTTGGATGTCTATGTCTCTGCAAAAGGCTAATAAGCCCACATAAAGCAGATATATAATTTAACAGTGATAGAATTTGAATAGAATATAATTTAAAACATTAACATTTAAAAATAGATCTATTGTTTACAACTCATTCTAAAATTGAAAGGAACCTTCCCAGTTTGCCCCTGTACCCCCTAGGAAGTCCCTTTATGTTGAAATACCCTGGGGCGACTAACAGGCCCGGGGGGTTCACTCCCAATAATTTGGGTAGGTATGTGAAGCATGGCCAATTTTGGCTTTGAGCTTAAAACATGGAAATTGGCCAATCTGAGAGGAAAAAAACATGGAAAATTTCCTAAAACCGTACCTTTTTTAAGTCAAAATTCAGTAAAAAATTGTATTATATTTTGTCTAATCAGTTGCTGAAGCCTGAAACAAACCGCTGGAAAAGTTGATTTTTTTTTTGAGAGGAAATTGACGTGGAAAAAATCCTCAAAAAGGGGGTCTTTTGGGCGGCACATGGGTATTAAGAAGTATATTGGACTGAACCCCCCAGGTTGTCAGGCTACCATGTCACCAGATAGAGTGTTCCATTTAGCTATTGTCTTAGGGAAATGGCTAAATTTGTATGCGTCGGTTCTAGTTGAAGTTTGTATGAGCTTAGAAGGATGATACAACCTAGTGTTAGTATAGACGGTGAACACTAGTGTTGTCGCGATGTGCCATAATCGTACATCGATGCATCGGCAATTTTCAGTAGTAAACATTGATGCACATCGCGATGTACATTGAGAAAAAGTTCGAGAAAAGTGCACTGAAATACCGAACGCTAATGCACTAAAATATCGAACAGAACAAATTAATAAGAGTACGCTGGTACATCCGGGAACATAGTAACGGTGAAATGAAAGTAAAGTAATTTTTTTTAGATTAATGGTTCATTTCGACTAGCTAAAACAGTTTTAAAGCGAAAGAATATCAGAAAACATTTGAAAATGAAATAAGACATGAAAAAAGGTAAGCAATTTGCGTCAAAATAAGATAAGAAAGGGCGATTTTTAGCAAATTAAATTTTTTTAAAAACATCGATGTTTTGTTTCAGACATCGATGCATCGCCAGAACCAGCTATCGCGATGTATCGATTAATCGCGACAACACTAGTGAACACTGCCTCTAATGCGTTGGATTGTCGTATGGACTTGCATCCATGGGCCAACACGATCCTCAGAGACCCAGAGGGTGCATGAATGCACCTACTGTTGGTAATGGTTTTGATCTATTGGCGGAAGTATGGAGGCACGTTGATGGCTCGCTAGGTTCTACTTTCCTATGCAAAAAAGGAAAACTCTAGCAGCCTCTCTACGCTCCTTCAGTGACTCCCACTGTAGGTACGAAATATTTTGAGGAAAATGCGTGCCATATACAGTATCCGCTTGAAAAGTCAGAACGAGATGCTAAGGTTTTTTTCGGCGTTCAGTTTGGTGCTGTCACTTTTTCGAAGTTTTTCTCCAGGAATATTTTTGCTTGACAATAATCAGGTAAAATGCATATTAGCGTGACACGCAAAAAAACTGGTGTGACTTCATATTTTCCAGCAAATGCGTGAAAAATACGCAAATTGTGGGACAGTTGAACGGCCACAAATTCCACAATATTTGTACATTCCGGGACGGAGAAAATAGAGTACTCAATTCACTGAGGTAAGAATTTATGACATATGTGACAGAATGTCTTTTTCATAGTGTTAGACTATTCATTATTTGTGTTCACCACTTTAAATCATGAAATTTTTACAAGATATTTTGAATTGACTGAGTTAGTTCTAAAATGTAGTTGTAAATATTGCAAAACTGTGGATCAAACATTTACTTAATGTATCAGAAGCATAAAGTGATACTTACCAAAGATTTTCCATGACCATACTTCGCTGAATAAAGCTACAAATGAAGATATGCGGGTGGAATGTTTTATTTGGAAAAATACCGGAAGTACGATCAAAGAGCTCTTTAGCTTAGAGGTGAGAAATTTAGAAAAAATTCTTACTCTGGTTCGGCGTCATTTTAGTTGTTATCTAGTCATCGTGTGAATAAACACTAAACCTGTTTGACCTTAATTGTACATTGTATGTATTTCTTTCTTTTTAATACTTTGTTTTTATTATTTATGTTGAGATTTGTCTATGATATTTGTTTTTATTCAAGGTCCATTTTTGATGGGTGATAATACATGTGCACCTGTAAGTGTGCACTTATGTAGCCCCGTGTCTGAACCGAATCTACTGGAAAGGTCACTGGATATAGGGTTTTGAATTTTTTGTAAGATGTTTCATGGGCTTTCAACAGAAGGGGAGCTTGAGAATGAAGAACTGAAAGGGAAATGGTCCTATCATTCCACAGTTACTCAAGAAAACTACTGTCAATTTCAAATATGATAACTTCAACTTAGTTTTAGTGTATGACACCAAATATCAACCTTTCTTGTAGAATTTAGTAGTGTTTGATATTTCTCAAACTCCGAACATGACCACTTGGACGTAGATATGTAGATGTAAATGTCATCCTAATTATCGCACAGTTGTGTTTGGATTGTCATTACGTGGTACTTAAGGTCAGGGTGCATGATGGGAAATTTTCTGCATTCCTCAATTGAGTCACATGTTATTTTTCAAACAAGAATCACTCCTTCCCTTCATTGATATCTTTCAGTTGTGCACAAAGAGTGCACTTATGTGCCTAGAAAAGACTTGTGAGAAGAATATTTTGATAAAGTGTATAAAAAACAAGAAAATTCAGTGAAAAAATCAGAAAATTTTCAGAAATTTTTTTCACTGAATTTTCTCATTTTTTATACATTTTACAAAACAAACCTTCTCACAAGGCTTTTCTAGGCACAGAAGTGCACTCTTTGTGCAAACTTGGAAGATGTAGACAATGTGGAGAAGGGGTTATTCATGTTTGAAAAATAACATGTGACTCAATTGAGGAATGCAGAAAATTTCCCAACATGCACCCTGTCCTTAATACATTTCATTGTTTGAAATGGATACATACATATGCTATAATCATTTTACTATCAGTTTTAGTGATAACTATCAACAAAATATAAGTTATTCTCTTACTTTTATGACTTTTATGTCTTTATTTAGAGGGGGTCAAACTTTAACAGACAAATTTCACTTTTTGCACATATCATTAACAATAGCGGAAATAAACAATTTTTAAAGATTGAAGTGATATTTGTATATATATGGATAAATCATTAAGATTGGGAGTATTTAGGTATTGAGCTGGTGTTATTACACTGGTTTAAAAGAGCTGGTGGCACATTTTAGTTATTTATGACAATCATGCGATAATTAGGACCATGTAGTAATTGACCAATTCAGCATTTCTCCTAATCAATATGTTTTTGCCATTCATATTTTTGTTGTCTAAAAAGACGTCACAATTTATATGATTTTTGATGAGATATTACAGCATGTTGTAACCATTTGATTCATTAAAAATATAATAAAGGTGCTTCATACTCACTTTCCATGATTAATAGGTGGTGTAAGGCATAGACCAAATGTCAATATAATGTTTAGAAATCAACTGAAGTCAAACAGTAAGGTGAAATAACATTGTATAATGAATGTAAATATCTATCATGAAAGCAGATTTACACACAGTATTGAGGATATACAGTATGGCATTGTTAATCATGTTTCATCTTATTCCAGAGTTATTATCATTGAAGGACAATGGCATCTTTAAAGAATACAGCAAAGCTACCATTTTTGACAATATGGAAAAGAATTGCTAATCCTATAATCTCTGTATCTAGTCATAAAGATTGGTTGAAATATGTACCTGAACGAACAATGGCTGGACATAGCAAATGGGCTAACATAAGGCATACCAAAGGTGCCAAAGATCATGCGAGAGGCCAGCTAACTCATAAACTGACACAAGCTATTCGGATAGCAATTAGAGGTTTGTTTTGTTTTTTGAAATTTAATGTTGATAACTCTGACTATACTGTAAATTAAATTCAAGACAGATTCACTTAAACTCCCCCCCCCCCCCTCAAAAAGTTGCATACATTTATTGTGCATCGTGTGACCTGCTGTTATTGTAGATTGATGACAGTTCCTGATTGAATAAATTCATATTGTTGTACTTACCAAGGTGTAAAATAATATACTTGTTTCAGAGCTGTTCATGCAAATCTGATCAATCAATATGAAGCATGAAACATCCAACTTTTAATCACTGGCTCAATTTTTATTTGATCACATTCCATAAGTGGCAAAAAACAACATCTTGTCATTTTACCATTAGTTTCTCTTCAAAGATGAATGAAATTGAAATGCAAATCATAAACCGAATTGCTAATTTTCACTTTTTCACTACTTTTTCAGAGGGAGGAAGCGCTGATTTGAAGTTGAACACAAGCCTAGCAAATGCAGTTGCAAGAGCCAATGGGAATGATGTCCCCAAGGCTACGATTGATAAAGTCCTCAAACAAGGGGTGAGAATTCTTTATTTTAGAGAGATGTCATTTTCAATCCTAACCTTGCCCCTCTGTGTCAATACCTTACAGCTGAAGAACTTCCATACATGTATATGTCCTCATAAACATTTATCAGTTTATAAATATGTGGTTTTGGGCACATGCGAGAATAAAAACAAATACCTTAAAGTCCCCGATAAATCAGGCTACGTATACCGCCGTGTTTACATAAGGGGATTAGAAGAGTTTATTTTTTATTTAGGTATGCAAGCTATATCAATATTAGGCCTTCATGCATGTACTCGTGTGTACAATCAGCATCCCCTTCAATATTATATCAACCAGGCTATTCAAGTACTACATAATGTACACTATTTATCAATTATGTGTGTACTACATGGGAATACAGTTCCCTGGGAAACAAAACACAAATACTTTTTATATGTTCAAAATGAGCCATTTGATTGATGCGTTCACTTAATAGCTTCATAAATAACATCTACAAAGTACAAGTGTATATCTAATAGTAATTTTCAATTTCAATGGTGAAACTTGCCTGTTTATGACTATACAGGAAATCAACATGGGATGAAGATTGTTCACCTTCCTGACTTACCTCTGAAGCCTGTACCTTGTAATCTCTTTATATAGGTTAGCGAGAGCGCTGCGCCTGCGCAGTTTTAAACTTTGGCGCACACTTTAAGAGTAGTCTGAGATAGCAATGAAGTCTTAGCCAGAAGAGTTGAAAGCAGAGGCAAATTTAGCTTAAAGGAATTATATTCTTTGGTTCTCATTTCCACGATTTTAGTTGAAAAAATGTTTAAATAAAATATTGGTGTGGCAATTGCCTCTCCCCTGCCTCATGCCTCATGCCTGGCAATGAAGTGTATATTAAAATTGTTACAAAGCCTTATAGATAGAACTAAATATAAAATGAATGTTATTTGTTTAAGAAAGAGGATGCAACAAATGCTACCAGGTACCTAGCAGAGGCCCGTGGTCCTGATGGAACTGTTTTTATATTTGACTGCTACACTGCAAAATCCAAATTCCTTATGTCCAACATGAAGAATGTCTGCAAACGTCACAAGTAGGTGAAAGAAAATAAATCGTTTATGACAGCACCTATGAAATACTTCTTTCTGTATTTACTACATGTATTTATATTGACAATATAATCAGTTGAATCAGTTGTCATAAGAAAGTTTCAAGATTGTGAAACTAAAATATTAAAACTACTTCTTACCAGTTTTTATTTACTATTTCACTCTTCATCTTATGATTCATATATCAACATGTTTTCGAATCTGAAATGTTTTCATCAGGAGCTGAATGGGGAAATATGCTCAACGGGGTTCAATGCCTTCAATTGATCGTACATGTATTACCAATCTTTTGTGATAAAATCCTTGCTTCAAATCACAGATAATTTAATCATTGAATGCATATTGCATTGCAGACTGATCACATTAGCATTTTGTTAGCATGCTGATTGCGAAACTTCTAGAGTGCACTTTGAAGAAATGAAACGAAATAAAAAATTTGAGCTGATAGGTGTTCTTCAGTTAGGTACATGTCTTTTTATTGCAGCGTAAAAATTGATAACCAGAGTGTAAAGTTTGCGTTTGACTACAAAGGAGTGATCCAAGTTCGAGTCAATGATGTAAATAAACTTGATGCTGATTCAGCGATGGATGTTGCCATAGAAACAGGAGCTGAAGATGTAGAGGAAGTTACAGAAGATAGCGAGCAGTTTATAAAGGTTAGTAATCTTGTGCTTTGTTGTCCTCATCAAAAAGTATTGACTGTTGTATATCCTCCATTTCCGTTATCCTCCAGAGCACATCCAGGCCTCCTAGACTTGACTCCATCAACGGGAACATCAGTTCTGACCTCTCATGTCGTGAATGTGAAATCTCATGTCGCGCACCACCATTTCCTCTTTCCCGAACATATTTCTCCACTCACAAACAGAGATCCATGCTTGCGAACCACACACCTGGTCGAAAAAAGTCCGTAATTTTATTTGTATTATTACGCATAACTAAAATTCCAACGAAGTGTTTTTATCTGAATTTTGGAATAAATACTTTCCCAGTTTTTCATGCATGTTAATGAATATTCACTAATTGAAGATAACAGTACATTTATCTTCAAGCTCCAGGAAACATAAAACATTGAGACTACTTTGCAATCCCACGCATTGTAACATTTTCAGTGAAAGGGCTGGGTAATAAAAACAAAAACATGACTTTTCATTGGCTGCGGAGAGCTTATGGCTCTATTGGAATAAATTATATGTACATGTATATGGGTCAATGTAAACTGCAAACAGACTCTTGCAATGCATTGGAATCCCAAATACCCGGATGCACTATGTACAAATTCTATAATAGCAATAACTGAAGGAGTAATGAGATTTAGCTGAATTAGATTGGTGTGAAATTCATACACTGAACACTTTACAATAACTTTATATTTTTTATTTTATAACTTTAAGAATATTAAGTGTTTAGATTTTGGGAGATAAATGTTATCATGTCAGTGAATTGTGGGACTTTTGTGCCTATGTAAGATTTAAGTGAATTTTCACTGGATTCAAAGGGTATTCACAAACGCTGATTTCTCTTTCTTCTCAATTTTTTATTAATAAAATATTATTGTTTGTGTGTTTTCAGTTCATTTGTGATCCAAAAGAGATAGGGAATGTCAAGAAAAATCTTGAAGGTTTGGAGTACAACATAGACTATGCCCAGCAACAGTATATTTCTCACTCCCCCATAGAGGTGGATGAAACTCTGTTAGAGTCAATAGGAAGCTTGTATGATAAACTGGAATCACAGTTTCCAGAAATAGAAAACATTTATGACAATATTGCAGGTGGAAAATCCAGGTAGCATCCAGACTAACACCACTTTGTGTGAATTTTATAAATTGATGAAAAATATAAAAAATATATAAAACTTTGTTCACTGTGTGAATATGAGAATGTATGATCAAAACTTAATTGGGGCTACACCCCCTCCATAAGTTTGGTAACTAGGACCGCAATATTGTTTGAATTTTACTATTGTCATGTCAATGTCAAAAACAAATGGTCTAACATGTGGTCCTTTAAGGGGGAATTACATTTACCATACTTATAATAGGGAGTGAATATCACAAATTAGATTTTTTTTTACTTGAGGTCAATTGAGATTATGATTGTATGGTACTGAAAATATAATTACCAAAAGAAAATGCCTACTCCTTTTTGGTTAGATATTTGTTGACAAATAAACATAAGATAAAAATATGTTGAAAAATAGCAATTTATTGCACATACAATGTAAATGTTCAAAAACATAGCATACTTTTGTTACATTTGAAAATAAATGATACAATCATTATTATGAATTAGATATACACTTTTAAAGTTATTATATATTTCAAGATTGTAATGATATGTACTAAGGACTTTTAAAGTTCTACTAAGTATTCCCCATTTAATCAGACAATTTGATTTGCTCAAATTCCCTTAAAAACTTGAATAAATTACATTTCTGGCATTTTTATATACAGATTATATTACCTGTCAATTTACATTTACTTTCCTTTGGGATTCTGCTTATCCATCAGCAATACTTCATTTTGTACTAAAAGATATGAACACCCTGATATTTTTATGTCATAGATCAAGTAAAGTTGCATGAAATTTGCAAAATCTGACCTTCAGTAAATTCTCGACATGCAAAAATCAGTCTTTGGCCTTGGTCTCTTTGCTCTATGGTGGCTAAGAGCAGCTCTAACTTCATAAAATCGATATAGAAAATCTACATCATACTGTTTACTTTGTATCCCTGTATGACTCCCCCCACACCTAATCACCCCTTCCCCCACAAACACAAAGACAGGGATTGCGAGTGAGACCTGTATACCCGAACACATCTCTAAAAATCTGAACACCTCTCAATGTGAACATTTTTTCCAGTCCCAAATTAAGTTCTCTCATTGATGTACATGTTTACAAAACCTTGAAATGTAAACACCTACTAATCCAAACACTTTTGGCTGGTCCCAGAGGCATTCAGACTCGGCAGGTGTTACTATACAGTGAAACATTTGAAGGGGAACACCTCTGTAAGTGAAACAAACAATTCATAAATGTAACACTTCAGAGTCCCATAACTCATTAACACAATATAACATCTCCCAAGAGGAACACTATTTAGAGGTACCAAAGGTGTTTCACTAAATAGGTTTTACTGTATGTATGTATATTAAGACATCAATTCTACTAATGCCAATAATGGTTTATATAATGGGTAGTTAAGCACACAGTGAATTTAGAATTTTGATGGAATTGGAATTTTAGTCTCTGTGACTTCCTGTATTACAGTTAATACATTACACTGCCATTTAAATATACATTCATGTGTGTATAACAACACTTGGAATTGGATACAATCACTTAACTCTACCAGGTAGAGCAGACATGATGATACTGTGAGCATTTTAAGATCCAAGTTGAGATGAACATACCGCCAAGCTTGCTAATGCACAAAGCCCCATGACACACTTATGATACCACCAAGCAAGCTCATGGTAACATCGTGTCTGCTTTACACCCCCATCCCATGATATACCTTTAAATATAAATTTATTTCTTTGTCTGACTAAAGTAACCCACTTACCGAATCATGCTTTTAACATTGGAATACACCTTAAAAGGTGGTAACATTTTTGGACAGATTTCAATTCTTGTTTTGGCTAATTACAGATCTTTTAGCATTGAGTATGTGGCAAAGATCTCTTGTTTTGCTCTCCTGCAACATGTCCAGTAATTTAGCTTGTTTATTCATTTGTACAATATCCCCCTTTCAAGAGTTTGTCCTATTTAGAGGATAGGAACTTCTACTGGGTTCTTGCTCTTAGGGTAATAAATATTATATAGCAATACAATCCCTAATATTTTATTTAAATATAAATGCATAATGAGATTCTAGTTTAATGAGATTCTAAATATTTACAAATATGTATCATCTTCGTGAATTGGAGAACTAGAATACATAGTTAACATTTTCATATAATACAGTACATGTTTTACATCTATTTATATAGGCCTATTCACCCTGACTTTAGACCCATTTATGCAGATGTAACTGAATTATGGTACATCTGACTGAATTCTGTCTTGGACTAAAATATACATATAAGTACATCATGAAATAATAAGTAATACAAAAATAAGCTTTAGGCAATATAACAATAATAATTTGTTTCTATGTAGTTCTTTGTATACATAATTGAACAGCATCATTTTAACTCTGTTGATTAGAGATCAGAAAATGGTGATGTTCTCGGGTCATGTCATGTTTGGAAAATGGAAATAAAACAGGAAATAGAGAAATCAGCAAGGTAAACAAACATGCAGTCAACACTCTAATTTATATAAAAATGTCAGAAAATCTGACAGGTCATTCAAATTTTTGAGAATGGAGTGGAAAAAACATGAACAAACGAATTTAGCATTGAAAATTAAGTGCATCTGGGATATTGTAGTTGATCGCAGTAATCTAAACTAAAACATCGCCAAATTACACTGTCCCTAAATTTCTCACTATACATGTATAATGTAAAGTTAATTATGGCAAAATTAATCTCAGAAAATTATTCAATCGAGACATACTCGTAAAAGCATTTTAATAAGGCAGAATGAAAGGCAGGGTATAAATGTGTGAAATATAAGCAGAATGGCATTGTGTGAAAAATAGGCACAATGGTATGTAAATGTAGGCACAATAGTATTGCAAAAATAGGCAGTATGGTATTTTAAGTAACACAAGGTATAAGGGTGTGTAAAAGTAGGTAGAACAGCAATGTCAAAAATAGGCAGCATAGTATGTTAAAGTAAGCATAACAGCAATGTGAAAAATAGGCAGTATTTTATTAAGTAAAAATAGGCAGAATGGTATGTAAAAGTAGGTAGAACAGCAATGTGAAAAATAGGCAGTATGGCATTGAGTAACAATAGGCATTACCTTTTAAAACAAACGTTGATGGACACACTATCACAATACAGTATTTGTCACCATGAAGAAGTTGTCACAACCATGTAGTGCTGACATAAAGTAATAGACACTGTTTTAATGACCAGCATTCAGTCTCAACAAATTGTTACGTTACATTTTCTTAACATATTTGCAATACATACCAGGATGTAATGTTTTGTCACGTTAATGCTTAGTTTAACATTTTGTGAACTTTTAAATTGGATTTTGTCTTCCCTCAAGTCACTGCGTTCCATCTATCCTCTTCTATAAAATAATTCAGTATAGAGGAGGGGGAGAACAGGCACCTGAAGGAAGATTTTCGATGAAGACATCTGTTAATTCAACTGTGAACATGACAATGGCGTAGTGTCATATACGCATAAAATGCCATAGCATACTCTCAAAATTTAGAATTGACCCACGTTTTAAAAATACTGGATATTCTGAAAATATAGCCAATAATTTACATTTTATTTAACCATATTAGTTGGAATTTTGTATTTTAAAACACCCCAGAACGCTTCAAATGCAATCTCATTTTAAATTTTTCTTGGGGGAAAGAACTTCCAAACCCCCCTCAAACCTTTTGCTCACTTGTGGCATACACTCACAAATTACCCACTCTATGCAACTGACGAGGCTGTCATCCTTCATTTTTCAAACTCATATCAGATTGGATATTCAGTGAAACGCCCATGAAAGAGCATTACAGCTGGCTCCACATGGGGTCATTGAGATCTCACCAGCATCAAATCTGAATTTAGTTGTCCTTTTAGAGAGTAGTAATTACTCAAACTCTTAGGCCGCAGGTTTTTGAATTACTCTCTATAATCTTTTCTGGACATTGTACGATAAATCAAAATGCTCACAAACCCATGTCGAAGCAGTTTTCCCTTCACTATCGTGTTCATAGAGCATGTCTCACAATTTCACATGTTCAATGCCCGTTTAACAGCATATTAATTCCACCGAACCTCTACTAGGTGCAAGACAGTTTGACATGTAAGGATGTAGTATCAGCATAACATTCCTTTTAATATATATATGCAACTCCTTGTAAAGTAACAGCTACTCCACATTATGTAGCATACTACATAACATGCCATCGCCGTAGCCACACCATTTGTATCTGTCTGTCTCCCACGATGCAACAGGCACTGCGATGCTTTGAGTATCAGAATGGTAACATGCTATTATTTCCACAACATGCTCTTCCTTGTAGCATAACATGCCTTCTTGATTCACCAAATGGCAACCAGCTTAACAAGGCATTTAATATTGGATTAATACAAGTCCATAGACCATGTACACCAAATCCTGAGAAGAGATTTTACATACACTACATGTAATCTTCAGATTATTAAGCATTTTCTAAGTGTCACAACATCGCTGTCAGGTTTTCAGTAATTTATCTGTTTGCCCCTGTTTGCCGAGCATGAAATATGTCAGCATGTCTCCCTTGCCTTTAACGCGCACCATCCCTCGACATTCAAATACAAATCCTCTTGGTGAGAGGATATTGTGCACTTCTTGGGTGAGCTGAAATTGAAGTGAGAATATTTTTGATGATCATCGTGTTTTAAAATCCAAAGAGCGAAAAAGAGGAAAAATCAGCTAGAATAAAATTATCAGGCATGTAGGGAATACTTTAAACTGTATTGAAGTGCATGAAAATTAAAAAAATAATTATTCATATTTTAAACAAATTAGAGTGAGGAAAGCCTAAGCACTCTGATATCTTTAAGCTCTATCAGTACAATACCTGTATGGTGTCTGGCTTCCCTGTACTCTCCATTCGACTAGCAACATTCACTGCATTCCCCCAAATGTCAAACTGAGGCTTACGGGCTCCTATTACTCCTGCTATCAGAGAGCCAACGTTCAAGCCTGAAATGCAAATGTACATTATAAAGACTGTATCTTGCAAGACGTGTATATGCGATATTTAAAATGTGAAGGATATGATAGAAAAGGGAGTTACACTGTAGCAAGGAACAAATTAAACAGGCGTGTAAAATTATGTAAACATCCAGAATAGTTGACCATTCAGAATTTCTGACAATTCTAAACAAAAGCATGAAGAAAATGAACAATTATTGAATATTACGCTAGTACATGGACAATAGTGATGTTCCAATGGCAAATAAAAGAACATCTAAAAGCCCACTGCCATTTGTTACAGACACTGACCACCGAACACTGTAACAGCCACCGAATTCTGTCACAGACGCTAAACACCAAACACCAACTACCAAACACCAGTCACCAAAAGGTTGGAGACTCTAACAATATGTCACAACTTCTGGTGGTGACATTAAAGTAATGTTCTCTTACCAACTCTTAACTTAAAGTTGTTAAATGAGTGCTCATTGACATCCTCTAGTTGGACTTGTAATGCCATAGCATACTCTGCCATAGCAACAACATGGTCAAAGTTAGCACTGTTTGTCTCTTTTGTTAGTCCAGAAGCTGCCATATAGGTGGAACCAATAGTTTTGATCTTTTCTATGCATTTGAACTTCGGATTTTGTAATATCTGAAAAATGGAGATATGAGTTTGTGAATACCTGCAATACTAAATCTTGATTCATACATACAGTTGTCCCTAGTTTCACTAAACAATAAGAAGGTGGAAGTCAACACAGGAATCTTTGGTTTAGAGTTGAGGCCCACATTGTCAACCTCTAGATAGGTCATGTAGTATTTCAATCTAAACTATACATGGCTTATATTATCATTAGAAGTCCTTGTAAAAAATGTGGCCACAAGTTCTAGAAAAACACAAAAGATGGCATACAATACAAAAATCTACGATCTTACGAAATGTGTGATAATTTTATTGGAAATCAATAGTACTAAACATAGTCGACACTCTATATATTTCACAGTTCATAATACACGCCATTCAACAAGGTCATATCCGCAGCATTATACAATACATTACAAGACATCTGGGCCTTTATCACGAGAATAGCATTCATCCATAGATAGGGGTGAAGAAATAAAATCATGAGCTTATTATGTACATATGTATAATGTAAATGTATGACCACATTGATATGTTGGACAGCCTTTATTTTAAAAAGTTACCTCATCGAAGTCTGCAATAATTTCATTGAGAAGTCTCAGACATTCCACTCCCTCGTTATTGCCTTCCAGTTCAATGTAGAAATCTGAGAAATTACAAACTGATGCAAACATCACACACACGTTCTCACAGTCCTCGTGGTAGAGGTCCTGAAAAATTAAACCAAAGATGAATTATTTAAATCCTTGTTGCTGTGTTTCTCTGTATTATTTTCTTTGTATTTGTACTAATAACATAGCATTATGGCTTTTTATGATTGTGATATTGATGCTTTTACCCCAATTTAAGAAAACACAATAATCTGCTTAGGTTTGGCTGACATATTATACTTCAATGTCTAGTATTATAGTGATATCATTACTTTAATATTCAAGTTAAAGATCAAATACATAAGGAAATATATTGTATGGTAGTGATACTCAAATGATTGTACTCTCAAAGAAGTACTTTTACTTAATGAACAAGTGATTGTACTAATACTTACAATCACAAAACAGATAACATAAATACTCCTATACTTAAAAGACTCAGGAATATTCAAGTAATTGCACTGAAACACTCGAATGATTGCACTGAAACACTCGAATGATTGCACTGAAACACTCGAATGATTGCAGTGAAACGCTCGAATGATTGCAGTGAAACGCTCGAATGATTGCACTGAAACACTAGAATGATTGCACTGAAACACTCGAATGATTGCACTGAAACACTTGAATGGTTGCACTGAAACACTCGAATGATTGCACTGAAACACTCGAATGATTGCACTGAAACACTCGAATGATTGCACTGAAACACCCGAATGATTGCACTGAAACACTCGAATGATTGCACTGAAACACTCGAATGATTGGGACTGAAACACTCAAATGATTGACCCTGAAACATTTAAATAATTGCACTGAAACACTCAAACGATTGCTCTTACCTGAAACACTAGAATGATTGCACTGAAACACTCGAATGATTGTACTGAAACACTTGAATGGTTGCACTGAAACACTCGAATGATTGCACTGAAACACTCGAATGATTGCACTGAAACACTCGAATGATTGCACTGAAACACTCGAATGATTGCACTGAAACACTCGAATGATTGCACTGAAACACTCGAATGATTGGGACTGAAACACTCAAATGATTGACCCTGAAACATTTAAATAATTGCACTGAAACACTCAAACGATTGCTCTTACCTGAAACACTAGAATGATTGCACTGAAACACTCGAATGATTGCACTGAAACACTTGAATGGTTGCACTGAAACACTCGAATGATTGCACTGAAACACTCGAATGATTGCACTGAAACACTCGAATGATTGCACTGAAACACTCGAATGATTGCACTGAAACACTCGAATGATTGCACTGAAACACTCGAATGATTGGGACTGAAACACTCAAATGATTGACCCTGAAACATTTAAATAATTGCACTGAAACACTCAAACGATTGCTCTTACCTCATCTTTTTTACTCTCACTTTTGAGGAAATGTTCAGCTACATGCTGTGGGAGAATGTTACAGACCAGTCTCATGTTATAGGCCCTCAGGCTCTCCATCTCCTCTTTCTCATCAGTTGCCTGGAAACATAGGGGTACTATGGTAGTGTATGATTGCTATGATTTTTTATTGTTGCCATAGCAACAATGATTGCATGTTGTAAATTATTTGTAAATGTAACTAAGTACATGTAATTTCCTGCAATTACACAACACATCTTGTGTGGTAAGCTATTTTTGCACTTTATTATAGAAGGCGATGATAACTATGATTATTATATTTTTATACATTGTAATACATTATTGTACATTATTATACATTGTAATTATGCCAAGTTTAATAACATATTGTTATTGTTGCAAAACAGTTGTTTAAGTGCATGGTTACTGTGTGACACATACTACATATGCATCCTTGAAACTATTGTAATAAACTAATAAAGAATCTAAATTACAATAAAAATATTATTAGACAATTATAAAACCTTCATCTCAGTTCCAAGTCTCTATGGCGACTCAAACATAAAAAAGTTGAAATTTTTATTCGCTCAGAAAAATCTTATTCTCCTGGGAAAAATGTACTAAGATCATTTCATGATTGATTTTCAACATGAATTTCATTCCACGGGTAATATAATATATTTATTCCATAATCCTACTGTTTTCTCAGGGAATTATGAAGGAATAAAAATCACATTGAATTGTATTACATGAAAAAATTGTATTGTCCCCGGGAAAAAAAATACAGACACTCGGTGGCTGCACTCCCTCGATCAAAATCATATTACCCTTCGGTCAGTATCATATTGTCCCTCTGAATAAACCCATATTCAATCCCTCCCAGTAAATAACCTATATATATTTCATCGTACCTGTAATTTCCAGAGGAAATCCAACCTTGCTGTAGATTCAACTTGCTGTGCATGTATAAAGAGGACTAGCGTATATACCATTAATACAACCAGTGTGGCCCATTTCAGCTCTATTGTACTGCTGGGGTCATGGAGACTTTTCCTACAGGACAAAATAAAATATACATTTACTCCAACAAAGTAGTTTAACATTTAAACAGTGACATATTTTTGTTTTGTCACTGGGGAGTATCGTGATGCAACAACACCGTGTTGTTGCATCAAGATGGCCAGACTTCCGGTGATAGATTTTCGTACGATATTTTGTTTCCCCAATTAAACCCATTTCTAGGACGAGTTGCTCAATAACCATACACGTGCAGTTAGCGCACGATCTATATTTAAAGAAACTGTCATTAGTATACATGTACCATCACCAAGAAGCAATAAGTTCACGGTTTTAGTTCCTCACTATTGATGCAACAACACCAACCCGAAGATGCAACAACACTCCTCTAGATTTGAGCAATGATGCAGCAACACCAATTAATAGTATAATTTCAGAAGACCATAAATCTCGAGACTACTATTGCAATACCGTTACCAATTAGCCTACCCATATTTGCGTTCTTCTCAAGGCATTCAATATTTTCAAACATTTATACTTTTACATATTATAATGTACTGGACGTTATTCTATAACATAGTTCAATCGCCTTTAACATGACAAGCTTTAGTAACCCAATCTATTTTCATAAACCGCTGTTCCATAGCTTGATGACCCTGACTCCAGTTAGTATCATTCAAAATGGTGGACAAACATCTTTCGTTCTCGGTAAACATGATGAGCTATTGGATATTATCATGATATTACCTGTCATCCATCTGTGGAACAGTGATAAACTAGTAGATGTACGTTACCACTGTTTATCAAATTATAACTAAAACAGTTTAACTGTGACATTCGTGAGCTTATGTTGATGGGATGATTGCTTCATCTAAGATATAATATGACATGATTCTTTATTTCCTACAATTTGGAGAGCCAACGTGTAAAAACGTCTAATTGACTTTATTAGAGAGGCCGTTTAGTTACACGTTTAATGGAAATCTTGCACGACGCACATGTAGAATTATTGCTCTCTTTGGATTCCTTCTCTCCGACTGAGTAAAAAGGTAAACAAAAATGATAAAATTTAGGGCCCAAAAAGGTAAATTGATAGGGGTACAGTTATCCCAGATATCCCGGGCCCTCGGGAAATATCACATTGTCTCTCGAAATAAAACCAATATTGAGTCCCTCTCAGTAAATAACTTTTATATAATAGCATTGTATAACTGCAATATCATTAAACCAACACTCATCCTATACAACTCTTGAGGACGATGTACAACTCCTGGATAGCGTAAACTCCTGAGCAGCGTATACAACTATTCAACTTGATATATGACATCATACTTTGGGTGGGATAACAAAGGATATACAATATACAATTGTAGACCCCTCTTGAGGTCAACTGGCAAAACTGTATACCGATACTGTGAACCTTCATGAAAGTACTGTTGATCAAGACCAGATGTCGAGGACATTTTTGCCAGTTGACCGAAAAGAGAGGTTAACAATTGTTCTGTTAGTCCAAATTATATAATAATTGGACGAATATATAATCGAATATCACGTGAACATATTTGATAAGTAAAGGTATCATATTTTAGCAAAAAATCCCCAAACCGTCGAATACTTGTAATTTTTTACACAACTTATTTTTTCAAAATTAAAAAAATTTCAACATAAAAAAAACAATTTTTCAAAAATAGGGGTCAACAGTACCTATTAGTGGTCAACAGTTGTTGACCTCCCCAGAGGCCAACCGGCAAAATTGTATACCGAGACTGTAAACCGAAAAAATACTGTTGACAAAGACCGAAGGTCGAGGTCAACAGTAGTTTCAAGGTTTACAGTCGAGGTATATGATTTTGACGGTTGATCGAATGGAGAGGTCTACAATTGTTTTGTTAGTCCGAGTAAACTAATAATACACATATAGACGACGATCATCAATCGGCATGGCTTCATTTCACAACCTTTTCTCCGAACCACGTTAGCAATATTTTTTTAGAAAATATGGAGACAGTGCAAGAAGCTTAACTCTGTATTTGGCACATCACGGCGTACTCGTTAGTGAATTAATGTTAATTTTAAGTTTCTATTTGTATTTTTGCTATACTTGTCGCCTAGTAAAGTCATTTTCATCAACATTTACAAAATGTCCGTCTTCCATGTTTTTTTTGTGACGTCATGAAACTTTTTTTCAGAAGTAGCGGTCAACAGTACCTAGTAGCGGTCAACAGTACATAATTTTGACCGCTAATCACCCAATCAGAATCGAGTATTTCAGTTGAGGTACTAACAATACATTTTGTTGCCCGCTCATCAACCAATCAGAATTGAGTATTTCAATTGAGGTACTAACAACACAAAATGACTGATATCTGTTGTCTTTCCAAAATTATATTAGTTATTTGTAAGCACTTTTTCCATACGGTAAATCAAGGGCATTTAATTTAGAAAATGTATAATCTTTACTTTTCAGATACAATATCAATGAGATTGCCTCCCGGGGATTCTATACTTTATTTAGTTTGCCTTGTATATCCTTTTAACTTTGATATAGACAAAGAAACCAAACAAAATACGTTTCGTTCATGGACCACTGACTCACGCGTTTTATTCATGTCCCGACCTACACCTGTAAACAGAACATAAAACAGTTTATCTTGTTGTTCAATGATACGTGTACATAATATTGGCGTTTTTGCATCAGCACATTGGTGTTGTTGCATCATCGATAAGAAACAGAGTGGTGTTGTTGCATCAATAGTGAGGAATTAAAACCACGAATTTATCGCTTCTTGATGATGCTACATGTATACCAATGACAGTTTTTTAAAATATAGATAATGTGCTAACTGCATGTGTATGATTATTGAGCAACTCGTCCTAGAAATGGGTGTAAATTGGGAAAACAAAACATCGTACGAAAATCTATCACCGGAAGTCTGGCCATCTTGATGCAACAACACGGTGTTGTTGCATCACGATACCCCCCAGTGGTTATGTCATTAACTCCTTTTAATTATTACCTGTGCCCAGATATCATTTTCTCCCAAGAAATTCAAATTTTTTCGCAAAAGGTGACATTACCAATGCAAGCATGGTAGCAAGTTGTTAGCAACACAGTAACGAGCAAAAGAGGAATGACACATTGACATTAAGTGAGTATCCAAAAACTCCAAGTTAATTCACAAGATAATCACAATCTTACTTTAATCTCAAAACTGAAAGCAAGATTTGTTTTGGCACGCACCAGCCAGTTCACCCATCAGCACAGATGATTATTAAAATGTAGCACTTTGAAAAAGTGTGATAAAATATATGAATAAGAAAAATACAACTTACTCAACATGTGCCCGTAGGATGAGATCCCTGTTATCAAAGAGGTTGACGTGTGTGACGAGGACAAAGATGAGATAGATGCCTGATATGATAGCGAGGAGCACAAGCTTCAAGACACTGCTGGCCTGCAGGTACACTGCACTTGTAACCATGGTCAACAGTACACAGAATGTAAAGTACTGAAATATGATGTCAAATTCTGAATAATGAAGGTACTGAAATAAGTGCTGAGGTACTGTAATAGCCCTATAATATGAGACTAAGTACTGAAATACAAGGTTAAATCCTGAAATACCACATAAAGTGACAGTGTGCTCCAATAAAATAGACTGCCTAATATTCATTATATACAAAATCATGTAGGGATTATAAAAATTATGTAAGATTATTACAATTATAAAATAATGACAGAAAATTTGGCAGCTAGTTCCTTAGAAAGCTCTGAAATATGAAGTGGGACAAAGCTGAGGACACTTTAGTCTTGCTTCAAGACCCTGGACCCCCCCCCCCCTCTTATCTACTTCAGCAACTGTGGTTGAAGTAGAGGGGGGGGGGTTCTTGAAGCAAGGCTAAAGACACTGTTAACTGTACACAATAGAAGTTATATGATATATTCCTCGATGTAGGACACATACATGTACATAACAAGTAATTTCTCTTAGATAGTGTTTCAAAGCATTTCACATTTCACTCGAGTAATCTGTTTCAAGAATATAATCTTACATGGAGTCTATGCCCTCTACTAACCAATGTGTGTATATTTTAGAGAATGGTACAAAATTAGAGAAAATACAAATATTACTTAACAAGACACAAAGTAATAAATATCGCACTTTGAAATGTAAATGTAAAATGGCCACCATATAATTTACTCAGCATACCCAAAACTTAATAAGATCTTACCAAGTGTGATAAAAACACAAAACGAATATTAAAGAAAGAATACTTTAAGTCTAAAAAATACACAAAGAAGTCATACCTCTGGAAAATGTGAAGTTGGTGTGAGATTGCAGAGATTGGTCTCGTCTCCATACACCAGTCCCTTCCAGTATAAATGGGTGATATTCACCTCAAGAGGGGTGATTTTAAACTCTTCGGCAAGGCAAGTCCTTATGTCAGTGGTATCTAAGGAAAACTGAAACAAATCATGATACACAATGAGAAATTTGGACTCTACTGGAAAAATGGAAACCAAACAGTTAATGACATATTTTACCAATAATTGATATAAGTTGACCGTAAAAATGTTGAGTCATTCTGAACAATACTTCTTCATTGCGTTATTGGTCCCAAAAGTGTAACAATTGCTACAGATGCCAAATACCAGTCACAAAAAATAAAGCATATAACAATATGTCATGATTACCATGGTGACATTAAAATCAATTTAGCCACTCACCATTGAGCAAAATGAAGCAGCATATATAACTATAACAGCGAAGGCAGCAACTAGTTGACTCACAGGTCGACTTATGGCAATCTTCGTAGAAATACTTCGTAAACTTTTTGGGGTACACTGCAAGAGTAAAAATCATGGAATATATATATACTGTATATTTTTCAATCATAAAACCATAAACACTTATGTAGTGGCTTAATTCGCTTATAGCATTAAAAGCCACTTGAAAATAAGATTGAATTATTTTTGAAATTATATTTTCAAAATTAAATTTTAGATAATAGAAATCTTTAAAAAAACAGTAATCAATATCATATTTAGATATTTTTCAAAATATTATAGAGAGAATTCATTTAAAACCAGAGTACGACTGAATTTTGCGAGGAGGGTTCAAGAAATTCTGGACAATTCCATTATTTCTGGAAAATCTTTTGATTTGCCAGAATGTATTTTAAATAATATTTCAACAAAACATGGTTGTCTTCCAAACAAACGAACAAACAAACAAATAGAGTAAACAAACATATAAGATAAGTAAACAAACACAAACAAACAGATAGACAGACTGACAAATGAGACTCACATTAATAGATTTTAGATTATCCTTTATAGTTTTATACATTCTAAGCACACACATCAAGCGGATTTTTCTATAAACATATTGAACAACCTGGTACAATAGTAGTGATAAAGTAAAAGGAAGATAATTTATGTATTTATAAATCAATCATGATTTTCATAAATCATTTGTTACTCAAGTATGAAGTGGAAAACAGAAAATTGAAAGTTGATAGACATATCCTGCAAGGGGAATCCCACAGTTTACATATTTTAGAATGTTTTTCAAGGTATGTTCTTTGGCCACTCAAACTTGATGACGCATGTTATTTGTGCCTTTGTGCCTTTTAGCAGTAATATTCAAAATTATGCTAGGTTTGTAATTTATTATAGAATTAAGTATAGTTATGTAAATGAAAGTATATTATTGTTAATTTGTGAAATATTATGTAGTATATAAATAATATGTAATACTTCTTATGTGAAGTGATAAAACGAAGAATAGATGGCCACAAGATGGCTCTTGACATCTCAAATTACATATTAAATTTAATTTCTTGATTGAGCAGGCTTCAGTAGTAAAGTAAGCAAACTTGAGGTCTATAACACTCTGAATTGTTCAGAAATGAAAATTAATCGGCAAATTGAATTAGATTCTAAAGAGAACAAGTGTGTATAATAAAATAAGCGTGGATGGATGTAACCACTGTGACTATATCTAATGGGGCATATTCATTTATATCTGAATGTCTGATATGAAGGTATTCATTTATCTCATACTTAAATTTAAACTGCATATGGAAAATTTGTTCAACGCTATATTTAACAGTAATCAAAAACAATTACAATTCCAAGTAAATAAAACCACAAACATTTCTAATTATTCATTCAATAAATACAAAATCTGATTATATTCTAGGCACACCAAGACATTCATATCAAACACACGAACTCGTCTAAAAGATAAAACTTAGCACCATGGGTACTTGGCTCACATAGGGAGGTTTCAAAAGATAAACCTCAAACAGAAGAATATATAGAAAGTGTTTTGATGTAATTTTTAAAAAAAATGTCTTGAAGGATGACAGGCAGTTTTCAGTTGATTGTTTCAGCAACTCCATTGCTTTCCATTCAATTAATTTTACTCCCCATGTCCGAATATGGAGTGTAGTTCCAGTGTCCAAAAATAGAGTATAAATCCCCATGTCCAAATATGGAGTGTAGGTTCCCATGTTAAAATATCAAGGAGGATTGGCTCCCAGAATCGAAGTCGATATTTTCCAACAATGAAAACGCCGAGATGTCGTTATTTTCTGAAATTTTAACCGATTATAAATTCAAAATAAACAGTTCAAAAGATTCGAACCAATATCTCGATCATTTCCTGTGAGTTTTGGAATTTTTCGTTAGGAAATAAGACCAAAATTCACGATTCAAATGTTGAAGTGAACAAAATGGCGGCTGTTGGAATTCAAATTTTGTAGCACGACATGCCCATATATGGGACAGAATATCGATGTTGCACTCTGGGAGCCAATCCTCCTTGTTAAAATATGGAGTGTAGTTCCCATGTCCAAATATGGAGTGTAGATCCCCCATGTCCAAATATGGAGTGTAGTTCCCATGTCCAAATATGGAGTGTAATCTCTTTATATGAGCCTGGTGTGAGAGTCATTGTCCCATTTTAAATGATTAGACTTAATATCTTGAACATGGCTTGATTTCAATTTACGTCATACAGAGCATTCCACCTCAAGTACAATCTTACAGATATTTTGAATTCTTCATCATGGGTTTCAGGATGTGCTCCTCTTGTTACCATACTCACCATATCTTATGAGTTTTTTTGATAGTATAATCACTCTTGCTGTGGAATCTTTGAAATATCCACATGCAAATTCAATGACTGAGAGACTAAATATGAATGAAAAGTAGATATGGACAGACAGACAGACGGATATGTGGGTGATTCCAATAGCTCACCATGTGAGCTAAAAATATTTGAAATAAAGAATAGCACTCTTACGAAGAACTCTTATGAAGAACTCACATTCATTAGATATTTTCCTTGACCTAAATGTATGCACTATAGAAAAATTAAATACTTTGATTGATTGGCAGATATTATAAAATAAACACGATACAAAAGAAACTAAATATAGGTAACCTTAATCAATGTTTTGTCATTAGCGAGCTTCACCATAAATGTAACTGTACTTTATCTTGGATCAATCAGATGACAGAGTAATCTTATATATTATCCATTTACAAAGAAGAGTGAAAACTCTATCATCAGACTATTATCAAATTTCTTTCACTGTAATTAATTTTGCCATTTTTCAAACACGATGTCTACGTGATGATCTTTGTTATAACAGGCCACAGTGAAAAGCTGAACACCAGATTATGCACTGATCTTTTCAGATTTCATAAGACATTTTCAAGTAATAACTACTCTAATCTATTACTGCCAGCATGGGAATAATGATGTCATACCTAGAGAACAATATACTTCAAAATTTCCAAGAAAATTGTGCAAGAACCACACACCTCAACAATGTTCTTGAGACATAATATGTCTACATGGATCTTCTCCAAACATCTCGAGGGTTGTCCCATAAGTCCTGAACTAATTGTTATGAGACCAGGAGTTTTTATTAATAAAGGCCGAAATTTCATTGTTATATGTGATATTGTGAAAATGAGTATTGTGACATCACACAATAGTCTATCAAGATATCATAAGTCGATTGAAGAGATATGTTGAGGTTTGTATCAGTTGAAGGCAAGTTTTTATCTCCTCAATGGCAATTGCAAATAAACTAAAAATATCGTCTAAATTTTTGAGACGTTTGTAGGAGAAAAGAATGTGCCCCCGGTACCCTGCACCATGCAAGTTTGGAGACTTATAACTGTGTTATAATATTTTAATTTGAAATTAAATACACTGATCAGAAAATTCCTAAGGAAACACTGCTGAAATATCAGCCTTTATAATAAAAACTCTTAGTTTTATAACAATTAGTTCAGGGGGCACCATACACCTTTCAGTGGTGTCTCGCTCCCTTCATCAATTTTGTATTGTTGTATGCATATATATTTAATAAATTGAAATTGAAATTGAATTGACTTATGGAACAACCCTCGTATGAATAAATCATAGCCTCAAAAAATGGTTTAAGTATAAGTAAGTAAGTCAGTATACAAGATGGACACATAGAAAGGGGCAACAAAGACTAGAGGAGTTGAAAATAACTTTCTAGATAATTGTCCCAATTTTACTTTTTGCTCTACAATGTTCCATGTCATGCATATTTTTTGAAGTTCTGACTTTATTTCATGATAATCCTTAGATTACCAAGATATCTGGCATTAATTTTGGAAAAGTACATGTCCCCATTTTCAAAACATTTCGGCAATTTAAATTTTCAATAACTTTCATATTTCATTAGATATCTCAATTCCTTTTCAGATAATAACTGTTTTTGAATGTAAATATTGACATGTTTTTGAGGAGACTACATGCGCTTTCAGCATTTGACAATCTCTTTCCTGTCACTTTAATTGTTCCATAACAAATGTATGCTAAGAATGGGGGAGTTAAAATGATCAAAGTATGACAAATACATGCAAATCAATAGGTATACACATGGAAGGAGTAGAAACCTAGATCCCTTTATTTTGCCTGTTTGAAAAATAACACATTTTCTATCTCCTTCTTCAAAAAGGGTTTTACTGAGGTACGGCGTTAATAAGTAAAGGCAAGCTTTCTTACATAGGTTATGGGTCAGTAGAAAGATGGCAGTTTCATTTGTCACATGACGTTCTCTTTATATTTTGCCTCTCATTGTCATGCTAGATTCATATTCTAAATGTAATCTATTGAGTTAGCAAATACGAGTTGATATGACTAAGGTAATCTTGAAAAACGAGAATGTATCTACTGGTTTAAAAGTTAATACAGACAAATCACTGACATCTTTCTCATCGACCCAGCATGCATCAGGGTACCTGTGTTATCTTATATACCATGAGCTTCATAATGAATGAACCCCATACACATTCATGATGTTTTAGTTTATAATTTAAACTTACCCCAAAATTTTCAGCTATGACAATTAAAAATAAGATTATAAGCAGCACCGCACATATGGGAAATATTCCCGCCATAACAGCTGACCTGAAACAAGAAAAAGAGAAGAATAAGTATTAGCCTCAACACTAATGTCAAATCTGTTTTTTGTTCATTTTTTGTCATGGACACTATTTCTTCTTATTATGATTAGATTATTAATAGTTACAATACAAAGAGCAACAGTTATATAAATTGATAATAGTAATGATATGAAAACCAATACTTATGTTTTAATAAAAATATCCATGATACTTAGACCCATACTTATGTTAAATTGATAATAGTGATGATACTTAGACCCAGACTTATGTTAAATTGATAATAGTGATGATACTTAGACCCAGACTTATGTTAAATTGATAATAGTGATGATACTTAGACCCATACTTATGCTAAATTGATAAAATAGTCATGATACAAAGACCCATAATTATATTAAATGGATAATAGTCATGATACTTAGACCCATACTTATGCTAAATTGATAAAAATAGTCATGATACAAAGGCCCATAATTATATTAAATTGATAATAGTCATGATACTTAGACCCATACTTATGCTAAATTGATAAAATAGTCATGATACAAAGACCCATAATTATATTAAATGGATAATAGTCATGATATTTAGACCCATATTTATATTAAACTGATAAAAAACAGTCATGATACAAAGACCCATAATTATACTGAATTGAAAATAGTCATGATATGAAGACCCATACTTATGCTAAATTGATAAAATAGTCATGATACAAAGACCCATAATTATATTAAATGGATAATAGTCATGATATTTAGACCCATATTTATATTAAGCTGATAAAACAGTCATGATACAAAGACCCATAATTATACTGAATTGAAAATAGTCATGATATGAAGACCCATATTTATGTTTAATTGATAATTGTCATGATACAAAGACCCATAATTATATTGAATTGAAGATAGTCATGATATGAAGACCCACATTTACGTTCAATTGATAAATATCATGTTACTGAATCGAATCAGATGCAAACCAACCTCGCTTTTCAACTGTTACCTGAGATCATTAAACAATGACAGGTAAAAAAATAACATGAAAGCTCTTAATAACATTTGTTAGTTTAGAGATGAATAATTCATCCACCATGCTTTGTACTATAATCCATACCTAGGAGAGAAATTCCTTGATGGTCATGTTTTAGAATTCAAAATAGAGTGGAAAGAATGGAATCAGCAAGGAATAAAGTAAACAGACACACTGTCAACACTCTAAATTGTATAGAAATGAAAGACAATAATGCAGTTCATTCATAGTCTAGAGAGAAAAACATGAAATAAACATGGCAAGAGAGATTCATTCAAATTTTAGAGGGAAATTGATTGAAATAAGCACAAGCAGACAAGCAGACACAAGCAGGAAATCTGAAGTGTAACATGTATTCATCAATATGCACTATCCATTTGGAAAAGTATGTCTGGCTTTGAAAAAACATCAAAGGTAGACAGGGTCACGATGTTGACAAAATAGAACAATTCAGGATTAGGTTTCTCAAAAATGGTATAATATATATAATTGATATGGCCTTGAATAAGTGGGTAAATTATTAATACACAACTATTCAATTATTATTACACAACTATTCAATCTCTTTATCAGTCTAGAAATTAATTCATATAGGAATGAGTTTTGTTTATTTACAAAAACACAATGGGCAATATTTGAAAAATGAACACAATTAAACCTCAAGAAATTAAAATATGATAATGATAAAAAATGTCAGTCATTCTTTAATATATGCCTGACCATATTTATGTAGGAAAACAACCAAAATACAATATTAACCCATGAGACCAATCCAAAAGACAATATACATGATACTTAAAAAACTTGAAAGGATAATATCACAAATGCATAATATAGCATGCCTTGACAAAGCTATTACAAGATGTTCTTAAACTCCTTATCCATGAAATGAGCAAACCATACATAGAATGGTGTTTTGAAGTCAAAAGATAATAAATGCAGATTTCTTATATCATACCATCCATTGAGGATCAAATGTGACCAATAAATCAAGTTTATCTACTTTAGCTCTTGATTAACGTGGGACTTTTAAGCCCTTAACATTTCAACATCCAAGACCATGAGAATGTCAAAACATAAACTATGTCAAGGACTTTGAGTTTATTTTCCCAGCACATTGAGGAGCACAATTCCATGGACATGCAGACAAGTCCATAATTATAACAATTAATAATAAATTAATTGGTTTTATGTGTGTTTTATGGGAGTTTATTATAACGTCACAATTGTTAGGTTTAGAAGTAAACAAAACTGGTTGCTAGGTAGAATAGAATGTAGGTCAGTGAGCATGCGCAGGAAGACACCATTTTCCATCCATTTTTATTTGAGGCTGGAGGAAGATTTGATATCTGAGTGAATCTTGTAAGTATTTAATCACCAACCCTCCCTCATGTACCACCCATTAATTATCCCCCAACTAAGGTGAGATCAAGAAAATGGTAAAAGAGATTTGATTAGTGATACATGAAGGTAATTAACTATAGTGGAGATAATCTAGCTAATTAAAACAAAACTAAAATGCGTAACAGTAATGACTGCTCCCTAATAAACCCACATAAACCGAAAATACAAATAAATGCATGTAAACTAACACAAGCAATAGGGAAGATCTCACCAGGATACAATTAATGTTCAACTTATGCTCCTTTACTGTAACTTGCCCTCCCCAACTTATGCTCCCTTCCTGCAACTTACCCTCCCCAACTTATGCTCCCTTCCTGCAACTTACCCTCCCCAACTTATGCTCTCCTCCTGCAACTTACCATCCCCCGACTTATGCTCCCTTCCTGTAACTTACCCTCCCCAACTTATGCTCCCCTCCTGCAACTTACCCTCCCCAAGTTATGCTCCCTTCCTGCAGCTTACCCTCCCCAACTAATGCTCTCCTCCAGCAACTTACCCTCCCAACTTATGCTCCCCTTACCAACTTTACATCCCCTGCTACTTACCCAGGAATGATGACTATCTGTGTTAGACAGACTAGACAGCAAACTATGAGGGCACAAGCCATATGAGACTTGAACATTGAGTCTCGCACTTTTGAATACTGAAATAAAAGAAGAGAATTATATTAAAGCCAATCATTACATTCAATAATTCCCTCTCCAATTTTTTTCTAAATGAATAATATGTTTATTTCAGTTCAAAATTAAAAGTTCAAAATAAATGTAAACTTCAATTTGGAGTTTGGACCAACCAACAACATTGATGATTTCAAATCCTCCATAAACAAAACAAATGTTTTTTAAAACAATGCTCAAATCCCTGTATACCACCCTATGCAGACAGAGCCTGTGGGAAATATTGGGTGCGGAGCAAATGAGCGGAGGGTGCGGAGCTAACGGTCATTTTTGAATTTAAATTTGGGATATTTCTGAAACTAAGCCGTTTTGGGACTTCAAATATACCAAGATATGTGTATTTGACACCAAATATTAATACAATTGTGAAAATAGTAGCGCAATTCATTCTATAGCGACGCAGTGTGCCTTAAACCTTTCCCAGACCTATATATTTTGAAATTATCCTTTTATACTGAGTCCCCAGCATTCATAAAAAATGGTGTTCAAGGTACACTATCTATACAAATTATTTTTGCATTTTGGAAGCCAGGCAGTATCTGTGTGATTTTATAAAAATTCGGAAATGTTTTTCAGATATGAGCCCCCTCTAAATATTGGGTGCGGAGGAGCTCCATAAACGTACCTCCGCACCCAATATTTAGAGGGGGCTCATATCTGAAGAACATTTCCGAATTTTTATAAAATCACACAGATACTGCCTGGCTTCCAAGATGCAAAAATAATTTGCATGGGTAGTGTATCTTGAACACCATTTTTTATGAATGCTGGGGACGCAGTATTAAAAGGATAGTCTCAAAATATATAGGTCTGGGAAATGTTTAAGGCATACTACGTCGCTATAAAATGAATTGCACTACTATTTTCACAATTTTATTGATATTTGGTGTCAAATACACATATCTTGGTATATTTGAAGTCCCAAAACGGCTTAGTTTCAGAAATATCCCAATTTTAAATTCAAAAATGACCGTTAGCTCCACACCCTCCGCTCATTTGCGCCGCACCCAATATTTCCCACAGGCTCTGTCTGCATAGGGTGTATACATGTACTTGAATAAGGTTAGAAATATTGATTTTTGATAAGCTCTGTATTTCACAGGTGGGGATAATAAGTCAAGGGTGTTATCTTATATAACACATACATGTATGGTTCATAAAGTCATTCGAAAGATTATATAATAGATATAATACTATTTTGTAATAGGACTCCTTTAATTAAAAACCTGCTTGATATACTATTACATCTCATCTAAATGGAGATCTATTGCATAATATTATATTTAATCATGAAAGCGTGCTTCAATATATCCAATAAGTCTAATAAATCCAGTCTAATCTTGGGTCTGTGCCAAAAGTTTTATATTTTAATTATCATATTGGAATCTTTACAAAGACGATTGACAAATACATGACCTCAGATTTTATTCTCCCCATTACTTAAAACTAATTCTCTTCAAGTTTTTCTTCTAAGTCAACTCTCTGAAAAGATTATTCCTAAAACTCAACTGTTTGTTATAACTGCCAATGACAAGAAATGAAGAAACATGGTCATTGTTAATTTATGAACAAATTAGAGTTTATTTCTCTGAGGTGTTTTTATTTCAAAGGTGTTCACATTTAAAAAACATTCATCTAAAAAGTGTTTACATTACACGAGGGTTCATATTTCAGTCACATTTCAGAAATTTCAGACACATTCACATTTTGTAAGCAATAACATTTCAGAAGTGTTCACATTTCAGATACATTCACATTTAAGCAATCACATTTCAAAAGTTTTCTTCAAATCAGGCTCAACCGCACAAATATACTTCTACATACTACCTACTGATATTCCATAATAAACTAACCTTTTCCTCCAGATTTTTTGATCGGAATGTGAGAAAAAATGGTTTAACATGCTCAAGACGGAGCCTGTCGACGCTTCTTGCATCAATTGCACGTCCAAGATATTCATTCACTTCATCTTCAGGATCCCTGTTTCCAGAGTCCTCACCAAAACCTAATCTATAATAAATATATAATAAATTTGAATACATGAAACAAATGACATAAAATTTGTTATGTATAATATATATTTGTTATTTATATCCATGTATATAGTTCTTTAAGTATAGCGATATAAAAAGAGTAGACACTTTAACCTGCAGTAGTTAGATTTTTAAACACATCATTTAGTTTGAATACTTCTTTAAATAGCTGAATTTGTAAAATTATACTGTAACCAATAATCTATCAAAATACAATATACAATATATATATTGGCAAAATAATTAACATAAGTTACTTCTTGTTCCCATTTTGCTGGTCCTCCATTCCCATCATTTTCATCATTTTTGCCTCTTTCTGGTTGGTATTGGATTGTTTCTTCTCGATCTTCACCTTCTGCAACAACAGAAAAAAAATGTATAGAAATTGAAAATATCCATTTGTTCAAGATCATTCTCTCTAAAATCTGCATGACGCATATGATTTTTAAGTTTTTTTTCTACAAAATTTGGAGTGTTCACTATATACCAGCTTACTTCGTTCCTTGCTGATCTCACTCTTTTATGCAATTTCAAAATTTTCTCTTAAGTTTGAATTTTGGAATCACTTGAATCAAACCCCAACTTCTTCAACTGAAACTCACTATCATTCCATGTCATTAAATCACCCAATTTGTTGTCATGGTAACAGATATCAGCAAAAATTTGTTGAAAATTATAGCATGTCTATATGCGTTAACACAAGTCAATCTGAATATTCACAAAACTGTTACAATTTAGAAGTTCTAACAGTATGTAAACGCGTCTCATTTGATGAGATCAACCTGGATCTTATTTCCCAAATGTACAAATGAGAATTAGAAGTACAAAGGGCAACATTAAAAGCATAAAAGCATAAATCATATCCCACATGATAAAAATATAAAGTGTCCACCGATTAAGAGGTCGCATCACCATAAAAAATATTACTTGGTATCTTCTTGAATGACTTGATGATGTTTTTAATATGAGACATTTCTCAGAACTTATTGATCTATCAAAAGAGTAATAAAAAGAAACTGTGAGGGTGCGTGCAAAAAAGAAGCCAGGAAATCTTTAACAGCCAGATGGTACCTTAAAAGAATGACAAAAATCATGTTTTAATATTGACTTTCTCCCTGTTTCCTTCATGTTATTTGAACACATAAAACTATTTAGTAATTGATAAGTATTTGGCCATGAAAATGTTACTCCTAGTGATATTGATATGCACTACATGATGCAAAAGATATCAGTCAAATCATACAGTAACACATGATATTCAGAATCGGCCATTATGCCATAATTTGCAAATATTTTAGAAATATGACCACTGACAGAAAATAATATCTGAGGTTGGCAAACGACTGGATGTAAAAACCTTATGGGGCGGGTAATGTTTTCAAAAACAGAGTAAAGTAGAGAAGAGTGGAACCAGTAACGAATAAATTAGGTTTACAGGGTGTAGTGTGCATTCCATATTATATAAAAGAGGCTTCAAATTTTATAGTGAAAATAATATAATGACAATAAAACGAGCATGAGCAAATGGATAGGTTGATTCGGTTGATTCAACATTATCAATAGGGTACATCCTGTATCAATTAAATAGTAATTAAAACATCATTAATATTTGCTGGAACAAATATACTCTTTTGATGAAGAACATACTTTTAGGATAACCATAGGGAAATATGTGGAAAAGACATGTAAGAAAACCAGCCACATTTAAAATAGAAAAAGAGTGGAATCAGCTGGAAATGATGCAAACAGACATGAAGTTTAGCACTCCAATAACATAAGTCAATAACGATCCCAAAAATAGGTCCAATAAAAAATAATGTAAGATGGTATATTGAAATAATTCATGAACTTATAGCTAAGAGGTTAAACTTTGTTCAAAAGTTTTTGTCTCAGCTACAAGATTATCAATAAAAAAGCTTCCTGACATGTATCTATATAGATTATTATACAATTTATCAATATGTTACATTGTAATACAGTAGTAAGAACATAGGCTGTCTCTATCAAACATTATTGTTCGATCATGATCCATAAAAATCATTTAGAGACACATTGTTATAAGATACATCCACTTTACTTTCCCAGGCTAGTTTAGAAAAGCATAGAAACACAGTATGGTAAACCGAAGCTGTGGTGACTACAAACAAAGGGGGTTCAGCACTCATAGACATTTAATTAACAACTTGCAATGTCACACTTAAATTAGAGGGACTATAATTAGGGGGGGGGGCATAATTAGGTGGAGGTATAACTTGAGAGTATATCAGTCGAGATAATTTAAAGGTATCATGAAATCAATGCATGAATTCTTTATATCTTCCACTGTTTTATTAGTTCACTAAGTGATAACATTGATTTGATTTTCTTCACTTCCGTTAATATTATGCACCAAATAGACATCTGCTCACACCATTCTTTGTAAAATTTGAATGAAGTGCATGATTATCTTATATTTTCACATGATTTGTATAGTCTTGATTACAAATATGTCTACCTTTTTCTCCATTCTAATCCCACTCATTTTTCTCTAAAAAGTGAATGAAAATTTGAAAAACTGATTTTCTCACATTCTCATCTTTTGGACTCTTGACTACACTTGTTTACTTTATTCTTTTCCACTTATTTCTATCACATTTTGTATTTTAAAACATGGCAGTGATGACTGATGATCCGTGCCATGACAATCAGGTCATCGTATAATGATAGTCATGAGAAAATTAGTCACCAATCTTATTGTACAGATAGAAAATAAATAAAGCGAAGGATCACATGAAAAGCCCATGACAATAAAATAATAATGATTAAGTGATTTTAAAAATACCTCCATACCAAAACTTCAAACAAGGCATTAACATGACAAAATGTCACCACCTAGTTGCTCACAATATTATGAGTTCAAACTTAATATAAGTCAGATTTGAATTTCTGAGAACTTGTAAAGTCAAATTTGAACTTCTGAAAAGATGTAGATGATTTTGAAAAAAAAATTTGGTCAATTTGAAGCAAGTTGAAAACAGACCTTTTTGACCTTTTTTGACCTTGAGAAGGTCATTAAAGGTCAAATGTCAAATCTAAAGTCAGATTTGAATTTCTGAGAACATGTAGATGATTTTGAAAAAAAAAATTAGTCAATTTGAAGCAAGTTGAAAAAAGACCTTTTTGACCTTTTTTGACCTTGAGAAGGTCAAATGTCAAATCTAAAGTCAAATCTTAAGTCATATTTGAATTTCTGAGAACATGTAGATGATTTTGAAAAAAAATTTAGTCAATTTGAAGCAAGATGAAAAAATACCTTTTTGACCTTTTTTGACATTGAGAAGGTCATTGAAGGTCAAATGTCAAATCTAAAGTCAGATTTGAATTTCTGAGAACATGTAGATGATTTTGAAAAAAAAATTTAGTCAATTTGAAGCAAGTTGAAAAAAGACCTTTTTGACCTTTTTTGACTTTGGGAAGGTCATTGAAGGTCAAATGTCAAATCTTAAGTCAAATCTAAAGTCAGATTTGAATTTCTGAGAACACGTAGATGATTTTGAAAATTTTTTTTAGTCAATTTGAAGCAAGTTGAAAACAGACCTTTTTGACCTTTTTTGACCTTGAGAAGGTCATTGAAGGTCAAATGTCAAACCTTAAGTCAAATCTTAAGTCAGATTTGAATTTCTGAGAACACGTAGATGATTTTGAAAAAAAAATTTGGTCAATTTGAAGCAAGTTGAAAACAGACCTTTTTGACCTTTTTTGACCTTGAAAAGGTCATTGAAGGTCAAATGTCAAATCTAAAGTCAGATTTGAATTTCTGAGAACATGTAGATGATTTTGAAAAAAAAATTTAGTCAATTTGAAGCAAGTTGAAAAAAGACCTTTTTGACCTTTTTTGACTTTGAGAAGGTCATTGAAGGTCAAATGTCAAATCTTAAGTCAAATCTAAAGTCAGATTTGAATTTCTGAGAACACGTAGATGATTTTGAAAAAATTTTTTAGTCAATTTGAAGCAAGTTGAAAACAGACCTTTCTGACCTTTTTTGACCTTGAGAAGGTCATTGAAGGTCAAATGTCAAATCTAAAGTCATATTTGAATTTCTGAGAACATGTAGATGATTTTGAAAAAAAATTTAGTCAATTTGAAGCAAGATGAAAAAATACCTTTTTGACCTTTTTTGACATTGAGAAGGTCATTGAAGGTCAAATGTCAAATCTAAAGTCAGATTTGAATTTCTGAGAACATGTAGATGATTTTGAAAAAAAAATTTAGTCAATTTGAAGCAAGTTGAAAAAAGACCTTTTTGACGTTTTTTGACTTTGAGAAGGTCATTGAAGGTCAAATGTCAAATCTTAAGTCAAATCTAAAGTCAGATTTGAATTTCTGAGAACACGTAGATGATTTTGAAAAAAAAATTTAGTCAATTTGAAGCAAGTTGAAAACAGACCTTTTTGACCTTTTTTGACCTTGAGAAGGTCATTGAAGGTCAAATGTCAAATCTAAAGTCAGATTTGAAGGTCAAATGTCAAATCTAAAGTCAGATTTGAATTTCTGAGAACATGTAGATGATTTTGAAAAAAAATTTAGTCAATGTGAAGCAAGTTGAAAAAAAGACCTTTTTGACCTTGAGAAGGTCATTGAAGGTCAAATGTCAAATCTAAAGTCAGATTTGAACTTCTGAGAACATGTAGATGATTTAGAAAAAAATTGAAGTCAGTCTAAACAGTATTTGTTAAGTTATAGGAAGTTGTAAGAAATTGTTACAGACGCCGGACGCCAACCACCAACCACCAACCGCCGGACGCCGTCGCAAAAAAACGGAGACCATAACAATATGTCACCACTTTTGGTGGTGACATAATTATAAAAACAAAAAGCAAAAGCCCAGATATATAAAAATATAAAACAAACAAAAACAGACATTCATTTTGAAAGCAGCCTATGAACGGAATACAGGGGTGTGCGTTTGTCTTGAATTGTGGACTAGGACTTGAAGACAGTGAGGTTTTAAGAGAATGCCCATTTCACACAGATGCACACATAAAAACAATACAAGCAGATAGTATGTGTGTTAGAAGCTACAAAACAAATCTAAAAGCATAGGCTTAAAGCAATATGGAATTTCTATGTCAAATGTGACATCACAATTGCGTGGTGATGTCACAATGCACTTACACGACGACTACGTCGCTGTTCTATCCGGTTTTCATATACAGCATCATGCAGAGAGCCAAGAAGCATATGAACCTGATTTCTTTTGATAAGCTTGCTATTGAGAAATTTCCAGTGTTTGGAAACTTCAATTTTTGGAATTTTAGCTTTAGGGGCAGGGGTTGGAACCTCCCCAGGCTAAAAATATAAAATGAATTGTAAATAAGAAATTAGAACAATATTTGGTCATGATATTATTCATATTTGTATTTAACATTTTAAAAACTTTAAAAAAAAATATTTTAGAAATTTTTTGTTCGGGCCTGATGATAAAGTGCACTATTATGCTCTCTGGATTCTTTCTTGATATAGGGTTTTATGCACAATACATCAAAGCCTCTAATATCATTCCCTGCTATCTCTCTACCCGCAAGGGAAGTAGCTTACCGGGTCAAGATGTTAGAGATAAACTTTGATGTCAGACTGTTGCCTTTTAAGTGATGATTGCACAATTTCCTATGAAAATAAAAGTAAATGAGAAAATGTATAATTTCTGCGTAAAAAAAGTACAATGTAATACATCACAATGCCATTGTTCTTTTTTGTTTGTTTAGAATTGTTATCTTTACTTTGCGTTCATTTTATGTCAAGAAATGCATTATTAATGTCCCACTTTAATCGCCCATTATTCTCGCTTTAAATGCCTATCTGTATAAACTACCGATGCAACTATAGGAAATACAACACCGTAAGTGCTGATGGGCCATTCCAAATTGTTAAACCTCATTGCCTCATTGCTCATCATATATCTTTCAAAAATTTGAATTACGTAATTTATTGGAATTTCTATACACGTTCGTCAATTAGCTTCATCTCTGTTTATTTTATTCCTTGCTAATTCCACTCTTTTCCTGATATATGTTGAGGACAATCCTGAATGATGATTGGACAACATAATCTCATGGCCTAGCAACACACATCAGAGAGCACAATAGATACACGACACAACAATGCCTTAAATTGTTTTTATAGTTAAGAGGATCATGCAAAAAATGAATGGCCAAAACATCAAAGTCATGACAACTGCCATATATTTTATAGAATGGAATTCTACGCCAAACATTAAATATCAAATAAAACATGATAAAAGAGAATCAAAATGTCATTGGTAATTTCAGTAATATACCTTGAGAAAATTGTCAAGGCAGTCATCCCTACTCCATATTTTCTCTTGAATTTGAATGAAGTGCTTGATTTTCTTGCATTTCTATACAATTTAGAGTGTTGACTTCATGTCTGCGTAGTTTATTCCTTGCTAATTCCACTCATTCTCACTTTATTTTTAGGTTTCAAGAATGACCACCATGGCATTTTTTGGGGGGTTATAAATGACCAATCACAACAGCCATAACAAAGTTGCTGGATTAATATTGAATTGTCATATAAATTTTCTGCACTTTTTACATGCCACTTGGACAAATGAAGAGTTTGGGTTAATATATTGTGAGAAAGAGTCATTACTATAATAACATTCAGAAATTCAACATAATATTTCTGCCAGGATACACATGAATATGAGACAAATAAATAAAATTGGATACATTACATAATTAGAATGACACAACTGAAAGGAGTAATATTTCTGATCGAATAATACAGGGTGACAAAATGAATATATATATTTTCTTATATTAACATAGGGTGATACAATAGCTTACATTGACCAAATGTCCATTTACTCAATCCCTTAAAAATCCCACTGTTATTCTAATAGAGAGTGAATCAAATGAAAAACCATTTAGAGGAGAGACAAGAAGAGAGCATAATTTGAACACTCTATTACTACAAACTGCTTGTATTGAAACTAAACACTATGGCATGCAAATGAAAAATCAGAATTAGCTCGTTATTTGATCTACTATTAACATATTCAATTCTTATTTAAATTGGAAGCTATTCTTTTTCTAACTCAATTATTATTTTGCCTAAATATTTCAAAATATGAAAAATCTGTGAAGAATAAATTCTGTGTAAAAACTTTGTCAACAATTTTTCACCACAGCCACAGGGGTTTATCGATCAATAGCAAGTGATGCAGCCAATCAAGTTCTTGGGAATTTGCAAATCATGTATGTCATTTATTCAATTTTGCCATCTTAGGGTGGAAACTGAAGCAATTATTTGCCTGCCACAGTGAAATGTTAAAGAGTAGCATGCATTGCCACGTGAGTTTGAATTGGAGTCTCGGAGATATGATGCACTCTATTGACCTACTCTAAGGTATCATTTACCATTCAGCCTGAAATGGATCAGTCATTCAATCCGTATGATAAAACATCAATCAATAAATCAATTACATACCTTGGCTCTTTGGCCTTCATCTACGATAAGATATGTCGCTATTTGATTATCACGTAAATATGCGTTTCTATCCCCACCATGCCCATCTTCAACAGCATACTCTCCTCCGAGACATGATGCAGTTGTTGCCGTAATGTGGACACGCCTAGAAAAAAAATAAAATGATTTAAATGATATACTGGTAATAGCTATACAGGGTGATCAATAAATAAGGTAAAAGTATCTGGCATTTCTTCAGATTTTACCCAATCCTCATAAAATTTGCACAGAATAATGTTTTAACATTATTGAATTGATATATTAAGTTACAGATCAAAGTGATGTGATTGGTTGAAGTTATAGTTGCCATAGCAACAGAAAGCATGAAGACCCGGGGCAACTATCGAAAAACTAAATTTTCAGTCGAAACACTTTTGATAATATATTTCAAATCACAATTAAAATGGCATAATCATATTCTTGTTTCATACTTCATAACTGCTACTTAATGTCCTTTGTTTTTAACATATAGTTCATGTCTTCTACTCCAGTCTTTGAACACCTTTTAAACCCATTTTCCCATAGCCTGCAAATTTTCAAGACAGCTGGCTTCAAGTCATCCCATGAGAAACTCTCTCAACCCCCTCTTCAGCTCACCATGATGGTAAAATCATAAGGGGCCAAGTCAGGAGAGTATAATACATGGCCTAACAGTGGGAAACCCAGTGCTTCAATGGTTTGTACCGTGAGAATAGCATTGTGAGACGGAGCATTGTCCCAGTGCAATGTGAAACGTTTTGCAGGCCTCTTAGTCTTAGCTTCTTCCTCTCTTCTCTCATCAAATCTCTTCTGTGGGTATTGTTTTTCATCATTGACCTGTGTCATAGACTTTCTATGATCACATCAGTTTTCATTATGTATTAATCTTTTCCGTGACATCAAACATCTAATTTGCAAGAAAATATGTAACAATGTAAGCAAAGTATTAAAACAATGAATGCTGGCACCCCCGTTTATTTCTTTTCAGTTTGAAAAAGATGTGCTTTTTATCATTTTTTGTTCAAATTGGATGCAATGAAATTGCCCCGGGTACCCCCGACTCCAGTTGCCATAGTAACTATAATATTAACCAATCAGATGGCAGAAGTTATACATGTATATGTTTTAATTTAGAAATGTACAAGGTATATTCTGACCAAATTTCAGAATGTTTGGACCAATATTTACAAAATGCCAGATACTTTTACCTTATTTATTGATCACCCTGTATACAGACTGCCTCAAACATATCATCCACTCAACTAGGGGCCTCATTTTCTAAAGTGAGATGATGGTATGATATGGTATAAAGTTTGCATTTCTTCTTCTTTTCCAAAAATCATGTATGTACATTTTTTAAGCTAAATATTTCTATTGTTAAAAAAATTGTTATTGGTATATAGAATGATAATTATACATAGTAACAATTTGGCATTGAGCTAGATCTATCGTAATCCTGTACGCCGTGGTAGTTGTTTTTGATTTTAGAGTCATTAGCTAAATTATCACTGAGAAAAGTATAATGCATGTACGTACATATATTTGCTATTTTGGATGTTATAAATGTTAGAGGGATCATGTCCAAATGTAAATTAAGCCAAAAATATGAAAAACATAAACTTAGTTTGAGATTGATCTGCTGTCCCCTCAAATGAAATTTGAACTGATATTTGGTGCATAAATGCCTTAAAGGGGCAACAAGGACTGTAGAGAGAAAATTCGAAAATTCAACATTAAGAAGTGTAAATTCAGTTCAAGGCTTCTATAAAGGGAGTCCCACTTATAGATTTTCAAGATCCATCATGTTTCAAGAGGAATATCACCTGAAATAATGTTCATCCAGGGGGTTTCTTTGTAGATCATGAAAATATATGTTAGTCTTGATGAAATATCCAAAGTTAAATATATTTTGACACTGGTGGATGATCGTTGAATAGCCCCCCTGTACTAATTGTTGCACCTTTAAAAGGTGATATGCTAATTTCTTTATGGACAGAACAAATAAAAAATATAATTAATAATGTTCTACTACAGATGCTTTTGATATTTTGAAACATTCCATTACAATACTCTGAGTTGCAAATTGGGAATGGAGTTGCAAGTTGAAAATGATTTTTTTTGGGCTTTCAGCTAGCCTATTTATTTCATTTTCATTATACACAATACACATAATAATATATTAAAGTTGAAAATTCTTGCTAATAAACTTAGACATCTAACAGAGTATATTAGTAATTAGTAGTTATTCTAGAAAATTAAACAAAACAATATTAGTATACCCAGGCAGGCCTCCAGACTCCATTGTATTTGCCAGTGTCACATCGTTAGACCAGACATCAAACTGCCATTTTCTTAGGCCCAGAACACCGCAATGCACTCTCCCAGAGTGTATCCCTACACGCATGTTTACATCAACACAAGTTATGTCTCTCACCATCCTGAAAAACACGGAAGTTTACAGATGAATAATCAAAGTTGCCCAAGGACACAATGGAAAATTGCAGGAGCCTCCCAGAGTGTATCCTTACATGCATGTTTACACAAATGCATGTCATGTTCTACACATTAGCGACATTTTAGAATAAGGCTATTTCATTTGCCTTAGAACACTAAAGAACAGTGTAGTGCACTCTCAAATACTGTATCCCCACACACATGTTTACATTGATCCACATTATTTCAAATACCATTCTGAAAATATTGAATTATCAATGATTTTTTAAATAAGGACTTTTTCCTTAGCAGAAGGACACCACAGTGAGTGAGCAATAACGCGTAATGTGTATTAACCCAATCAAATGCATCTTCGTGAGTTCAGATCAAGCGTGCGAAAATGAATCAAACGTTCTGAAACACTTCAATAAATCAGTACTTTTAATTTTATTTTGTTGATGCCATAAATCACAAGTATGATTAGATTTATGTACTTACATGGGGTTTACCCCAGACAATAATGCCATAGTAGCCATGTTTTAAAATGAAAAATTGAGTAAGAAAGAGTGAAATCAGCAAGGATTAAAGTTAATAGACATGGAGTTAACACACTAAATTGTATAGCAATGTCAGAAATATTGAAGTTTATCCAGATTTAGAGCGGAAAATTATGAAATTGATACAATGTCTGGACAGAATACTTAAGTTGGTTTATATTTGCTTTTACCTTATCCCATTGTGCTGTTAATTAATGTTATTGTCACATTTGCTTGCATTAATGACAGACATACATATGTACCAGCGTTTGAAATATCTACTTACTTTTATCCATTTGATACAAATTTTCATAATCCTTGATTAGTTTTTTACATTTTATACAACAAAAGGGACTGTTACACCCCTGGTTATTTTATCGCTGAAGAATTTCAATGATTGGCTGTTCCATTCCACATTTCAAATACGATCTCCGTGGCATTTCATTGCAAGGTGTTGTTTTATGAAATGATGAATGACTAATTATTGATTATGCTTGTATCTGAATTGCGTAAAAAAAACCTTTGAGGATAAATCCGTTAAAACCACTGTGAAATTAGAAATAATGAAAGATATGAAATTATTTGAATTAGAGACTACAGATGTCAGATTGAGTTCCTTCCTGAAGACTGATTTTCGTGACATTCACATTTTGATTGCTAAAACATTGGAAATGAATGGGACCAGGAAGGAATTGAAATAGACTCATATAGGGAGCACTCTAAGTTATATATAAATGCTAAAAATCAGACTATTTATTCAAATTTTTGAGAGAAAAACGGTGAAATAGTTTGAGCAGACGGCAATTTTAGACAACTGTTCAGATTAGAGAGATAAATAATAGATTAAGTTGAAACAGAGTGACATTTTAAAGTGTAATTCTAAACATGAATTTCCCTTTTCTTAACCCTTGAGAAAAAAATCAATGTGGTCATGTTTTAAAATTGCAAATAGAGTAGAAAAGAGTGAAACTACCAAGAAATTAAGTACAGACACATGTAGTTAACACTCTAAATTGTATAGAAATATACGAAAATTGAGCAATTCAATCAAAAGAAAGAAAATACATTGAAGACATGAATATAGAGAATTTTAGGGATACAATCATGTCATCCTGCTCCATTTTAAAGGTTCCTTTTATATATCATACTCTCTACACTAACTTTGATATTTCCCATCTTCATTAGCAGGGTAATCATATTTTCAGTCCCTACACCCTCTACATTCAGCTTCTCAAAAGAATGTCTACACTCTTTGAGTGAGAATCCTCTGAACTTGCCAAGCTAACCAAAGTTTGTTGTCTGAAGAAGGATGATTTTTCTATATTTGGTCATTTGCTCTGAAGTCATTTTCTACCTAGTACTGACCAATGTAAACATTATTCAAACATGTTTCTTTCTGTTCGCTGATTGGTTCAAAGAATATCAGTGCACTTGGATTTATGATCTGGACTAAGCCAGCCACCAGTAGTGGGGGCAGAGCTGCAGAAATGGTCTTAACTGTTCACAGGCTACTATAGAACTAAGCACTGTGCTGGGGGCAGAGTCCCCAGTATACCAACAAAATATTACTGCTAAAATATATTTTTGATATCTCCCTACATGATGTAGCTAAATGTTAATGTAGTCAAAGAAAGGCAACTTAGTGTAGGTCCAAGTTAATCAAAGAAAATTCCTATGATACCTTGACTCAAGCCCTGACTACCTTAGTCTAGCAGATGACAATGTGCTATAACTCTCAAGCTAAATTCTCGATTTTCCTTATAAGTCAATGTACCCATAAAGACAGGTTATCAGGTAATGACACTAATTGGAAGTGAGCTGATAAGACGAAAATGTCAACATGCTACAATGACACTGGCAGTGTACTTTCCCCATAACTCTTGCCTATTATTTCTATCTGGTAAAGTTTATTCATTATTCTTCTAATATTTTAATATAGTATCATATTTTCTAAATAATTTAAAATGTTGAAAATATTCTGTTTATTTTATTCCATGCAGATTCCCCTCTTTTACCCAATTTAAGATTTCATATTATGTAAGTAACGCAACATAGTTTCCCACGTCGGGTATAATTTCTGGATCAGGTCTTACATAAAACTAAGAACAAAGCATTAACATGCAAAATGTCACCACCTGCCATTTGCTACAGAAACCAGACATTGAACACCAACCACCAAACACCAACTGCCAAACATCTAATACCCAACACAAAATGCTGACCACTGAACATCATCCCCCAAAAAAGTTGTAGACTATAGTAATACGTCACCACTTCTGGTGGTGACATAAAAAGCAGGGACCTGAAAAGTGCCACTTGAATGGGAAGAACATTTGGATCAATATCTCAGTCAAACTCAATGCTCATTAGCAAATAACTGTGTATGCCTAAAATGTATCACTTATCATCTTTTAAAATGAAAGAAACTGAGCAGAGATGACTTATTTCAAGGAATAAACAAACAGATAAAATTGCTGAGATTCCAAATTTTACAGAAATACAAGAAAATCGAATACTCCATTCATATTTTGTGTGAAAATGGCACAAGATAGTACAATCAGACAACATTTTCAAACACAGGTGGCGAAGGCACTATTATTAATAAAGGGCTATATGAGCGTGATAAGGCGTAACAATCTTCCAATCAATACTTGATGCCTGGTATTTCTTTAATATAAGATGATGCTGAATGAGCAGACAAATCAAATCTTAAGAGTCTTATATATAAATCAAAGACCTCTCATTCATGTATCAGTGATCTCCCGAGCATCAAAGCAAGTGAATGCAGCACCCACCTGAGATTTTAAAAACAGACTTGCACCCACCTGAAAATCCATTTGCACCCACTTAATAATGAGAAAAATCATGAAAATGTGCATATTTTGACCAATTTTGGTTTGAATTGTGAAAATGAGAATTTTGCACCCACTTGGGAAAAAATCCTGTGGAGAACACTGTTATAAAGCAATTTTTGTAATATGTCACCCTCTCTCTCTCTCTCCTCTCCTTAACATTATCCTTCTTACAACAAGATCTATTTGATAAATCTCAATAAACAAATTACAGTAAAACCTGCAAATAATGAACACTTTAGGAGCCACAGGAAAGTGTTCAATGTAGGAGTATTTCCACTGAACAGTTTTTAAGGGAACCCATGTTCCACGCCAAGAAATGATGTTCATCAAGGACACATGTTCACTATAGGGAGGTGTTCACTAAGATAAGATTCATTGTATGTTATTTCAATCACGTTTTACCATCTTGCAACCTACCAAAAATGAGAACAACACAATTGAAAAGGAAGAAGATGACATCATTAATTATCACAACATTTAATTACGTCCAGAAAAACAGGTTTTCAGTCATGAAACTTTATAAACATCTCTGATTTACAAAGTTTTAAATGTCTTTACTCAGACTGTTTATACAGTATATCATAAATATCCCCCTGGTATTGATCACATATTCCAATGCTAAAATCTCCGTCTGCTCGTGCTCATTTCTCAACATTTCTCTCCAAAATTTGAATGAAGCATCTCATTTTCGGATATTCCTATATAATTGAGAATCTTAACTATATATCTGTTTACATTATTCCTTTCTGGTTCCTCATTTTTTACTCAATTTTGAATTTTAAAACCATGGCCTCGTGTCATTATTCTAATTGACTAATGATAAATCACATCCTATTCACTGAACTGCTGAATCCTAATCAAATCATTTTATTACATGAACAACATGTTTTATTCAGTTTAGTACAATAGTCTACAAAGACCAAGTACCTACATAAATTGAGATAATATAGAAAATTCTGTTAGATGTAAGCTCATTCAAGATCCTTTTGAGGATACCATTTCCATTTTATAATTAAACCAAGCCATTAACATACAAAATGCCACCACCTACCAATTGTTACAGATGCAACACACTGAACGCTGAATGCCAAATAATGCCTAACACCGTCCACAAAAAAAGTTGGAGTCTATAACAAAATATCACCATTTGTGGTGGCAACATAATTATGGGCTAAAATGTCACCATTTGTGGTGGTGACATAATTATGGGCTAATATGTCACCATTTGTGGTGGTGACATAATTATGGGCTAAAATGTCACCATTTGTGGTGGTGACATAATTATGGGCTAAAATATCACCATTTGTGGTGGCAACATAATTATGGGCTAAAATGTCACCATTTGTGGTGGTGACATAATTATGGGCTAAAATGTCACAATTTGTGGTGGCAACATAATTATGGGCTAGAATGTCACCATTTGTGGTGGTGACATAATTATGGGCTAAATTGTCACCATTTGTGGTGGCGACATAATTATGGGCTTTATACTTACGCAATTGCTTCAATCATGTCTAACCCCATCTCTATGCAGCATTGAGCGTGATCTGAACGAGCTTCGGGTATACCACTAACACAGTAATAACAATCTCCGAGGATTTTTATCCGAAGGCAGTGATTGTCGGATGCCAGTTTATCGAAGCGAGCAAACAGCTCGTTTAGCAGTTGAACAAGCTCTTGTGCAGTACATGTTGATGAGAGAGACGTGAAACCACAGATGTCAGCGAACAGGATACTAGAAATAAAAAAATGAAATTAAATATACAAATTGTACATGTTCTGGAAAGGAATGCAGCAACAAGATCATGTTAATACAGCCAAAGAAAATAAATGGACATCCATTGGTGAAATGACACTGAATTTATCATTCAAGTTATTTGTTCATCAACATTTATTCAATGAAATAAATATTCATGAAATATTCTTGAATAATTATTCTCCATGGCCTGTATTCAGAAATATCCATGAATAAAAATGAAATATGTACATGTTTCAGGATAGTTCCCCCCTTGGCAAATCTTGGCTATTGGCCTGCAATAACCAGCATATGTAGCACTGGGGCAGTAGGAAAATTGCCTCCAAAAATGGTATTTTTCTTGCACAAAAGTAAACAGAGTCAGCTTTAGAAGAATATGTTTTCTAGTCAAACATTTCAGAGAAAAATTGCTGTCTTTATGAGAGTATAAACATTATCATTTCTATACCAGACCATGTGAAAATATTTAAATCCAAACTTCTGATTGTCATGCAATCATGTGGTATAAAAGTCTAAAAGCGGAGTCTAAAAGCCTAGCAAGATCACTGTGTTTCATTCATATTAATCTATTCCTTTTTCTTTCAATTCTGCATTCTGTATTAGAATATACACTTGAATATTAAATTCACATGTGATTATATACATTCTTTTTTTCTGGTTCAGAAGTATAATTATCATTAATTCAGTGCTCCACTTTATGAATAATTATACAATGCAGCAGAACACAACTAGACACATTACGCAAATAAATTGTTGCGCCGCATAATTAAAGATTGAAACTGATGATTATTTTTGAGCAAGCTGGAAAACAGAAACACGGCTCTCCTTTTTATCTTCTTAGCATTTCAGTAAAAAAACTATGACATACATAATATAATCATTAAGTTAGATAACATTTCCAGCAAAGTTTCCAGTTTCAGATTATTGAATTCAAGTTTTATAACACTGAGAGAATTCCAATACTTCATCCTGATTTATTTATAACAAGAGTTATACATAACAAGACATCGTAACAATCAATTTTTATACTCGTTCCTTGCAATCTTAGAACAGGATGACTCGAATCAGATTATTATATTTGTTTAAGGACTAGCGGAGACACTCTAAGCACAAGGTTTATCTGAATTTCATTGAGACACTAATCTAATAGGTTTTCCTTAGATACATACAACTGCGGAAGTAATAAATACAACATTGAGCAGTGTGAGAATAAAAACATTTGTCGCTATTCCTAAAAAATATCTAAGCAGGTATATATTGGAATGACCTCATTTTTGCACATAATTGTTTTGAGTGCACTTGGGAATGTTTTCACACCCTGTATTTATGGATATCTTTTCAGCTGTAATATAACAACCCATTCTGAATATTCTTCCTGCCATGTCTATTTCAGAATTTTCTACCCTGGGGCACATAGCCTTGTACTTGAAACTATGCTCTTACCAGGAGGGGTGAAAATACAGTTGTGATTCAAAGGTTTCTGTCATGGCCTTTCATGGAGGTTTGACATGAATAAATGGTATAAGTGAAGGCATAACATTCTGTGAATGCCATTCTGATTGGGTGACTAGATTATGACACATTTATTCTCAGTATTCTGATTGGTTAAGGCTATATCAAAGGATTATCTCAAACTCAGAGCGTAGAATCAGAATCAAAAGAAAATGGCACATTTTTCTGAAAATAAGAATGAACAGCAATCTTTTCTTACAATTGTATATTGTCAAATTGTTAATTAACTCTATTTTTTTCTTTATAGTTTCACTTCAAGCAATAACCTCCATGACAGATTTTTCCTAGCAAACAGTCGAGTTAAAAAACTACACGAAGCTCTCTTTTAAGAAGCAAAGTAGAACGAATACAAAGGGTAGACAGCTTTCAATCAGTGTTCAAACCTGATCTATGTGGTTCTATTTAGAGTTCAAAGATAATGAAATTAATTCTGATTCGATCAATGAAACAAACAGAACCTTATCCGAACATACAAAGACAATTATTCGCCAGATAAATGAGTGGTGTGATGAAAATGAGAGGAATCAGGCAGAAAGTGAGTAGTTGTAATGAAATGTCATATTTTTAAATGCAAAATAGACTGGAATTTTCAATTTTTTCAATTCAACTCACTTTGTTTCAAATTTTTTAGACATAAAATAGAAGAACCAGCAAGGAATATTTTGCTTTCATTTGACTTGGTATCTAAATAATCTGTACTCTCTTTTAAGTTTAAGAGAAACTTATGAAATCACCGAGCTAACCAGATCAACAAAAGGATGATTTTCAGGTCATCTATAAATGGTCATTTCCTCTGACATCATAATTGACATCATCATTAACCATCATTGTGACAAATACACAAATTGCGGGACAATTGACAGGCCTGTTATTGAAATGGGAAATCTTTCTGCTTGCTGATTTGTTGTAAAATGTCAGGACCTAGAGATTGAATTGATTTATGACCTGTTGAGAGTCACCAGTTAGTGAGGGTGTGGCTGTAAACTTGTCCCTAGGAACTAGTTCTTAGAAGATGAATAAGTAAGCATGGGCAGGTATAAAAGTTAGAAAGCTATAGAGACCTATAAGGATGCAAGTTTATTTGTCTCTCATTTTAAGATTATCTAACTATGTAAGAGGCCAATTGATAATCCATACTGGGTTCCGATGGAAAGGAAGTTGGTAGATTTATTTATGAAAATGAACTGCAACCTTGATGAAATATTTCTGGTGTATCTGAAGGATGAAGCAAATCTCAAGATATTTTGATAACACAAGGTTTTTTGTTCAGAGGACATTTAGCATATACAGCTTCTCCTTGAATCTATACATATAAATATGCCTCAAGCAAAATATCAGATATGGATTTAAATTACCTTTTATATGTTCTGTTCAATCAACTTGAATATAATATAATAAAGATAAAATAAAAATATGTATAATCAGACATATGACATGGCTATGTTATATAATTCAGCACCAAAAAATTCTATAAATACAGGATCCATAAAAAATAAAATTTCTGAAATCACATGTCCTAAAAACAAATACAAAAATCAAACGAGTCTATGTTTAGCACAAATTCCATGTTTAGAGTTAAAACAAAACAGAGAGCTTTTGTTGTTGTAGTGACATCATCCTATAAATATCTCAAAAACCCATTGATCCTATTGATCAGGATATAATAGACTCTTATACATAACAGAATACAACTAAATATTACATGATTCAGAACTTTCAAAACATCTTAATCAAAGCACTCAATATCATGAATCCTTCACAAATGATGACATATCCCATTGCACCTTTTAACCATGTGATCAAAATTGACCAATCATTTGTGGACATTTCAAAAAGATGGGCTGACAATGGTGTGTGGAAATATATAGCTATCTCTGAAGAGGTATCTGAAAGTACCAAGATTGACATATTTTGATTTGTTCAAAAGAGTTAAAAACTGTAGAACTTGCAATGAATAAAGTAAACAGTCATACAGTCAACATTCCAAAAGTGTATAGAATTGCCTGAAATCATATACTTCATACAAATTTTAGAGAGAAAAGCGGGAAATAAGCATTGACAGAAATGAAAATTTAGACACAGGTTTTTCAATACATATTGGTACTGAGCATGGTATAAGAATGTATATTGTTCAACTACAAAGCTCATATCGATATTACATATAGATCATTATAGAAAAAGGATATAATAAATTACTGTTATGTTAACAACGGATGCAGCTACGACATAGGATAACAGATCGTTTGATGTCATATAAGTAGTATTGATCATTCAGGTAATAAGATGATAAACACACATACATTGTATACCCAAAACGGAACACACACTGGACAGTGCATTATAAAAGACCTTGAAAAAGACTTCTGAAACATCAATGATTTCCATGAGAAAAGAATAAATATCAGAACAGTTATTAATGTGGTCATACCTACAATAAAAGAGTAAAACAATGCACATTATCAAAAAATAATTTAAAATGAACAGGCATGTCACCAACAATTCATATTGTGAGTACCTCAGTTGAAATACTCGATTTTGATTGGTCAACGAGCGGTGAATAATTTTAACTGTACACCGTGCAATGCATTGCCGGTGAATAATATTCCCAGCATTCCACTAAAATGACGTCATTATCAGACGATAAAATAGCCGCCGCTAGCACTAGCCGTTTCAAAAATGTTGAAGATGAGGATATTATTAGTCTCTTAGAGAGTAAAGACAGTCAAAATACGAAGAAAAATCTAAAACTTTGTACAAAGCTTTTAGTGGACTTCGCCCAGGAGAGTAATTTGACTCCATTGAGTGAACTTACTGCCGATATACTGAAATACTTGTACAACATGAACGTCTCGAGGGTCTGGATCCAACTTCAAGTCAATTTCAAGGGTCAGAAAAATCTAAGATATTCTTCGGACTAACAAAACAATTATAGACCTCTCCATTCGGTTTACTGTCAAAATTATATCCCTCGACTGTAAACCTCGACCTACAGTCTCGGTTTACAGTCTCGGGATATAATTTTGACAGTAAACCTCTGGAGAGGTCAATAATTGTATATTGTATAGAAATATAAGAAAATCAGACATTTCATTCGAATCATGTGATGAAATGGAGTTTACTACATGTACATGTATTAAGTAATTACCTGAGAAAGAACTTGATTAGGGGGACATGAGGTCACCTCAGACCTCATACATTTGCTATTTAGCACTTAATATCTTCAATTTCTTTACCTGTATTGTCACCTGCCCACCATTATTAACAAAGTAGACTTCTTGGAAATAATCTGCGGTTTGCTTTCATAAAAAAAGTGAGTGATTGGAGTGAATGATTGGACAGTATAAGTACACCAACAATACAATAAACAATGGCGACCAGCTGTTGAAAATGTATACCAGGGTCTTATGAATCCTGATCAAATGGGACTGCAATACCTGACTGTGGTCAACCTTGAGTCATATGTAACATGCCAGCATAATCTTGGCATAATTGCTAAATCCTAGGGGCAAGAATTGCATTTTCCCAGGTACTGGTGTTTTCTAAGGGTAAGGTATTAATTAATTAAATACTGAATACCGGAGGGCAGACTTACAGATTTTCCTGGAAAGAACAACACAGATATGGATTCTACGTCTGATAATTGATTGAATACATATATTTCAGTCTTGGATGGACATAAAGATCCTTCGTATGACAGTCTGGGCATTCTAAAAACATTGTTAGTTTAATGAAAATAAAGCTTTTGAAGAAGGAAAATATTATGGGTTCAATTTTATTGAATGTACTTTATTCCTCACTTGAAAGAGTTATTTTATGTCCAAGAAAAATATCATATTTAAAACAACGATGTTGTTTTTTCATTTTTGTATATATAAAAGTGTTATCTTCATGCATGTTTTCTTTATTTATATTATTTTTCACTCTCTGAAAGCAAGACCATTATATTTTACATTAACATATATTGTATACGGCAAATGTTTTACATTATGACGACCAGGCTATTTAAAAGGTAAAAAATAAGTCCATTTTTCTTTTTTACAAATTTTCTATACTTTATTATCTAAATATAAATGTGAGATTTAGATTTACCCTCTAACAACAAAGTTTTTTCAATTGGATGGTGTCATATTGCTAGGAATATTGTTGAACGGACCTGGCCAAAACTTCTTTCAAAATCATGCAGTTTTCACCACTTTTCAAGTGATTTTGGTTGTCAAATGTGAACCCTCACCCCTGGAATTTTTTGAGAAGTGAACCCCCTTTGCAAAAGCAGACTACTAGTCTGATTGGGTACCTAATTTCTCACATCTATCCAACATCTCTCTTTTTATTACTTTAATAACAAAAACATTTGGTTCTCCTCGTGTTTTAGCAAAGCATCCATCACTCTTTATTGATCCTCAATTAATTTGTAGTTATCCTGGATTTGATAAAACATATATGGATTTATACTGTCCAACATAAATGGTCACAATAGTCAACACAAATTGATGACGACATTTGAAACTCAACTCTTGCGCATATTGGAAATATTCCTATTCCCTTGAACCTAAACTATTTTGATACAATAACTTATAATGGTTTATGTGAACAGTTGGATATATATAGCTTTAATGACCTCTCAAATTATTGTAACATACACATGCTTTGTTATCCTAATGAAAGGTGATCTGCTTGATATATGGTATTAGATCTGTTGTCTGGTTACATCATGATCTATATATACACTTTCCAATAGTGTGATTTTGTTTCCTAAAAGAGAGCTTTATCTACATATTGAGCAATGGACTTTGCATCATGAGACACAATCCGTTTCTTTCTAGAAAGGTTTGCTAGTTGGACAACAGAAAGATATAATTAGAACCAGAATGAAGCGTTGTACCTAACGTACAATACATCTTCATATTAAGTTCTCGAGTGTCAGGCCCAAGTAATGAGGTGTCTCTTTTTAAGACGCAAAACTGCTAAACATGTCATTCATTAAGATTATGTTCCTTTCACCAATGCTACTGTTCCAAGGTTATGTCATCTAATGAAAAGAATTACATATTTATGTGTGTGATTGATGAAATAGATAATTGGATCTGGGCACTTCTGATTGCCTGTGGGAAAATCTTTCTATTAAATACAGCAAAGAAATTAAATACAATTTTCCTCACCAAATTTGAATGAACTCCATTATTTTTTTGCATTTCTATATAATTCACAATTCATCAACATCAAAGGCAATTAATGGTCATGTTCTAAAATTCCAAAATATAGCAAATAAAGAGAGAATCAGCAAGGAATAACATGGAATACATGTATATAAACTTAATGCAAATATAAGTCAGATATAGATTATTCAGAAACATGGTCATTAAGAATTTTATTATGATCAAGATTTTTGATTAATCGTGCGGTCAAGTAATTATTGATCATGTTGGTCTGAGGTATAAAAGATGATGAAGCAAAGCTTAATTATGCCTTACAATCATCCAAAGGTTTAACTCAGGATAAAGCAATAAACCATCTCATATTGTCATTTCTGGCCCTGGCTGGATCAAGCCTTTTCTCTCTTAATTTTGAGTCAATTGCTTCAGGTACTGGAATTCCAATAAATTCAATGCTTGCTTCATGTCTGTTTGTCTCATCTTATGATAATTCCACTCGTTTCCTCTTTATTTTATATTTTTTAACATGAACACTGATACATTTTTTCTGACGGTCCCCATCATTGCCTATCTTTCAAAATAATAAAGACAATTAATGACGGGATTAATCTTCTTACCATGATGGAATATTTTTCATGCATTATTAAAGAACGATAAAAATACCATAGGCCCTAATAACTTTCCTTACATATTGTGATAGGGAATGGAGATTATATGGAGTGTTTATGATTAAACATACATACATGTACTTTGTTATGACAACATTAAAAGACCCATCACAAAACATATGACAAAGAGAGATGCATCAACTTTTTTTAGACTCACCTAACATTGTCGTGACGTTGAATATAGATTTTATGGAACATGGTGTCTTTTGGTTTCCCAGCGATGTCACTCTTCATCTCCATAGCAACGTGACGTGGCAACACAGATAACAACAAACGCTCCTAAGAAAACAAACATCAATGCCGGCATTACGTATTTATAGATGTCCTACATATTATTACACTGATAATCTGCACTCAGGAATGCATCCATTAGGCTAATAATTAATAGCACAATATTCAATTTGTTTCTTATGAAAATGAATAATTTCTCTCACAAAAAGAATCTTTTGACTCTTTTCAACATATTTGAAGTTCTTTTTTCAGATAACAAAATTCGGATTGTTATAGAAAAACTTTTGGCCATTTTTTGAAAATTGCTTCGAACATTTAACACGATCCTTTGCTCAAATATTGTAGACATACAATAGGTACCCGTTGGCCAAACGTTTTGTGAATTCGCTTTATTATTATCATAGGTTAAATCCTTGGATCTCTTGAAGGCCAGTGTAGTTATATATTATTAGAAAGGTCAATGTTTATAAAGTGTTTTTATTTTTTTATAATCATCAGGGGGTCATTAACAGCAAAGATACAAATTTGTCAATCAATTGTTGTAACCATGGATATAATGCTGTCATAGTAAGAGAACAATGAACTTTACGAATTGTTAACCTTGCGAAGTGTCTGTTTATGGCCCCCTTGGTTATATAAGACATAGTCTAAGTTCTATAAAATATTATTTGTAATTTTTGATTTTTCACAGACATTTTTTAACATTAGGGATTAACAAGAAAAGGTGTCATAATATTATAAATTACTTATCCAAAAGAATATTAGATGCCAGTCATAAATAGCCCAAACCTCTGTATAAATAACACTTTTAACTTTGTAGCACCAATATTGATGGACAAATGGATAGATAAATAGATAGATAGACCAACACACAATGGATGAAATAACCGATGGAAAGACGGATGCCTGGGCGATCCCATAGGTGTATTGTGTGAGCTTAAAATGGATGCTATATACAATATATCACTCTTGGTGATGACAAGAAATTTACAGATTCCAGCTTTCAAGTTTGGCCGCAATGCTTCAAGTTGAATTGAGATTCTTAATCACAATCGACTGTGCAAGAATGTAAAATAATGATAAATTTATGACAGACTTCAGAAGAACAGAGTTACACTTGAACATTGAGCTTTTGTAATCCATATGGCAGTATATTTAACCAAATTAAAAGTATTGTAGGATTATATTATGAATGCAACTGCTTAAAATGTGTCTTTAAATATGTATTTGCAATCTACAGAAAATACACTAAAAAGACAATAATAGACTATATGTCATATGTCTCATGTTTAACCAGAACAACGGCAACGCCAAAGCGTAGCAAATCCCATCGAACAGAAATGGCTGGCATTTTACATTTGAAATATATAGCAAATATCATAAAATAACACCCATAAGAAAGGCCACCATTTTCAAAATGGTTGATCACCAGCCAAGTTGTCATCAGAAGAAGTAATGATTTTAAGTAGCCACATATAAAATTCTTAAAAAATTGCCAATGCTGGCCATTTTTGAAAATGGGCGCTTACTACTTAAAATGTCATAAGACAGTATGCAATTTTTACAAGTATTCACATATCAAATATGAACAAAACCGCTCTATTACTTTTTGAGTTAAAATAAAAAATGTAAAATAACACACATAAAAATGGTGTTCCCTATGTCCCTCCGAACTTCGTTCGATGGGATAATAAATCATGTCATTTACGTTACTGTGTTATTCTTAAGTCAGTTCATGAGAAGTTCATGAAGATGTAATTTTATCAAAGAACGCAATAGAATGAATCACATTTCACATAATATGATTCCATCCCCTTTTGTTATAATGTTTTTAGTCTTCATTCTCCAGGTTTTTTTCTAAAGTTTGAATACATTGAATAAAATTTCATGCAATTCTTATAACATTGAGCATTTTCATTATTCTTAACTGAAATCATTATTTTCTCATATTTTCCATGTTGAAACATGATCACTGTGACATCTGTATCAAAACTAGATATTGCGACATTTACATTATATTAAATAAATAATGAATCATGTATGATTCAGGGATAACACAAAAATGTCATCACCTCGTTGCTCACATTATTATGAGTTCAATCTAAGTCAGATTCGAATTTCTGAGAACTTGTAGATGATTTTGAACAAAATGGTCAATTAGAGGCAAGTTGAAAAAAGACCCTTTTTGACCTTGAGAAGGTCATTGAAGGTGATATCTCAAATCTAGTCAGATTTTAACTTGTGAGAACTTGTAGATGATTTTGTAAAACAAATTTGGTCAATTTGATGCAAGTTGAAAAAATATCTTTTTGACCTTTAGAAGGTCATTGTAGGCGAAATCTCAAATCCAAAGTTAGATTTGAACTTCAAAGATCTTGTAGATGATCTGAAAAAAATTAGGCGATTTGAAGTAAGTTGAAAAAAGACCTTTTGACCTTTTTTAACCTTGAGAAGGTCGTTGAAGGTCAAATCTTAAATCTAGAGTCAGATTTGAACTTCTGATAACTTATAGATGATTTTGAAAAAAATGAAGTCTGAATATTTTAGGAGTTATTTCATCAACATCTAATCAGACTATTCACAAAATACATTTTTCAAAAAATCTCATTCAATTCTGTTCCCAGATGTTGTTCAAAGAAACGAGGACAAAGTTGCTGCATTTTGAGTTCCACCCTTGTGATGTAGTTACCTACAATCACACCCTTATCTGTTCATTCCCATTATTAACCTCATTTGATTGGTTGAGTTTCTCTCACCTGCTGCTGATTCTCCCGCTGACACTTCATTCTTGCTTCAATACATCTACGAGTCTCTAAGAAAGCCTGCCTTTGAGCGACTTCGGTGGGGTAGTGTGTGAAAACTCCTGCTAGATTCACGGCAGTAAAGATTAACACATTCGCTAAAACCTGGAATCATAAAATAAGAGTCATTGTAGAAATACTTTTGAAATAATTCTATTGAGGTTCATATTTGACAACTTTGACAAAAAAATCACTCATTAGTGCTCAAAATGGTGAAAAACTGCATGATTTAAAAACAATTTTTGGTGGGGGAGTCGAAACCCCAAACCACTCCCCCTGACTACAGCCCTGTAGGATAAGAGAGGATGTATATGACTCTAAAACAATATCATCAATTATTATGAAACTGCTTGAATAATAATGATGCATCAACTTATTTCTCATGATGGCGTTAAATATGCTAACAACATGCAACAACACCTTCATTCTAATTTATCGGAGTCCTTCATCTAACGCTTGTGAGACAGAGATAGTGCAGTACTAGAACCAACACTCCACAATTCGAGTCTAGTCTTGTATCTTGACCCTCCTCCCCATCAATCTCAGTAACAGATAAGAAATGGGCATATGAACAGTATATGGTCTTGGTGCAGGACTTATTTCAGTTGTTCTAACCTCAAGTACCTTTGCGGTCAAAGATGTCAACACAAACAACTTTGCTTTTATATCAATTGGAATGGACTTCTGAAGTTTTCCACTAACAGAGGTGTTCAGCTTAGAGGTGTTCAGCTTCCACCAGAGGTGTTCCACTTTACAGGTGTTCTACTTTATAGGTTTCACTGTAATTTTAAGTGTTATGGCACCATTTCTTTTACTGTCCAATGATTCCTCTCCTTTGCAGTAAATGTTAAGACAGGAATAGTCTTGCGTCTTAATCTAAAGACACAACCCTTATATCTTAAGATAATGGGAGATTCTGCAAGGGAGGATTTGTTAACTTAAGACTATAGGTTTCACTTATGGCCAGATTTATACAAATATTGACAAAGATTTCCAGTTTTCTAGCTAAATTCGAGTGCCATTACAGATTTCAGATCAATTCATACTTACACTAGTTTAATGTTTTATAGATCAATTTTTGCTCAGTTACATCAGCCACATATTTGTGGTCTTAAATAAAATATAAGTACACGGCTTTAACGCATGCAGATAATCTACAAAACACATGTTCTTGAACATGACAAAAAGAATATCCTTACGAAAAACAAGTCACAATTTGAACTATTTTGAGAAAAGCTGATTGGTTGTATGCAAATGAGCACAATCGATGACATCAATGGGTTAAAGTTTTTTAGTTCATAAGGTATACGAATATTATACGAGATAATTGCAATAAAAATGACTATAGTTGTACAAAGCAGTAAATATTTGTAATTAATAATGAAATATGGACGGGGCACTTTCATTCCGATTCTTATATTATTTGATTTAATCAATTTTTTGACAGAATTAGTGTTTATAAAGACTTAGTAATTCTCGGATCAGCCTCACAGTACAGCTCATGCAATTGTAAACAAAAAAAGTAAAAATGAAAAAGCAAATCAAGTAACTGCCATTCGCACAAACTTAACTGAAATATGAAAAACAAATATTACGGACATTTGTTATTCAGGATCCCATCCCAATAGTACAAATTAACAAAATGTTTTCAAAAGCATGAATATATTATATGGTAACTATTACTAAGATTATTTTACAACAAACATTTTTTCAAGTTGCCATTCCAGTAAGACGTTCAATCAGGGTTTTCTTTAATTCCTGAGTCAAATTTGATCTACGGTAACCATGGCATCCGTAGCTTCCTTAAATCGAGAGAAATAGCAACATAAAATATAGGGATAAAGCAATGTTTATTAAGCCATGTACAATTGTACATAGTACAATGATATCGTATGATATAGGCTTTCATTATACAATACATAATAATACGCTCTCTTTCTGAAAGCTTCTCAGTGGTAATTCCTTTGTATAAAATGAATGGCATTGTGGTTGCCTCTGCGTATATCAAGATTTTACAGGAAGATTCTGAATCTGAATGAAGAACATGCATATGTCTAAACTTGTAAACACACGCAAAAAGTATAACATTGCAGAAATACATAGGATAAATCGTGTCTAACCGATTTAATCATGGGAGAGAAGTCAATGATTTAATGAATAACAGCAAGTGTTTTCAATTTTAAACAGATCATTCATCAAATAACCTCGACGATTAACTTAAAATAAATTATCTATTTTTATATTTTTATGAGAGACTTGTTATATAGATGTTTAACTGTGGATCTCTAAAATTCTCCTCATTATGTCACTGTGATGTTTCATGAAAAACTGTCGGTAGTATTTTGATAGCTTACCCGTTTGAAGTGATAAAATATACACCAATTAACAGAGGATTTACATGTAAACTCAATATATTGCATTTGTCATTTCGCGAAAAAGTTTAACCCATTGACGTCACAGATTTTTAAGCGGCTCATTATAATATTCATGAGCTGACTTTGTGGAAAGGTGCATACCGATATATGATACGCCTTGATCTATCTACTAACACCATACCTTTTTATTTACACATACAATACATTAGTTATATGGTATTATACCAACGATAATATTACCATAGTATAAAAGGAACCTAATAGGTACACATCAATAATTAATCGTAACATCACATTCCCATGGGCTCTCAACCAGGCTTTTGTAATAGTTCGCTGAATTGAATGGTTACAAATTAAATATGCCATCTGCAACAATAGATACTGCGTTCTATACAAACTTTCAATCTGATAACTCGTAAATCATAACGTAAAAATGATATCTGATTGGTGCAGTCTGATAACTTATAGATTATCTGTAATCTGATTGGTTAACACACAGCCATCTTTTATGTTCTATCAGAATACATCATCTTAATTAATGAAAAAAAAATCCAAATAATTATAATTTGCACAAGTCTATCATTTTGATACATCTCTTTGTTTTCAAACTATCATAATATCTAGAAAGGACCTAGCGGCTTGTTTGAGATTACAAATTTCCGATATATTCATTATTGGATGTGATCTCGCTTGATGCTTGTCTATAGTCAAATGAACCCAGATTGTCAGAGCCTCTCTTCTTTCTCTCTTTAACAATGGGTCTGAAAAGAGATGAAGGGGAGGGGGCAGGTGAACAGAGACTTGATGCATTGTAGTCTGCACCATCTTCTGGCATATAATTTTCATATAGTAGGGAGTTTAAGCTTGCATATAAAATCGAAATACCAACCTATACATATGATCAATCGCCTATACAAATGCATTGCCTAAATATTTTCCGTTCATGTTCAGATTATCTTTTCAATTACCATCACCAAATAGGAAACCTTCTCTAATTAGCAAGTCTGCCCACTATATATTAGCGATTCACTGGCTAATTAATCATACCCTTAGAGGAGTGTAGCCAGCAATAACTCAGGTGCGAGTAAGTAGTTACCAGTTTCACCATCAGGTCAGATAGCATGACGGGTATAGTAGAAAGTTCCCTTTAACTTAAATATTCATCAGTTTTGACGGTTCAATTTTCATATCACCAATAGTTTTGCAAATAAAGCTATGTCCAGTAAAAGAAAATATTATCTGTCCAGTACAAGAAAAGATATTTTGTGATTTTACAACATGGGGTCTACACAGCCAATATAATTCAGCGCCATTCCGACATCAAAAAAAATTGGGCGCTGTACCAGCACCGTTTCGTCACCATTCCGGCACCGAAACCTTTCGACACCAAAATTTGTTACCGGACTAGTCAGTCCATTTGGCACCGAAATTTGGCACCAAAACGGCATCGAAAATCAGATAGTATTTTGGGGTCTATGGGGAATCTCTCCGAACTAGAAGTCACATTTTCAAAAAAAAAATTTCAAAGTTGATAAACAATTTCCAAAACCATATTTCTAGATATACTTTTATGACGTAAATCAACATTATTTCTACTTGAATGTAGTCTATTGTCAAGGAGGTTCATCCCTTAAATTTTTTTTTTAAATCATTATCGCTTCTCTGCAAATACAACAAGTTTTTTAAAATTACATTGTATATGGTGCATTCTAAGCATTTCAAACTATGATTATGACGACATCAAATAAGTTCATGGTCTGGTAATATTAAATCCATTTATTAGTGTTCATTGTCACAGACTTTATTACAATTTTAAACTATTAACAAAAAAATTGTAATAAAGTCTGTGACAATGAACACTAATAAATGGATATGATTATGACTTTTTTTTCAATAAATTTTACAGAATTGCTTTTTTCTTTTTTGTGAGGGTGGGGGATACGATCATAGCCATCGACCCCCAAACCACCTGGCTATGCCTTACTAATTACTATTTCACAGTACACCTTACTAAAACCCAACAATCATCTAACTTATAAACATGTCTGCCTACCAATTAGCATATCTCCCCTCTTTCTTATCAACAAAACTAAAGCTGAAATGTTCACTTACAATGAAATCATCAATACCACACATACAAAACTCATAAAACAATTGCTATTGGGGATGTGTTACTGATTTTCTATAATGTCTACTAGATAGAATATGCTGAAAAGCAAAAGATAAATGAAGATCATTATCGCTTCTCTGCCAGGTAGAAATCAATAACATAAATAAAATTTTCAGATTCTACTCATGAGATATCAATAGTGGTTCCAAGATACTTATCTGATATTTACATCATATTTCAATATCTATCTGATGTTTCAGTACATACGAGGGGTGATCAATAAGTGATGGACACTTTTTTACACAGATACTTTTTATGGACCAATCCGTTTGATTCTCCTACCAGTGATACACCATTCATACTCATATTGATACTCATCTGATGTTTCCATACATATTTCCACACTTATCCAATGTTTTGATACAAGAAACAATTAATTATAAACTTTTTGACAAAATGGGGATTTCATTATATTGGTCTTTTAGTGAGTGTATGTAGGTCTATCTGTCCAAAGTCTATTTTGCTTGTTTCCAGATTGGAAATAGTTTGGTAGATTTTGCATTCCGGAAAAATATTTCTATTTGACAAGACTATTGACTATTTTGAAGACAATTTTGTTC